TGTCCCCCCCCCCCCCCCCCCCCCCCCCCTTAGTTTGGATATGGTGAACTCCGGACGGCCTAACTTTGCCACTGAATAGTGCAGAGAATTCATTTTTCTCACTTCTAACAAGTACTACAGTAAAACCTCGTTATAACAAAGTTGAAGGAGCGGTCGTAATTATTTCGTTATAACCATTAGTTTGTTATAGCCAATGTCCATTTCTTCCCACTATTAGCAAGCAAGGGGAATTATGATTGCTTTGTTATATCCATTAGTTTGTTATATCCCGTTTTGTTATAATAAGGTTTTACTGTATAGCATATTTGGGCGACGGGCAACCTATATCTAATTGGAATCTGCCAGATAAGGAGAATGAGTTTATTCGTAAATTTTAAGGATTTAGATTTCTAATCACCGTATTTTCCCGACTATTGGTGGCGTGTGGGAGCTACAGGGGGCGCTTATCTAGCTATCATCATCATCGTTTGTGACGTCACGGGTAGGACAGACTGGGACAGGCTGCGCAGATCTTGGATCCATCGGCTCGTCAGCTTGCTTCATGCGCTGTCTGGGTAACGCGCGGCAAAGCCTGTTTCACACGTTGTGTTTATTTGCTGAAAGTGATATTTGTAGTAGTTCATTTTACCAAAGTTTGAAACCGCCTCGTGCAAACAAACACTTTTAGAGCTGAGGTGTCGAAGCGCTCGGATGGTGGTGTGCTGTTCTCTACCCCAGTACAACAAGCTGGATGATGGAAATAGCATATCCAGCGCTTTATCCCACTACATCTACCTTGTGAATAGGCTGTATTTTTTATGATTCGGACAAAATAAAACTAAGAAAGGAATGTCTCATCAAACTGAAAATAGGAAAGCGAACTTCCAGAACTTCTCGCGTGAACCTGGACAGCTAGTGACGGAAGTTGTCTCGTCTCCGGCCACGACGAGAGAAGGGGGGAAGGAGGAACTCCCCTCTTCCCGAGAATCCCTCTTCTGTGTCGCAGAAGTCGCTATTGTCCCCCTAGAAGATTATAGAAGATTAACCCGTCACTCAAAGTTCGTACAAAAGCAGCCGCTTCGGTGGCTGGAACGACTAGTCCATCCTCTCGACGTCAGCCTCGCCGTAGCTTTGCTCGTCTTGAGACGACCTACGTCACGATTGCGTTGGATGTCACGTGCTCTAAGCTGGGCCTTCTCCGAGCGCTTGCCAGAGTGGGCCGTTTATAACGAAAAATACAGCCACCAGGATCAAAATACAAACGTGCGATTGTTATTTACGGATATTGTGGATCATATTCAACCTATTTTTGAACACGACGGGAATATTTCAAATTTCGTTGAAGTATCCCTTTAATTTCAGTTGCCGTTTTTTCCTTTAAATTATTTGCAGTTATTGGTGGAACACCCTGTATTTATAAGAGTAATATTTTAATTTTAACAGGCATTGTTACGAAAGTATCTGTTGCATCATACTTTGTCCAGAACCATTTCCATCATAAAAATATATTCCTATTCATTTGATTGTCTTTCAGCTTTTTGTTTCGTTTATCGTAAAATCCCATAAGGACGTCCTCTCCCGAGAGATCACCTATCTTGTTTTTCTGGCTAAATATTCCTAACAAAAATTCGGAAACATCGCTCACCCTCTGATTCCCGTCAGATGTCACGCGATGTCCGACGGCATGCCGTGTGCGCGTATGAAGGCTCCCTAGACGGGAATGGCATGAACCGCGCGATATGCGGTGTCCGTTCCCGTGACATGAGAATTTGTAGCGGATTACCGCATTTTTGCCCTCGATCCGCGCGCGCGATATCGGTACCCATGACAGGCAAGTTTGTGGCGGGTTCCCGCGGGTTTATTGCACCATGAAACGCGAATCTGCTGCGCCTGCAACCTGCGGTATCCTTTCCCGTGACATAGGAGTTCGTAGCGAATCCCCGCGTGTTAGTGAGTTTTCGTAGACCGCGCTGCCCCCTCCGCTAAGCGTTCCGCAACGAAGAAGTTCCTACTGCGCCTGCGCGCCGATAGCCTTGACTGTGGAGTTCCCGCCTATCGTAGCGGGTTGCGGAGAGCCTTGCGGGACGGCGAAAACGATCTACGAAAACTCCCTAATATCGTATTGTGAAACGCGAATTTTCTATGTCTGCGATTTGCGGTATCAGTTCCTGTGTCACATGGTTTGCAGCGGATGCCCCTGTGTTTAGCACTAATTTTTTTATAAACCTTTTTTCTGTCGCATTTTAAAGATAGCCCCCCCCCCCCCTCCCCCCCATGTTTTTCACCATTTATGTCTGCATTTTTGGGTGGGCATTCTGTAGGACTTTACTAGTCTTGTCCCACTTATTGACACTCCGTTGAATCGTGTCTGCTTAGCCAAACTCTTTAAATACACGGCGGTCTTGTTTTTCTCTAGTTAGCCAAATGATTTCTTCCCTACTTGGTTAATTCAGTCAGTTCGTTATTCTGTGCCCTTATTTAGGTAAAAGACAAAAGTTTAAAATAAACGAAACATTACTGTACTTGACAGATGACGACAAGGAAAGAGAAGGAGAACTTCTCAAATACAGCTAAACCTTTACTGAGGACAGGACCCTTTATATAGGGTTGAAAACAGAAGGAAGGAAAGGGAACCCTTCTTCACACCACCTCTCCACAGAAGACACGACACCGGACCTTTAACAATGTGGTCAATCCAACAAAACAACTGAAGGCACCAACGATGCCGCAGGGAAATTAGATTACACTGGACCATTCACTGGGAAAATCAGCTACTCGTGACTCCAACGACCTATAGGGGGCACCACCACCAAACAAGCATGGCGGCTGGGTCCAGGTCGCGTCGGCTCGGCCGGGCTGCCTGAACGGGTGGCGCATTCAATTTAACAGATTTTCTTTTGTTTAATGCCCAATTTTATAGGTATTTGAACGGTGACGGTTAAGTGTAGCTGGTGCACATAAACTTGCAGAGCATAGTTTTGTTTTCCCGGTGTTTTTTGCTCTCGGTGAATTGTTCCACCAAGAGTAATTTTCAGCTAACTCGCATGTCTCGACCATGCAACTTATCTGTCCGCGAAATCAAGCTTTTGTGCGTATCCGCATTTAAGAAACAGCTCCAGTCGTCTGCTCGGTCAACATCACAGGCTGTGGGGAAATCACGAAAATTAAGCAAGCGCTTCTTGAGCCAAGAAACATGTTAACCCGCTGGCGCCCCACTAAGCAGCTGATACTCGTATTTCAATTCAAGTTTAAGTAGCAATTGAGAAGTCACTTTGATGAGCGGGTTATGTACTATATTACATACTATGTCCCACTAAAGCAATATTAGTATATTCTTTGGGTTAAAATATGAGCTTAGTTGACTAGCTATTAGGTGAACTGTTGAATAAAAGTATATTTGACAGACAGAGAGATACTACTTAAACTTAGCCAAATGGTTCTAGCCGGTAGCACGGAGACGAATGCGGACAAACTGAATAGTCTACATCGGAGATTCACGCAAAACCTCTCTGGCATTGAACTTCACTTCGAAACCTAAACGGCGAAAATGAGTATTTTTTGTGGCCGGTCAACCTGAGCAATGTAAACGTATACTGCTGCTGGCTTCGACGGGGGTCTAATATAAATATTGGAGACGTGATAGATCATAATGCCGTGGCAGCTTCTAACTTTGCGAGACGCGTCGCCCACCTTTTGAAAGCAGATAATTTCCCTCATTAATCGTATACAGCGAGCAGGATTTCTTGAATCGAGTATTTGCGAAATCAGCCCAACTCCTTCAGTGTGGTCCAGAGGCTTTTTCGGCGAAAAGCAGCCAAGATGAATAGCCAATGCACCGACCGGCGTGGGTGGCTCAAACTTGAAGCTAATCGAACTCAACCAAACTCAAGAAAAGAAGCTATCGAACCTTCCCATTCACTTCACTGCAACATTGGTGTTCCCTCCAGTGAAACACCTCGTCTGTCGTCCTTGGTCCACTGTTCTACATCTTTATAAAGAAACCACTTATCAGTTACCAAGTAGTCGTCACTTTGAATGTGATTAGAGACAGACAAGAAATCAAAACTTTTTTCCGTGATTCCTCCCCATCCAAAAAATCGAAAGCACGTGACCGTGTGTTTTGGAGTAAACGGGCTTTCAAACACGTGATGGAAGGAAACAATCTACTGAGGATTCACCACGCTAATGAACACTCGGGCAAACTTAAGAAATTTTCGGACCTTCGTCAAATTACATCGTTCGCCACCGCGCCAACAACACAGTCCGCAAAAGCCACCAGAGACGCGGAGGTGCGCAAAGCGACCTGTTCCGGCTGGTTCCCAGTTTTCCTGCTTGGTGGCGTTCGTTTCGCTGGAGCCGCAAATAAAACTACACAAACCCCCCCCCCCCCCCCCCCCCCCCCCAAAAAAAAGGAAAAAAATTATGTTAACAATACCACTAGAGGTTTAGAAATCACTTCCATTCCACATCTGAAGGCAAAGATGGCTTGTTCACTGCATTCCCATGCTTCATTATCGCGATTGACTCTTTCAGCGGGTACTTGTAGTCGTCGTGTCCTCAATAAAGGTGTAGCTGTGTTTCAGACGTTCTCCTTCTCTTCATTGTCGTCGTCTGTCAATACCTTAGTCTCGGGTTTTTCACTAAAATGTTTGATATACACCAGCTCACCTGCACCCTAACGTTCTGCTAATACAGGTTTTTTTTCTGTAATTTTAATATGCCTATAACTCTTAAAATAAAGCGAATTTCAAGAAAAGAAAGTTTACCAAGTTACTACGTTGAGTGTGCTCAGGTTTTGTGCAAAGTTGTTGCAGGGCCCTTTAAGGATTTTTGTCATGTATAGTGCACATTTTTAGTTTATAGCTTCTTTTGATGAGAACCGTGGTAGTTTCCAATTTAGTTTAAGGGGGAGTTGTTACGGAGTTAGTTTTGGCTTTCTGGGCGCACCATTCCGTGGCTCTGCTTTAAGTTGCCATTACCTTCCTTGGCTTAATGGTGCTTTTTGGTTTCTCTCTTTTCAGAGGAAACAACAACATGTTCAACAGATAACTTCAGATGCAGTAATGGTAGATGTGTTCCTCAACGGTGGGTCTGTGATTACCAAAGGGACTGTGAAGGGGGCGAGGATGAACACCAGTCTTGTGGTACTTACCTGAATTTTCATCTCTGTCACTTTGGCTTAGGTACGCGAGGTGCCGTAGTCACTCGAAACCTCTTTATTAACAAGGCTTGCATATTCCATCTTCCATGCAACAATGGAGGGTTCATAGAAGCAAAGGTAACTTGCACGGGGTCACTGAGCATGACAGTCTCACGTTTGAAATTCTAGCAAGAATTGCATTCATTTGACCAGATGTTTTCTGTGCTCAGTCATCTGCTGGGCAAACGCTGCTTATCCATAGGTAGGCAGTGATTGGCTCTTTGTGTACTGCGTGGAAAAGTAGATGTGCATCTGTTTGCTCATAGTAGGGCGACTTGTTTTGGAGTAAAATGGTTCCTGGACAGCCAAGTGTACATGGGCATTTTGCAGCCAGGCTGGCTCCACATCTTTACAGCTTAGTAGCCCTTGTAGTGTGGGAATGAATGGCTTTATAAACTGACCATCCAGACTTTCAGTCGGTTTGAGATCTGTACTGTTAATACCTTGGAATAGCAACACTGTTGACAGCCTCCTGTCTGCCATACCATTGACAGTCGGAGAACAACCCTGTTTAACCTAAAATCGTTGCATATTAGTTTTCTTCATATGTTTCCTATGGATAGTTATTGACAAGTTTTTACTAGTGTTCCGATAGCTTACCTTTATGCTTCTGCTATTTTCTTTTAATAATTTTGTCTGCTTTGGTTAAATTTTTGGCTTTTGTACCAGTTCTGATAGTTTTTTTCTTCTTTGTAATGGATCATCTAGTTAGTCTAGCTTTTATGTTGCCAGCAGTTTGATGGCCTCGACACTAAATTGTGTCTTTGCACCACTGGGTATATATATATGAATGAACTGGAACAGGAAAGTGGGTGAGAAAGGGATAGCTGCCTGTCAGGAGGATGCCTTCAAGTTCCGATGGAGGCTGTACCAAGCTGTGCTTGGCTACAGCTGCCTTCCCAGGCTGTCTTTCAGCTGCTTTGCACTTGCGCGAGCCCTTGCACTGCTGTCTGGAATAATGCATGCGCCACATTCTGCCCTGGACCTACTGTGCTTGCTGGTAGACTGGGAACTAAAACCATTGTCTACCCAGGCATGCACGAGCCTGTCCGCTCTAACACTTGCTTTTGTTCCAGCAGTTTGGAACAGTCTAGTTCTGGTTGCTTTGTGCTTAATTAGAAGGTCTGTTGTCTGCTTTGTGCCTCTTCTAGCCTGCCTTGTTAAGAACCTTTTTGCAACAGTTTCTCAGTTTAGTCATTCTTAAACTGGCTGAAAGCATGTTGGAGCTAAACAGTGCTGTTCACATGCTCGGTTCTGGATGAAGCTTAATTTGAGTAGGAGCCAAAACACAATTGACTGTTGGCCCTTTGATTTCGTTTCAGCCCCGCCACAATGTAATCCAAACCAATTTTCCTGTGGGCAGTATGTTTTTAATCAATCCTACTGCATACCAAAGCACTGGAAATGTGACAATGTAGTAGACTGTGTGGATGGAACTGATGAAAGTGGCAACTGTAGTAAGTAGCCAATAAATGTCTGCACCTTGTTGGCATGCGGGTTTCGTGCGTATGGAAAAATGTATGTTGCAAACATCTTCTTAACAAGCTTTCGGGCACTGGAATAAGGCTGTCAATATAGCTTCCAGTGTTGCTCACAGTAGCGTGTTGTGTGTCTTTAAAGGAATGGCCGGGGATAGCTGGTGTCGTCTGCTTGCTACCCCGCTCACTTTCTATCAGATTGAGGGATTGTGAAACGATTTTCTAGCTTCACCCCAATCAAATGTTCACTAAGAAATCATGTAAGAGTCGAAGTTGCTGCCTCCTTATCCTCAAGTTTCTTGTAGGAATCTCTCCACGTCTTGGATGTGAGCTTGAAAAGCTTTAATCCAAATTGTATGATAACTCATAGTTTGTTGGCAAAGAAAAATTACTTGCACAGATAAATTCTGTTTAACAGTTTGAAAGCAGACACTGTTTTTTTCTTCTTAAGCCAATAGAATGCATTATTCAAAATGGAGTTACTGTGTCCGATGGCAATCTTCAGCTAGCTAAATATTAGGCTGACATGGGTGTACTTTCTTAGTGTGTGTTGTATAAGGTTATGTCGTTGTGGAAGTTTAAACATTCGGCTTTGTTTGGAAGAATATGCCTTTTAACTCAACAGATGTGCTTGTTGAGTTGTTTTCCTGGGAAAAGTTTCTTCAAGCACCCAGATGCACTGTGGGAAAGCAGTGGTACAAAGAACCCTCACACTTGTCTCCTGGATTGTGCTAGACCTTTCGAGGAAAAAGCGCTGACCCAGCTTTTAAAAGATAGTTTCTCCAAGCCATCATACGAGAAGAATCGTTGAATGTGCATATCAAGCGACGGTGTATTTCTACAGTTACCTAGCTCCCTGCATAGTGTAGCTGCACTTTCCAGCAGTGCACATGCATGCTGCACATTAGCACATTACTCTATCTGTAAACAGCTGGGAAACCTCCATTTGAGAACTACGGGTGAAGATGATGCTCAGAATGAAGCCTGCTTTTTGCTAAAGTTGGTAAAAAATGTTGGTTTTTGCTTAGATGCACTTGTTCTTACAAAATTATTTATGCATGTTAATTTGTTCTTTTGCTTTTGAGTGGTCATATCTCCCCAAAAGCAAATAGAAAATTGTAGGCTATCTGATGTATGGCTTGCATAGCGAGAACGACTGGTATTACACTCGGGCCATGTAGTAACAGTGGGGAGAAAACAAATGCTCTTAGGCTCCAGACAGGCATCATTGGAACCACAGCATAGCAAAATCGACCAACATTTTTTATTGAAAATATTGGATGAAAAGATGACATCCTTCATTGGCACCAGACACCATTTTTCTCCATATATTTGCAGACGAAATGTTTCTTAAATTGCTCAGATTGCTTAACTAACACTGTTAACATTTATGAGATGAAATGTTTGCCATCCTTATCACTGCTAGCATTATCTTCAAGTTGAGTTTTATTTTAGCTATGAGTAGTTTTTGAGTCCATTTTGGAGTATTTTATAAAAATTTCTTTTGCCCCTCTCTTAAAATCTTAAATTTTTGGGGGACTAAAAAGCAACCCTCTTCATCTCTCTTTCTGATATGGCTGGTACCTTGGGTGGGTGCTGCTTTTTTTTTTTTTTTCGAGAGGTGTTTTGTTCCAAAGTAAGCTGGAAGTTCATCCAAGTGACTGGAGAATTCTTTTTGCAGAATATCGTGTGTGTGAAGAAGGTGACCATAAGTGTGGCAGTGGTTTGTGTGTGCCTGCATCCAAAAAGTGTGATGGCTACTATGATTGCAGAGATGAGAGCGATGAAGCCTCCTGTGCCACAAGTAAGGAACTCGTTTGCATGGGGAGGCAGCCTCTTGGAGGGTTGGCTCAATAGGAAAGGGTTTTCTTTGCAGATGGAACTTCCTGTAGGCTAAATGAGTTTCGATGTCGGCATGGAAACAAGTGCATCGACGAAAGCAAAAAATGTGACCACTGGGATGACTGTGGAGATAACTCTGACGAAGAGGGCTGCGGTAGGTTGGTGTTGATGGTGTAGAAGGCTGTTGGACTCCAGGCATTTAAATTGTAGCCGAGAAGTATAGATAAACACTGGTACCAAACCGGACATAAAAAAGACCTGGTCAATATTTACAGGTTGACAGCTTGAATGAACAGCTAATTATGATACTATGATTGAGAAGCATGGTAAATGCTCTGTTTAACTCTTTTTTTTTTTACGAAAAAAAAAAAGATTTGCATGAGCGATTATTTTTTTTACTAATGTTCACCGATTGTGGCATTGTACAGGGCAAGTGAGAAAAGTAAGCTGATTTTTTTAGTGCACCTTAAACCACTGGAGGGTTTTTCACAAAGATAAAGGCAGAGAAATCTGCACTTGGTTAAAGTAATCGCTATGCGCATTGCAGTACAAAATGCTACTATAACCCTCGCAGTTTCTCCAAAACCACTACCATAAAATACAGGGGAACCGCCCACCCTACTTTCACTAAAAACTGGATTAATCTGAACATGGGCTCTTTCTGGTGAAATTAGTAAAAACCAAGAGGGCAGCCAATAAAGAACTTTGAAGGCAGGGTGAACAGAATCGAAAAAAGCACATTTGTTTTCTCGTATTCCCGTCACCGCCGCTAGAGGTCTTGCGGTCGCCGCAATTGGTGAATATTTTCGGCTGATGCCGGCACTTTATATGGGGTGGGTGCTGAGCGTATAATTTGCAGAATTTCTAAGCTAGTGGGCACTTGTACAAAGTGAGCACTTCTGCAGTATTTTACGGTATTTATGTTCTCCATCTCTTTCTCTCTTTCTCATTCTCCTTCTCTACGTGGGGTACAATGAAATTGAGACCATAATTGACAAAACCAATAGGGGCTTCTATTGGTGTTTCAAGCCCGCCTTTGCACTGTTGCAATAGTTTGGTATGCATTCTCGTCCATCAATTTATGATGCAACTTCTGAGAGACGTTAATGCTTTCAACATTTATAATGCATCCAGTTGCAGCCCTCATCACAATGCCCGTTCCGTGACATAATGCATTTGTAGTGGGAGTGTGACTACATCTGCTGTTTTTACAAACTTGGATGCTTTCTGAGAAAAGGCAACTGGGGTTGTATGATAACTTTAAGCCAATGGGCCAAGAAGCGGTCCTCCCAGTTTTGGTAGAGGTGGCGAAGTTTATCAGCTTGGGCTGTAGGGCTGAAAAAGGTTGTGTACAAATGGGCAACCTTTCCAGGTAAAAATTTGACTGAGAAAGCAATTGTTAGAATAAATCGGTTGATATACGGGGTGTTCCAAATAAAAATTTACAGGGTTTTCTTCACCTCAAAAATAAACTATGCATGGCTGAACACATATCCTCTGGCAAAAGGCAGAGCTAGAGGTCCGAACCAGATGCGAAAGTTTCAGCACAAACCAATATTTTATTCTAAAGTTATAAGCGATTTTCTGAAACTTCCAATAGGAAAATGTGGTCCGTTATCGGTTTCAGGCGCCATAGAGCACCATGTATTCGAGAGCTCCGTTGGCCACCATTTTCCCATTGCCATTTTCGGAAAATCATTTAACTTTTAAATAAAATATAGGTTTGCGCTGAAACTTTTTAATCTGGTTAGGACCTCTCTCGCTACCTTCTGGCGGAGAATAAACGTTCAGCGATTTATAGTTAATTTTTCGCTAGAAAAAACCTGTACATTTTTTTTTGGGGGGAGACCCTGTAGATAGGTGACAATACTGTTTAACTGTGTACAACCTCTGGAGTTGCATGTTCACATTGCGTGGCATTTCTTTCATTATTTTGCTGTGTTTTAAAGATATGTTTGAGAGGTCTCTAAAATGTATTCCTTTCCTGTTCCTTTTCTCTACCAGATTTTGCACCTTGCAACGAGGGCCAATTTCGTTGTACCAATGCCATTTGCATTCCGATCCGTTGGCGATGTGACGGACACTCCGACTGCTCGGATCAGTCGGACGAACGAAATTGCAGTAAGCGGCGGGTGTCTTTACTCTGCGCACACCTCTGGGGAACCTGTGGGGTCAGACGCTGGGCTGCGCTTTTCTGGATGCCGCTTTCTGCCGCTCCGTGGTCGAAGGTGCACAGAGCACACGTGCACAGCTTCCTCTCCGGTAGCACATCGAAGCAGGCACTTGGGACTTGGTGGCACTCTAGTAGATGTTGTTTTCTGAAATTGACGATCGGGTTTTGTTATAGGCAAGGGTGCTTTACCCCTAGAGCCAGGTTATTTACAGCAAGGGAGGAAGGGCAAAAAGACGAAAGGTATTGTACCTTATCTTTTATAGGTAAAAGGAAGGGTCTCTTAGCACCATCTTGATTAAGCATTGGTTTCTTAAGTCTTACCTTCAGTTCATCTGGGAAAAACCTAGGGTTGGCTTAGGTTCACAATGCTCTTCTCCTGGGGCACTGAATCTTAACCTATTGCAGGTTTTTCTAGAAATAAGTATTATTTTACTGGGGCGTTTTAAACGTCTTTATTGTATTGATATTTAAAGGGAAGCTGAGGTGCTTCGGTGTTTGAGTAAAAAGACTTAGTCTCCATTTGGCCTCCAGGACCAAGAATATAGAGATTCATTTTTCAACTTGTCATATGGAGGTTGCAGAAAATCGTTTTCAAAGTAGTGGTGGAGCCCCTCCTTTTTGGACCGTTACGTCATAAAGGGAGTTTTCGAAATCTCCGCTCGCACTCATCTTAGGCCCCTATCAAAGCTATGCAAGCATACCCTTGCTATTTTCAAAACGGCAAAAAAAAAATGTTGTGATTGGTGCTGGTGCAGGGGAATATACTCGACAAGCTTGCAAATTGCATCCGTTGCTCACACGAGCGACACGCGCTTGGCGGCCGAAAGATCTTTTTATGATGTAACGCCTGGTCTATGGCTTTTCGTGTTTTCTCGCGTTTAGTTACATGTTCCTGGAAAGCGAATGTGATATTCAAATTACGGGATAAAAATACTCTAGAATTCACCTTTAACTTTTTTTTTTTTTTTAAAGAACCTATTCAACTTTTCTTTAAAGGGATGCTGATACACAATATGAATTTAGCAAAATGAGGCCACAGAAGCATTGAATGGGACTACATCACTCGTACATCGATATCTCAAACGGATGGCCGTATTTTTTGGAAAAGAAGGGTGCGATCAAGCGAGGAATGTGACGTCGCGATTCTTTTCACACAATTGAGTATGAGGGGAAGCAGCCTCGCTTCTCTCCTTGCTTGCTTGTTCACCTGCTTGTGGGGACGAACCGAAAAGGAGAGGGAATGAGAATTGCCACGTCACGTTTCTCGTCATCCTCGTCGGCTGTGTTCAATTGCGCACTTCTTTTCCAAAAAGGCAGTCATCTGTTGGCGACATTGCTGTACGAGTGATGTTTTGGGGTTTTGCAGCATCTTGTCTATCGCTCCAGCCATGTTTTGTGAGCTCCAAATTTCGGTTCAGCATCCCTTTAAGGGCCTTGTACTGGTTGGGACGGGCAAATATGAAGCATTGTGGAAGTGTCTTTTACTTGCTCTTTGAGGACTGAACCTTATTTAGGCTTTTAAATGCGCAAACCCTGACGTTTTTATTTTTTAATTAATATTCGCTTCATCGGTGTTTCAGCATCTGTCACATGCTTGAGGTTTTTATTTTTTTTTTTATTAATATTCGCTTCATCGGTGTTTCAGCATCTGTCACATGCCTAGACACAAAATTTTTATGCCCTTCGGAGAAAAAGTGTATAGACAAATCAAAGCTGTGCGATGGAAAGCAAGACTGTGACGACGGTGCAGACGAGAAAAAGAACTGCTGTAAGTATACTTTGTGGCCTGGTTACTTCCTTTGGGCTGAATTTTCTCTTTTCATTTATCCAGCTTCGAACTTGTGTCGAACTCTGTCCTGTGAGTACGGGTGTCGAGCGTCCTTGGATGGGGGTGACTGCTTTTGTGCACCAGGAATGACCATCAACACTAAGGACAAAAGAACGTGCGTCGGTAAGCAGACACCAAGAGAGCGGGCGGTTTTGAGGGGTAGCACGGATTTTCGCAAGGACATTCTCCATGCCAGTTGTCTGTCTTTTTTTTTTAAACACTTCCATCCTCACCATCCAGACTTGTAACACTAAAAATGGCAGTGAAATTACATTGGAGTGTGTCCAGTTGCTATGACTCTGGATGCGTCAACTTTTGGGCCCCTTCTAGATTTTGTTGGTGATAGAAAACAGTCTTCTTTAACTAAGGTGCACTAAAGTGGTTGATGACTTCATCTTTCTGTGGCTATGATTATACCATGGATTTTCTGGTGTTCATTTATATAGGAAAATTGGTAGAGTTCTTCCAGTGTTTATTGATTTTTCAAAAATCTGTATCTTGGCGATTTGCTTCGTACAAGCCCATAAACGATAACTATCAGTAAAAAAAAATGAAAAAAAAAATCAAATGAAAGACTAAGTTTATATTTAATTTGCAATTTTTAGACACTTTATAATGTCTCACTCTTATCGTAATGTGACAGTGCTTGCAAATTGCGGACAATGAGTCTGACCACAGGTCATAGTCGAAGTGTTCTTTAATGTAATCATCTGGAGATATTTGTTTTTTGTATACTGCTTCTGTTCTACGTGATTACTAACATTGAATTGTTCTCGAGCAAAAAGCTGCCACGAAGAAGGCAGGTTGCTCTTGCTTATTTTGCAAATTCAGTCGGTGAAGACAGCCAGTGTATTATTGAATACCATCGTCCCCCGATTAGAGACTGACGAGGTGCTTGAGCGGGTTTTGACAAACAGCGAAAATTTCCACAAATTTATGTTTTTCAGTTTTAACTGATTTTGTGTTTCTGACATAGGTGGGTGTTCATCAGTGCTTTTGAGTTAAAGCAGGAAATCTATGGCTTTGCTATGATCCACCTACAATCCACCTATTCCGCGAGGTCTAAAAGTTAACAAATCATCACATCAATGTCCTGCTTCTATAGGAGAGATGCAATCAATGCCTCGCACCTTTTTTCTTTTTCTTTTTCTGTGCACTGAAAAAAGGGAAGGCAGCAAATCCCTTCCTTCTTTTTTGAAGAGAGGAAAGGGTATGACTGACCAATTTTTCTATAGAAGCTTCCTCATAACATTTTTTAGAGCCACAAAATGACGCAAGTCTGAAACCGCTTGAGTAGTACACATGTAAGCTGCACGTTCTAAGGCACAGTTCTCACTGGTGCAGACCTTCGTGAAAAAACATTTTTATTGCTCCCAAAAGAGTTCCAAAACCAATACGTTGCTCCTTGCGTGTATAGTTCTAACTTTTCTTGAATGCATATATTAGGGATCGGTTTTACCAGCCAGAATTTTGTTGTGCAGCCGCCTGCGAAAAGCTACAAAAGTAATTTCCAGAAGGTCACCTGTCATGAGAATGCACAAACTGTTTGTTCATTGCTGTCGTAGCTAAGCTTCACAATTTCATGGAGTTGAAGCAACCCCTGAACAACACGTTCATGGGAGGCTGCTACAGTTTGGCTGACGTGGCAACCTTTTAAAACGTCTGGGTGCCATTTGCATAGAAATGTCTCAAGTGCCACTGCAGTTTGCGGAGTTGTGTCCCTGCTTGCAGACCTGAATGAATGCTCGGAGTGGGGTTACTGCGACCAGTTGTGCACCAACAGCCCCGGCAGCTTCCAGTGCCTCTGCGTTCGAGGCTACACCCTGGACCCCCCGAGGCACTGCAAGGCGGACAACAGTGAGCTCTTTAGTAGTGGCGGAGGGGGCCTTTCCTGGCTCACATTGGGTTGCTTCTCGCTCCCCAGGCTCCTCAATGCGACTCCTGTTCACTCGCCATAATGCCATCTACTCGGTGAGTGCTGATGGGGCCGACCTGAGCATCCTGGCCAATGCATCGTCTGCCAGCGGGCTGGACTACCACTATGAACGCAACACCGTCTATTGGACTGACACTGAGACCAAGCAGGTGCGTGCAAAGCCGGTGCTGGCAGCCAGCGTCCACGGCTGAAAGTCCGCATGGTGTCTGTATTGTGGACATATTGTTTTGTTGAAACGGTCGGTAACGGGTTAAACTTGGTTCAGTATCTATCCTAGTTTGTGCCTCCAAAGCACTTGTTTTGCCGAATTGTCAAGTGGTAGTAATACATATTAAGAAAACTGGCGTTTTATGATCTTTGTCTAATTCATATTCTCATTATGGGCAGAGGTGCATCTTAAATTGTTAGGTTAAAACAAGGCCTACTATACACAGTTTGAATATTCTACCATACATGTTTGTTTTGACTATAGTTGCAATTATTAATGGGTTGCATTTGCAAGGTGGGTCCAATAATTGCTCAAAATTCAAAACAGAAATGTGATTAAAGGCAGATAAAAAAGAAAGAAATAAAATTTTTAGGTATGTAGGCCCACAAACAGCTGTTGTGGACGACTGGAGGAATTTTTCTAAGCAGATAGAGTCACTGTACTTTCTAGCAGTTATTTCCTATGTTTAGAGTCCTTAGGGAATATGCATATCGAACAACCTTTAGTATTCCTGAAAACTTTGCTACATTTAACACTGCACGGAAGTCTTTACTATAGTCAACTTTTTATCATCTTGCATATTCTATGGAATGAGTGCAGTTTGCATTCATTTTCAGTCGAAGTCGGCGTTTTTATGGTCTAATAAGCAATGTCATTGGGCTTGTCCAGATTCACTCGATGCGGATGGTGGGGGACATGGAACAGAGGCCCCCCATAAGCGTAGTGTTCACATGGAATCCAGTGTCGATGGCAGTCGACTGGGTCGGAAACAAGCTGTACGTCTGCGACTCTCTCGGCCAGAAGATCGACCTCCTGGAAATGGACGGGCTGCGTCACGCGATTGTCCTCAGCAGGAATCTCTCCAACCCGCAGGACATAGCTCTGGACCCCACCGTAGGGTAGGTGGAGTGCCAGGTTTTGCCAGTGCTGGGTCAAGTGTCTGTGTGTGAAAAGTACTTGGAGCCATGTACAGGGTAACTAGTGGGCTTTGAGTAAAGTTGTATTGGCTGAAATGTACAGTGGGTGGCATTGCGAGCGTGTACAACTGGGCACCAGCTGATGGGATCAAAGTGCTGCGGGGGGTGCCTTTAGCATGTTAGGTCATAGTCGTAGTTCGACAACAGGGATAGTGGCGGTTCATTTTAGCCTCCCCCTCCTGAGAGTTAAACTCACCTGGGGTGCCCCACACAGCATTTTTACTGCTCCAGCTTGAACTCTGTTGTGTCATCTCGTATTGCCACTCCCTGCACTTCATGTTAACTACATGAGATGCAGTGTGCTTTGAAGCTAAAGTATGCATACTTTACGAATCATGAAATTCTTTTTAATAGGGTTGTGCAAATATTAAAATTTTCTTACAGTAGTTTCGAATAATACACTATTTGACACTCGCTTCAAAATGATAGCGATATTCATACTACATACTTTCGAAGTGTTGATCAAGGATATTTGCATAAAACAGGATTTATATTCCCCTCAATCATGTACAGTTAATTCGTTATAACAGACCTTGATTGTGACCAAGATTTCAGTCTGTTGTAAAAGGAGTATGCTGTATGCAGATACAAAGTTTAACCAATGGTACAGGTAGGAAAAGTAACCATACTTCAGAAAGCAGTATGTTATATCCAAATGTCTGTCGTAACGAGTTTTTACTGTATAGCTGGGCAGATCTAAGGTTTAATATTTTGTCCAATTCATCGTTTGCTTGCCACCCCAATGTGCGAGCATTGGGCTTTTCAAAGGCAGTCCATAAATATTGAAAGATTAAAACTAACTAAGGTTAGAAGTGGACGTGTGAAAGGCTTAGGAGAAACCTTTAGGAGTTCTGCTGGATTTTAATTTAAAGCCAGACCTACAAAGGTTTTCCCCAGGGTGGAAAACTCCTCCTTGCCATTCTTCCCATTTCCTTCTCTCCTACTGCTACCTTGACTGAGGAGGTCTCTTTTGTTGCTGCATTTTGAGGCTGTATCAACGTTTTCACCCTCCGTTGCATGGGCGTTGCCATCTTGGATCACATGACGCGGCCGCTATAAGGTGGCCAACTCGTCTCTCCTCTCTGCCCTCCGCACCTTGGCACAGTCGTCATATTCGTGTTTTCTTCGTCGCATTTCACTCCAATATGTTGCCTTGCTTTGTGAAATGTCTTCTGATACTTATTTTTACTACCTAACTGCATGCCATCATTATGTGCACAACTTCTGGATACGTGTGAGGAAAGAAATCAGTGTTAGCACTGGCGCACATTCAGTATGTAAATGGCTCTAAGACACACAAGGATTGAAAGGCCAATTATTTATGACAGCGCAAATTCAGTGATAATAGCTTAATAGGCAGTGCAAGGTATATTTATGATAATGCATTTTATGATCTGAAGGGGAGACACTGTCTTGAATTGCACCTTTTTTTTTTTTCTCAAAAAATGCATATTCAGAACTGCAGAGTTTTGGCATGTGGATAACAAGGAACACTCTCACAAAGTCTTGTCAATGTGCACTGACACACAATGTCAAAAATAATTATTCTTTTTATGTTGGTGAAGTGTGGTGCACTGCGTAGCATTCGTCATCCATAATTAAAAATAGTTGAAAGCTATGTCAGTATATCAGAAGAAGTTTGAGGAAGACGTCACCTACACTGCTGGAAAGAATTTCTGACATTTAAGATGCAAAAATAAATTTTTAAAATGTCATCTTGAAAGTTCAAGTGCTTCTTCACTTATTCTTATTAGCTTCACTTATGGCAGCAAATCCCACCTTAAAAAAACGATTGTTTCAGTGTGAAACTACCGAGAGACTTAATATTTGCGGATTATATGCCGAAACTATCGAGCCAGTTACTATAAACTTAGATTTTTTATTTTCATGTTCCTTTATTATAAAAAATTGTAATTTACAAAACTTGGCAAATGTTAAAAAAAAATTGTTATTTGAAAAATGCATATTTTTAAAAATTTCTTTTCATAGTAACCGGCCACAAGTATTCCAGTATGCAGTCCACCAAAAAAATGTGGTGATCAACATCATTTCTCAACGATGGATTCATTGAGCAGATTCCATACAAAGCTACATCTTGGGGGCATAGTACCTCATGAAATTCGTCCACAGGGCTGAAACTTTGCATGCCCTCCTTCTATATGGCTACAAACACCACCTGCAAATTTCACGCCGATTGAGTGAGCAGTCCAAAAGTAGACATGCACAGGTAGTGTCCCCCCTTAAAGAAGGCAAATATAGTCAACACAAGGAACTACTATGTCTTTTTTTTCTTGGAAGTATCGTGCTCTGCCTTCATAACAAATCCAAAACAGTTGCTCTTGATAATATGGGGGAGTCATTTTTGCGGTATAAACATTCACTTGATCGGTTTTGTTTATGAATTTAAAGAAACTATACATTGTGCTAGGTTCTGTGTCTGCAGTCGTTAAATTCTCTTTTAAGTTATTCAATTTATTTATACACGAAGGGTTGGGCTTCTTGGGTTAAAAATGTGTCAAAGACAGCTTGTGACTGCCTGACAAAAAAGCCTGAGGCATGCCATATGCAATGCCGGAAAGAAGCTGTCTGTGTGGAAATCGCTCGAGTGCAGAGTTGTTGATGCCGGGTTTACTCTTGATGCCGCTGAAAGCAAAAAGTCGTCTGTTTAAACAATTAAAGATTTGTCTACACTAATCCATGAAGTGGTGCCTGGCATTTGCCTTCAGCCAAGCTTGCTAGAGGTCAATTCTCTTGCACCGTTTAATTTTATTTCACAAATTACACAGAAGCCAGAGCCCAGATTCTCAATTAATGGATTTGTCCTTTCTCTCATATTCTAAATACATTGTAGGGAGATGTCCGTATAACAGTTTCCTAGTGTCAGCATCGTGAAATGCTACATATGACCAATCTTGGGTTTTTTTGCTTTGATGCCGCAGGTACATGTTCTTCAGTGACGGGGATCACATTGACCGTGCTCACATGGACGGGTCGCACAGGAGCACCGTCGTCACCGCCATCTATAAGGCCACGGGTCTGACAGTGGACTATGTCACTAAATTTCTTGTGTGGTGCGACTCACAGTTAGATCAGATCGTGGCTGTGGACTACACTGGAAGCAACAGGTAGTTTGATGTCTCAGTGTCTATTGCCTAACTACAGTCTAGCCAAGTCTAATTACGACCATGTGGAAGGTTAAGAAACTGCATATGCAGAGAAAAGTGATATACTGGGGTCAGTTTGCAAGAGTACACTGCTGCTTGCTTTCTGTGACTGCTTGTTTTTAAAGTCCTGATATGTAATCAACCAGCTGAAAAATTGTTTGCCTTGTGGCACTGCCACATTGCTCTGTGCGATGCATTACAACATATGCTTCTTGAGTGTAAATGTGCTGTGCAAGTGGTGGCAAAAGTATTAAGACTCCTGCAACTGATTTTTCGCATCCTAGTTTGGTGAATGCTTACCCTTTTGCACACAAATGTGGGAGGCAGTTTGAATGCAGGGTGCATGTTTGTACAAAGGGCCTTGACAAACGGGGGTGGCTGACACTGTACTCACCAGCGCATTGTTTTATTTCTCTTGGAAGGAACATCATCATTCGAGGAAGCACCCGAGTCCCGTCCCCCAATAAGATCACTTTGTTCGAGGACAAGGTGTACTGGACTGACGGAACACGGCAAGGCGTTCTCAAGGCCAAGATTTTCAACAACAATGACACCGTGAACATAGTTCACAGAGACAGGCAGCTTTCCAAGGAGCCTGGGGCTATCAAGTCCTACCACGTTCTTCGCCAGCCAATCGGTAGGGAGGCACTGGTGCTGTACAGAATGGGTGCCATGAGGGGAAAAACCTATAAATATGTTTACTGAACTTGGAAGATCGCCGGAAACATTGACGAGAGTTGATGAAATGTGTGAGAATGGGGCATAATGTCTGTGTGCTCTTTTGCTGAATACAAAAGGACCCTTGTTTTCGATTGTGGCATAACTGTGACTGATACAGGTTCATACAAATGTCAGTGGACACTCCAAAGTAAATTTCGTTTTAGCCGGCAATAATTACAAGATTTATAGGTCTTGGACATACAGTCTAAACTCGTTAATTCAAACTCTTAATTTAAACTTGCGGATAATTCAAATTAACATGCAGGTCTCATCCCATGTGTCTCTGTGGGAGAAAATTGAAGGTAATTCAAACTTTGCTTTATTCAAAACAAATTTTCGGTCCCCCTCGAGTATGAATTAACGAGATTCGACTGTATCTGTTTTATGCATATGTCCTGGCCAGAGTCTGGAATTTGGAAATGCAGTCGTGACCCTCTTTTGTTATCAGGTTGTGGTTTTTTCCAACGCTCACAAAGAATCTGCCTCTTCTCTTAGTTGCCAATCCTTGCGGCGTGAGCAATGGCGGCTGCCAGCACATGTGCATCGTCACGAGGGGGTCTGGCGGGTTTGGTCTGCTGGGCTACAGGTGTGTCTGCCACACGGGATTTGAGTTGGCTCCCAATGGCAAGGACTGCTCCAGTGAGTTTCTTTCCCTGACTAATCTGAGGACTTGAAGACCTTTCTCTGAAGCCTTGGCTCTTCCCTATGTCGTCTGCAGGGGTGTCGACCTTTCTGCTGTACTCTCAGCAGAAGTTTGTCCGTGGCAGTCTTATGAACATCACTCATGAAGGTTTCACGGATGCCATGGTTCCGATTGTGAGCAAGTCTGCACGATTTGTCGGGCTGGACTTCGATGCCCGTGACAACTTCATCTACTACTCGGATGTCATTTTGGACGTGATTTACAGAGTCACAATCGACGGTTCTGGTATGCCCGAGATCACAATTTTTATCCGGAGCTTGATTTGGAATTTTGTTCCTAGAAATCTGCAGTTAATGCAGGGAAGAGACTTGCTTGAAAAGACAAGTTTACCATAGTCACCAGTATTGAGTAAATATTCAAATTTTTGAATAGTAGTTTTTAATCCGGTATTCGCTTCGAGGTTAATTAACTACAATATTCTCTTCAGAGTGTTGATCGCGGCGGGTTAGCCCCTTTGAGTGCGCTTCTTACCAAGTACCTGTGCACTGCGGAGAAGCAGTGCCCACGAGCTCCGCGGGTATTGCTTTCCTGTAATGCACAGGTTGGTGGGAAGCGCACCCAACGTGTCTAACCCGCTAGTTATGTACAAGAGTATACGCTAAGCAGCGATGTCTTGGCTACCCAAATTAATTAGGGATTCATGTTTTTTTTGTTTTTTTTAAGTCTGAAATAGAAGAAAAATATTTGCATATAGCAAGCAGATTTATAAATCCCCTCGATTCGAATAGCTCTGACAATTCTCGTTTACGTGCCACACTTCATATAGTTACATTAAAATTAACTGAGCTTAGCAGTCGGCAAGGGGATGGTTGGGAACAACCTTTACGAGGTCAGCTGAATTTTCATTTAAGCTGGTGGTGCACGGTAGTGAGACATTAAAAAAAAACCTAAAAAGGAAAAAAAAAGTTTTAAACAATGTTTGGGACACGTGTGTCAAATTTATTTTATGCAAAAAAGCTTTTGCTTTTAAGAGCAATATTGATGGCGCGTGACATGTACACAGGGATCTTCGAACCTTTATCAACAATAAGTTTTTTTAAGTTGAATACCTGCATGGGTTTGTCTTCATCCATCAATGTTCCTTCTTTCTATTCTCTTCACATAAATAATATATATCTTTTGAGAAAATTTATGCTTATTTATGTTGGCAGAGGCTTTCAGTCTTATCTGGGTTCTCACATTGCTGTCTATATCCTGTTGCACCCATCTACCAGTCAACCAAAGTGTCTTATTCAACTTCTGGCTGCAAAGCTGATGAAACCTTGCCTTTTCAGGCAAGGAGAATGTGCTAGCCTCTCAGAATGAGGGTGTGGAGGGCCTTGCTTTGGACTGGGTCTCGCACAACCTGTACTACATTGACAGCCGCAAGGGCACGCTCAATGTGATCAGTGTCAAGAATTTCCAGTATCGGAGGACTCTTCTTAAGAATCTCAAGCGCCCCCGGGCCATTGTTGTCCACCCGAACAAAGGGTGAGTATCTTGTCTCACAAAACCTAAACTTAAAACCGGGGACAGAACATGGCCAGCCGGGATTTCACTAAGCAGAGGAAAAAAGGGGCCCTATCCTCTTCGCTCATCGTCAAGAAAACCTTTTGTTAGTATATCCTGGGTGCTTGCATTTGAGTACAGGATGGTTTGGCAGTTTTCGCAGCACTGCCATTTTGTAGCACCCATGACGTAGGAGTTCAAGCTTAGTGTTAGTAAAATTGTGGTGGTTACATTAAAACCAGGATGAGTGATGTGGCACATTCCAGACTGCACTTCCAATTGCATACCTTGGCTCTTTTTTCTTTTTTGTAATGCATGGTCAGAGCTGGTTTTTGTGGACTACAAGGAGTACTGTAAACCCTTTATTTTCGTGGCCCCTATTTCTCACGAATAGGTCAAAGAGAACATTATCACGGCCACTAAATTTCGCGAATTTCAGACGCCTTCATTGAAACTTTTAAAAACCAAAATTTTTGTGTGCCCTTAAATTTCGCGAATTTTTCAATTTGCTAAATTAGCGAAAATAAAGGGCTCACAAATATTAAGGGTTTTACAGTATGCTTTGTGTCTCATCGCTTCAGTTATTGTACTCTCGGTCCTAGAGAACATTAAGCATTACTTAACAAAGCTTGTACAATTGAACACAAGTCATTTTGTGCTGAGATTTTAACTTGCCCAATATTGATTCGCTTAATTTTTCGGCTGGTGCTATACACAGTGGGCACAACCATGAACTTCTGGAGATTGACTTGACATACTTTTGATTTTGCCATTTTTTAAATGAGTTTACTAGAGTACAGGGTGACCCCAAATCAATTTTAGATCTTTTGTTTGTGAATGGCGAAGTTGAAAATAATTATGAGTATGAAGTTGTTGATGGTATTTCAGACCATAGAGCCGTGCCTTTTTCATTATCTAACAAAAATATGCTAACAAAAGTGATGGAGTCTAGTGTGTTCGATTTTGTGCAAGCAAATGACTTTTCCATTCATGACTTGTTGGATCTTGAGTTTGATAAATTTTATAACTCTTCTTTATCTGATTGTTGTAATACAAATTCAATGTGGTTTTATTTTAAAAACCTTGTTCAGAACTGTATATCATGCTTTGTTCCTAGTAAAACTAAGAGTAACCTTCAAAATCCTTGGCTTTCACGTGACTCGATACACTTGAAGTATGAAATTAATAGAGCAAGGAAATTGTATCGAAAGAGTGGTTTCTTTGTGATAATCAGCAAAATATTGAGGTTGTTGACTAAATTAAGAACTCAAATGTATTCAGACAACTACAAGTATAGACCAACACGTGGCTTTGACGTCGCGCAGCTGCGGTGGCGCTGTCGACGGCACTGCGCATACGCAGACGCATCACTCCACATGAATTTGGTTTCAGTGCACGCGCGGTGCCCACACCTAGTGTGGGCAAATGCGGGGTTGTTTGTAAACAGCGTGTCGGTCTATATTACAATGTTGTTTTACACTCTGTCAATTTATTAGAACTTCTCCGGAAAACTTTTGGAGACACATTAAGCCGTCCTCTCCTATCACTAATACATTTATTTGTGATGGACTCGTTATCAGTGATAATACTGCAATTGCAAATTTGTTTAATGTTCATTTTAAATCTGTCTTTACAAATGATAATATAAAATTGCCAAGCTGTGTATTTTAGATCTAATTTTGAGTAAGTGGGATTTTGAATGTTACTGAACCTAAACGAAAAGAAGTATAATGCATTTTTAGGTGGTATGCTAAATGGATATCTTAAGTTTTTATTTCTTATCTATAAAAAAATCTTTGTGTGAAGGCTCTCTTCCTGAAGACTAAAAAACAGCTAAAATTAGACCTTTACATAAATCTGGAAATAAACATCTCATTGCCAGCTATAGACAAATTTCGCTTACTTGTACAACCTGCAAGCTACTCTAACATATTATTCATACCCATATTTTTGAGTTTCTTGAAGAAAATACAGTTCTAACCCAAAGGCAACATGGTTTCAGGCATGGTTATTCCACAATCACACAGTTAGTGGAAATGACACATGATTTTGTGTCATCCATAAATAAAGGTGGTCAGATTGACATTATTTTTTTAGATCTTGCAAAGGCCTTTGACAAGGTCTCGCATAGCAAGCTAGCAACCAAATTACACAAAATCTTAAAAAATTATCAACTAGTATATCGGATTGTTGCATACCTTTCTAATAGACAACAATACAGTAAAACCTCGGTAATATGGAACTCAATATCTAGGGCACAGGCCTTGACCATCGAAAATGTTCAAAAAAGATTGATTCGTATTGTTTACGATAGGTACTTTGAAAGGCGCTGTTATTATGACTATGAATACATACTTAGGTCATTTTCGCTTACACTCTTGTCTGAAAGGCGAACGATTCATGATTTTGTATTTTTGCATAAGGTTGTGAATAGTGTAATTGATTCGCCATCAATGCTCAGCAAAGTTAATTTTCATGTTAACTTACGCCATACTAGACATCCTGTATGCTTTGATGTACGTTCACCTTGTACTTCACCGCTTTCTCGGATTCAGACATTATACAACAGCATTGCTCCTAAGCACCTCGATTTCTGTACATCCATTTCATTGTACCGCCATCAGTTGAATAACCTTGTAATTTACTGATAACATTTTGTTTGTTTATTTGTTTTTGGGTGATGGTAATATACCAACGTGTTTCTAGGATTGAACAGGTGCACCAAAGTGAAGACCGCTGTGGTTGTTTTTGGGCACTGGAAATAAAGTCATTATTATTATTATTATTATTATTATTATAACAAAACGGGATATAACAAACTAATGGATATAACAAAGCAATCATAATTCTCTTGCTTGCTAATAGTGGGAAGAAATGGACATTGGCTATAACAAACTAATGGTTATAACGAAATAATTACGACCGCTCCTTCAACTTTGTTATAACGAGGTTTTACTGTACATAGATTTTAACAAAACTGCTTTGGATAGGGTGACTGTTGACTCATGGGTTCCTCGAGGATCAGTTCGGGGATTTTAACAAAACTGCTTTGGATAGGGTGACTGTTGACTCATGGGTTCCTCAAGGATCAGTTCGGGGGCCTCTTTTGTTTTTGTTATTTAATAATGACATTGTGAACAATATTTCTGTAAAACTGAAGCTGTATGCTGACAACTGTGCAGTTTATTACGAGGTGAATGGTTCTAGTGATCAGTACGAGTTAAATGAAGATCTAGGTCTGATTAATAAATGGTGTAGCTCTTGGCAGATGTGCATAAATTATGAAGACACGAGTTTTCATATCTTTTACTCACAGAAAGAAGCCCCTCCAGTTTAAATATAACAGAGGAAGCTACACAAATATCTGGGGATTTGGATTTTTAGCTGCCTTATCTGGAATAAGCATATTGATTACATTACTTCAAATGCTCTTTGTAAGCTCTTCTTTCTTAAAAATACTCCACCTCTGAAACAAAATTACTAGCTTATAAAACTGTTATTTGGCCTATATTAGAATATGCTAACATCATCTGGAACCCATTTACAAAGCTAAACTTTGTGAAACTAGACAGAATTCAAAACAAAGCTGCTAGGCTTATATTTAATACTTATGGGAGGACATCAGTACGCAGTCTTGTCCAAAGAGCTGGCCTCCAGTCAATGACAAAAAGAAATCTGGTCTGCAGGTTAAAATATTTATATCAAATTATTCGTCGGCATTTTAAACTTAATATGCATGACTACAGTGAAACCCGTTTATAACGAACAGCAGGAAACGCACCGATCGGTTTGATATAGCAAGTAATTCGATATAGCAAAAACCATTTACAACAAACTTCCACGATGCGTTCGTTGTAGACGAGAGCTTCTCTTTATTTCTCACCTCTTTGCTTACGCCTTGTAAAACCTCGCAATTTTTTTTTCTTTTTTGGCACGCATGCACTTATGTTCCCTTCTGAATCGTTTCTCTTCGTAGGCAACCACTTTGGAATGAAAAGTTTTTTTGTTGTTTTTTTTTTGTGCGTGCGTGCAGAGTGTTTTTGTTTTGTTTTTTAGCTTCCTCTCCTCCTGAATCGTTTCTCTTCGCTCAATTTTGTTCGCGGCTCGAGTTTTTGGAATTTTCTTTCTTTCCTCCTTTTTTTTTTCTTTTTGGTGATCGGGGGAGGGGGAGGAGGACAGACTAGAAGACGATTGTTTGCGCGTTTTTGGAAGCGTTCCCGGTGGAAAACGTTTGATATAGTCAATGCATTGTTCGTTATATAAAGCACTTTTTACATGCATTTTTATTTAAATTTTTCGTGAGTTCGATATTGACAATAATTCGCTGTACGTGGGTTCGTTCTAAACGGGTTTCACTGTACATAACTTTTTCACAAGGCTGTTCTACAAGACAAAACCATACCTAGTTTATCCATAGTTTCATTCATGCCTCGTAATGATCTTTAAAAAATTTTGCTTTTTTTCACATATTGTCGAGGAGTGGAATGGGCTTCCTCGAGGAACAGTGGAATTAGACTCTCTTCACTTGTTTGTCGCGCGTTGTGTGGTGCAGGACGCGAGTGCCTGTATAATTGACCTTGTGTATTATGTTTCATTGTTTGTATACCACCTTCTATGATCTCCATATGATATTAGCAGTATTTATAAATAGATAAATAAATTCTTGTCACCGACTTCAGACGTCCCTTTCTTCTTCTAAACCCTGCAGTAGTTTACCACTTGATGAAGGAATCATTTTGCGGTGCAGGTATGTGTTCTACTCCGAGTGGGACCGGCCAGCCAACATCAGCCGTGCTTATCTGGACGGCACCAACGTGATGGTTTTTCGTGGAGTCCTGCTGGGCTGGCCCAACGGCCTCAGCATTGACTTCCAGACAGATCGGCTGTATTGGTGCGACGCACTCCTGGACCATATCCAGCATGCCAATCTAGATGGAACAGATGTGCAGACCATCAATTCTCCGCGCATCAAGCACCCCTTTTCACTGGTCATTCATGGAGGTAAAGCATTTTTTTTGTTCAGTTATGCCATTACTCAAGGCATGGGTCCTCAAACTACGTTCCCCAAAGTACCCTCATGGATTCCCTGGGCTCCCTAATTGCCTTGACCCTCCCCACCCCCGAGGAAAGCCTTTCCTAAATATAAGCACAGTTTTAGAATGCCTGGGTCTTCCATTGATGTGCAGCTCTGTGCCAAACTCCCTGGTCAGTGCCTTATTGTTTACAGGGTAGGTTTCTGCACTGTTTTATTGCCTCAGTGCCGGGACCAGTTCCTTCGCAATCAGTCAAGGGAATCTAGGCATTGCTTGATAGAACAGTTTGGAAACTCTGAGAGAAAACAAAAAATCCGCAGTTCAGGTCACAGTTGTCGCGGAGGCATGTTTGGGGATTTTTTTTACAAAGATTGGATAGACGAATAACAAATAGTAGTTTGAATGTCGTTTTACCGACTTGCATATATATCACAATAAAAAATATAGAAGCTCTCTTTTGAATACTTTCAGACTGAGAGTGATTCAAAAACGCCAGGCATGACAATCGTCGAAACCCCGTCGTTCTTTCCCGCTTCCTTGAGATTGTTTTTCTCTGAAACTAAACGATGTTAAAATAAAAAGGATTGTTCTTCTTGGAACTTGCACCACGAAATATAAAAATTTGAGGCAAAATAAAAAATATGACTGCACCTCGTTGCCTGGATCCAAATGAAACTGCCCAGCAATATTTGAATAAGTTGGAATTATATCATAAATGTTTGAGAACAACAGGAAAAATGCCTGGAGATCTTCAGGAACACAATTTCAAAGATGTTACTTTTTATTATTTTCTATTTTACATCAAAGAGCAGTGAACCACCTTAATTCTTTTTAGGAGAAATTGATACAAATTTTTAAATTGTGAATCAAGAATTTTTGTTTTTGTACCTAGGTTCCTAGGTACAAAAATGAGTGCCTAGGTTTTTCTAGGTTTTACAGGCCCTAGGAACGTTATGGCTAACCAGCCATTGCAACGACAAACACAGTGATGTGATTGCTGCGCCAATTGTGCCAAACTGCGCCAAGGGGCTAACCCTGCTACATCCTGCTACATTTTTTCCAAAATATGGGTAACCTGCGCTAAGCCTGCGCCAATGGACCACTTTTGGTCAGCTTTCAAAACCGAAACTAAACTGCGAACTGTAATTGAGCATGCGTGATCTAGGTGGCGCAAACGGCCGCCCGACACAAAGTACTCTGAATTAATCGTTTATCCGGTCTCGCACGGTTTTTCCCACCGTCTGTTCTTTCGCGCTCTCGTCGTCTCGTAGGTCTCGTCACGCGTCTTTCTTTAAATTTTTTTAACGACTGATGCGGGCGTGTGCGGACGCTCCGACGGTTGCGTGCTGGGTACCAGCCATGCCGCCACGCTGTGAAACGAAACCACATTTTTGCGCGGCGGGAGGTAGTTTGTGAGGTGAAGCACTTGCTCCTGAAAACAATGGCCTTGGGAAAACTATATTTGGTTCCTGCCTGCCAGTCCGCACGTCGCTGCAGATTTGGAGCTCCGTAAACTGAAACGTAAGGATTGCCGCATGTCCATCAGCATTCCTGTTCTTGTTTAAAACACATGCCACTACAAAAATCCCTTTTTAACTCAAGAACTGCTGTTTCAAAGTGTTGATTACCTAGGTTTCTCTTGGTGGGCATTCTTTCGAGAGGAACTCCGGAACGTGAAAAATCTGTCTCGAAAGGAAGTTGAAGATAAGTGAGCTCAAGGCAAAGAAGGCAATGTCTGCACGCTGAACCCGCACAGCGCGCTTGTTTGTCTCAGGTTCAGACGCTGCACAAAGCACTTCAAGAGCGTTCTGACCCTTACTCGCGATGTCCTGCATCGATGCGCTCAGGCTCTTTTTTTCTGTGGGCTTAGCTTGTACCGCGACTGCCGGCCTTGCAAGCACGCGCCGCTGGACTGTTTTTTGTCGCATGCTGGGCAGTTACATTTTGCATAGATTTTTGGAAATCAGTTGGCGACAGAGCGGAGAGGCATGGTTTCGGTTTCGATGAAACAGCCGTCTCCGCTCGCGCAACGAAGCATCAGCTGCAAGCCTTCCGAAGTTGCCCTCACGTACATATGAACATGATTGCATGACAAAGGCACCAACCGGGACGTTCGCAATTAATTCACTGTTTTATGTGTACTTTTGATGAAAATCTGGCACGTCGGGAATCAGTAAAACGGTGGCAAGCGGTGTTTCGGAATTGCTCGGCAATGCCTACAGCACTGTACACTTGTACGATGTCTCAATGTCTCTTTGGAGACATTGGAAGGGGACATTCATTACTAGCCTAAGCCAAAGCGAAGCTTGCAGCAGCCTTGCAGAAAGTTTAGTAAAGAAAAAGTACCCATCAGTCGTAATGCACCTTTTCCTTTTGTACAATTTCGCATTGCACTACAGTAGTTATGTGTTTAATCAGTCGGAGACTGCTTTCATTTTTTATATTATATAACTAGTCAAACCTAATGCTGCGATATTTACTACTGTGCTGGTCATTTTCAAATAAATTTTAATATGTGAAGTCTGGTTCTTATCTATCGTTAGTGGGTACATATGTATGTATCATTTAAAAGGATAGGGAAACGAAATTCCAGCGCTCATTTTCTAGCTTGAATGTGTTGCATATTGCACCCTAACCTCAAAAACACCAGTCTTCCATTGAAAGGCACAAGAAAACCAATTTTAAAGTTGAATAAACAATCTTTCAATGTGCACCTGGTGGATGCATGCGGAGCCTATTTGGGAGGTAACCTAGCAACGTTGAGAAACTTGCTACGTAGTCGTGACGTGGCAGATTCCTTCGGAGCAGCGCCGCTCTTTGGAATTTCAACATTTTCCTTCTTAGCTTTCCCCCCTAGCTCAACTCACAAATCGCGCATTGTACCAAACGGTCCAAGAAGATGGAAAGGAAGGACTTCCCTCTTTCTCGGACCCTCATGCAACCGGACATAGCCATTCTCCCCCTAGAAGATCAGCCCGTCACTCAAAACTTGAACAAAAGTTGCTTTTCCCCACCCCGTTCAGCCCTAAGCTGGCAGTGTTGTGGAAGCTACGTGCTCCTTGGGCCAGCCGCACGCTCGTCACCCCTCGGGTACTTCGAACGGCTCGGTTGTAACGCACTGACGCTATTGACACCACCACAACGCTGACAACGCCACCAAGGGCAAAGCTCATAACCTCACCAGTCTTGCTACGTCACGAGTGCGGGGAATATTTTCTTTCTGTTTTTTGTTTGTGCCGGATATCCCATGACGCATCGCGCTCTCCGTTCGCTTCTCTTCGAGCGCTTGCTCGAGTGCACCGTTTGGAACGAAAAATATAGCCAGTCGTTCAAACTGCAAACGTGAGATGATCATTTCCAGTTATTATCCGTCATGCTTGACTCATTTCCGAATGAATTTTGAATATTTCAATTTTTGTTTCCGTACCCCTTTAACTGAACCATTGCAAATTGTGCCATGTCATTGACATTTCAGTTACATCTTGAAAGACTCCCAGGTGGTCGAACTGGACCATAATTTGTTTATTTCGGCAAGCAAAGTGCCCTTTGTTTGTCCAGCACTTAAAACAAATATTTTTTTTTTTTTTTATTTTGCTAAGAATATCTGCTCCGAAAGCCACTTATGCTGCTCTGAAACACAGTTTCGGCTGCTCAAAAAGTCACTTCTGCTGCTCCAAAACACTATTTTGGCTGCTCCGAAGGCCACTTTTGCTGCTCCGGAACACTGTTTTGGCTGCTCCGAAAGGTGCTCCAAAACGGCTTAGGCCAATCGCATCACTGCAAACAGCTGCCAAGATACAAGCGAAAACTTAAAAAAAAAAAAGAAGTTGCTTGGATCATTGGATCAGGCGGCTTAGTCAGAAAATTTTAGGATGTTGCACCACATGAAACTTCCCTGCCACGAGACAATTTAATCCAGCCAAATCTTTGCTCTGCTAGACCAAACGTCTGCATCGAAGGACGTGATTGGCCCTGGTGTGAAGTACTGTGCGGGCACATTGTTTTCTTGCAGACTGGCTGTTTGTCACGGACTGGCGGCTGGATGCCATTCTGATGATGCACAAAACCACGGGGGCGGACGAGAAGATTGTGACCACCGTGGAAGAGGGCAGCCGCCTGTACGGCATCAAGGTCTACAGCCGAGAGAACCAGAAAGTGGACAGTGAGTGGATCGAGGTGGCCCACTTTTTCAGACTGGGCGCGAAAAAATCCTAACAGTCAATTCATTTCTTAAGGAAATTTTTGCTTCATGCTACTATTCAGTATGAAATTTCGATTCTTGTACAATACAATTCAAATGGATAGGAGCCACAAAATTCTCACCCCCTAAAGAAATGCTGAAAGGTGCTGTGGGAACAGGTCACGAGAATCTGGAGCTGATCTGAGAGCAGCTCAGTGATTGAGTTTCATGCTTGTGGCAATGAATGTTTCACAAGCACGTCAGACTCTGACAGTTTTTCATGGAGAAGGAAGGGAAAGAAGTCTTTCATGGGCAGGTGTGTTGAAGCTCATTTATGGCAGTTTCAATGTTGTGTTCCACAACAGCCAAAATTCCTCACAGATGGGAGTGAAGCACAATCTTCACTTGTGGCCTATTTTTTTGACAGGCCACAAATTTCTAGTTGAGATGGGTTGGCTAAGATCAACATTTTAAAAATGAATTAGTTTGTTTTAATAACTTATCAAACATCATCCTGACTGAGAAGTAGGTTTATCTCAAGTGTCTTCTTCAGTTGTATTTTAAATTTTGAAATGAGGGCCTTCTTGCGAGATTATTAAAAAAAAAAAGAAAAGGAAGGAAGGATCCGAGAATGGTAAAAATAATGTTGAAATAATGTATTCATTATAAGCGGGGAGTTGAGAGCAATAAAAATAAAGTGGGTGGTGTTACTACGGGTTGATTAAATTGTTTTTGTTGGGAGACCGAAGATAACTAAAGGTGATCGCATCTGCCTGTCCTGTGTATCTTTTGCTGGGTGGTCACTCTTAGGCCTTCTGTCGTGGCTTCACGCCAGTTTCACCCACAAGGGTGAAACTGACGTTGCCAGTTTCACCCTTGTGGACTGTGCCGCTGAGTGCACGACAATCCTCGGCGGCGTCCTCGCAGACCTGTGCTCGCCTGTCCACAAGATTGCACAGGCTGCCGGGCCCACCGGTCCGGTGTCTTTAAGCTCGCACGAGGTTCTCGTCTGTACTGCTGACTTACTCTGTCTTTTTTTTCTAACCTCACATCTTTGGTAACATCAGAAAATGGACATCATCACATCCACTATTGCCGCTATGCTCTCTTTTAAGATAAACTGCAGCAAAGGTTCGAAATCAGAGTTCACATCTTTGGCAGTTGCTCCTGCTGCGCGAGAGTTTGTGCAGTCGAGGTACATCCTCGAGCAAGTTGTAGCCCTTGTTGCGATATGTTGCTTGTTGGTATTTATGGTTTGTCCACATTAACACGATTTGGCGTGTGTGTGTTGCAGGCCGGCATCCGTGCCAGTTCAACAATGGGGGATGCCAGAAGCTGTGTTTCCCGGTGCCTTCCAACGGCAGCCAGGGCCCGGATCTGGTGGTGAGCTGCGGCTGCCCCTACGGAGAGCAGCTGTCCAAGGACAACCGGACATGCGTCTCTGACCCGACCGCCGAGCCACCGGTCCAGGCGTGCCCCAACACGTGGGACTTCACTTGCGACAACCAGCGCTGCATCCCCAAGACGTGGGTGTGCGACGGGGATGACGACTGCCTGGACAATTCGGACGAGATGAACAACTGCACCCGTGAGGGAGCCCTCCTTTCTTGTTGGGGCACACCTACTTTCTGAGAGGCCTCCGTTTATGGAGACAGGAGGTCCTCATTTACTCGAGTGGGCTGGCAATGACGCAAAGCTTATTAGTCTTGCACCAGAGAGGCACTGGTGTGAGCACGTTCCTCCAAAGGGAACAGGTCCACTTGTCACAGTTAACTCGTCTTAGGAAAACTGGTCATAGGTGAACTGGTCACAGAGGGCATCTTGTTCTAGGTGATCTTATAGTAGGGAGAGTGGTCACATTGACCTTCTAGTCATAGGAAAAGTGGTCAAATGTTTTCAGTTCATTCGTCATAGTTCTTACTCTTTTTTTTTTTTAACTTGTTCACTAAACACACTACCATCCCACAAGGTTGTACTGTCTTTTGCTGTGACCCCACTTTTTTATTGTAAGCACTCTTCAGAGTTCCTTTTAGAGGGCAGACTTTTGTAAGGGTGATGCTAGGGTTCAAGAGAAGAAATGTTTTTCTTGAACTGATTAAGGCGAGCATGCTCAAATCTAGATACTTAGAACTGAAAGAATAAAAACACGAAGGATGAGACAACAGCACTCATTTATTTAGCAACGACGTCTGATTATGGAGACAGATTAATGCTAGGCCCGAGATCACCCTAATAAGGGGGTGTTAAAGAGGGGTGAAAGTGGGGAGAGCGAAACCGGGAAAGGTAGAGGGGGAACGAGGGGCAAGGGCGGAGGACCCATGACTGTCCAATTTCTACGGGAAGTTGCACATTCTTTCCAGTTCTGACCTGAGAAATTTCACTTCACGTCTTGATAGAGTTAAAGATGCCGATCAGACATTCTTTTTTGCGTTTTCGATGAGGAATGACTCAATGATTTCGCATTCATAGCGGTCTTGGCGTCCCCCCTTTATCTTTGGGCCGGCGAAGAGAGGTGCGTGCTTGAAGCACTCTCTTGCATGAACCTTTGTTTTTTTTCAACTGCTTCTTTTTTTTTTTGTTTACCGGTTTAAATCCGGAAAACCAGAAAACACCGGCAGTCTATATGATGGAGCTATGGAAAACCCAGCGAAGAGAAACTATGCTGCTGTAGAAAGTTTTGATTGTAGTTTTTATAGTTTTCGTAATGTTCAAAATTCCTGCTGCTTTGTGCACGTTATATGCACCACATTTCCATTTTTGGAAGGGTGCAATCAAATTGGCATGCAGACCCTATTTTATTGAACAGAGTCCCAAGTTGAATACCACCTATTCCTTTTTCTACTTTTTATAATCTGTAAGTAGTAGAAAAACGCTAAAAACGAAAAAGCCCTGGAGGCACATCCTGTGGCAAACAAATTTTAACAGAATTGGCAAAAGTCGAGTTCCCCGCCGTTACGAGTTCCCCGCCGTTGCGAGTTCCCCGCCGTTGCGAGTTCCCCGCCGTTGCGAGTTCCCCGCCGTTGCGAGTTCCCCGCCGTTGCGAGTTCCCCGCCGTTGCGAGTTCCCCGCCGTTGCGAGTTCCCCCGCCGTTGCGAGTTCCCCCGCCGTTGCGAGTTCCCCCGCCGTTGCGAGTTCCCCCGCCGTTGCGAGTTCCCCCGCCGTTGCGAGTTCCCCCGCCGTTGCGAGTTCCCCCGCCGTTGCGAGTTCCCCCGCCGTTGCGAGTTCCCCCGCCGTTGCGAGTTCCCCCGCCGTTGCGAGTTCCCCCGCCGTTGCGAGTTCCCCCGCCGTTGCGAGTTCCCCCGCCGTTGCGAGTTCCCCCGCCGTTGCGAGTTCCCCCGCCGTTGCGAGTTCCCCCGCCGTTGCGAGTTCCCCCGCCGTTGCGAGTTCCCCCGCCGTTGCGAGTTCCCCCGCCGTTGCGAGTTCCCCCGCCGTTGCGGGTTCCCCCGCCGTTGCGGGTTCCCCCGCCGTTGCGGGTTCCCCCGCCGTTGCGGGTTCCCCCGCCGTTGCGGGTTCCCCCGCCGTTGCGGGTTCCCCCGCCGTTGCGAGACATCTGCTGTGACCAGTTCCCCTATGACGAGTTGGCTCGTGATGAGTTCTAGCCCCAGCTCCAAATGCGCGGGCAAAGAAGCCGATTTTTGCATTGGTGAGGTTTGTGGCCGCACTCTTCATATCAAGCTTTTTCTATAGTCGCTGACAGAATGCGAACGGCAGGGCGCGTCTTTCGAACGCCCGGCCTCCAGCTCATGCTTCATGCCTTTTACTGTGCCTTGACTGCACGTGCGCTCAAGGTGAACAGTGCGTCGAAGCATTGTCGAAAGGCACCGAAGGTGGGACAACTGAAGCTCCTTTGTGCCGTTTTTGCCTTGTCGAGGACTGTAATGAAGTTCTGCAGCTAACATTTCCAGCTTTGGAAATTGGGGCACTCACCTGGGATATGTGCTTGAACCTTCCTCTATGCTGTATATAGAAATGTTTTTATTAAGTATGTCTAGATGTGCAATGATTTTAAAAGCTAAAAAAAGCCTTGTTCACCCGCTCTTGCTGTGTGCATCTAAAGCTTGAAATTACTATCTACGGAAGGAAACCATCAAGTGACAAAAATCAAGGATACAAATGTCCTGAAACATGACTTGAGTGAAAGGGACAATGAATATGAATAGTAGGACAAGCATCGCAGCCATGCGTAGGCAGTGATAAGTGCGGGGTTATATAAGGCTGCTTTTATTTTTTGTGTTGGAACGGAAGGTAAGCAAAGTGGGCGAGGGAAAATATAACGGTAATGAACACCATGAAGAGAAGGAATTGAAATCAAAACCGATCAGACCATAACAATGGATGTGCAGTTTTATGGACTGTCTGTGACATTTCTGTTTTTTACCTCATTTCTGTCTCGAGTTCCAAGACATTTGATAATCACTTGTTCATCTACCCTCTCATCTATAGATGCACTTTTTCTTTACGAGCAAGCAGATACATGTGCAGAAACCAGTGTTAAGAGAGTGAAAGCGTCTGTGTGTGTATGTCGTGTTGTCAGCACCATCATGGCTGCCGCTGCTGCGGTGCGACGTCCGAGGCATACATTGGTCTATACCAAAATTGGCAATGCAGCGTTCACTGGAGTTCCAAGCATGTGAAATATAAGCCTCAGCGTATACCAGTGCGACGTCTCTTCCCTGCTGTTTGCTGTGCTCCTTCTGCAGATTGCTCGGATTGGCTCTGCACACACTGAACTAAGATACACTTTTTGGAATGTGTGTTATATAAGCCTGCACAGTAATTAGGCTTTGCCCAAAGTTATAATGCCATCTTAATTAAAAAATGAGCAAGTTGTATTGACCAAAATTTCTGTCAGTACATAAATAATCTGTCTCATCAGAGGTGGCAATTTGATGCCTTTACTGGTGCTGCTTTTTCTATCACTTATTGTGACCATGAAGGTGCGGTTTGAATAGAATGTGCTTTCTTATTTTGCGTGTATATGCTTACGGTAAATCGTTCTGTTGCAGGAAACACTTGCAGTCCTCGGGAGTTCCAGTGCAGCAGTGGACGCTGCATTCCTCTTTCTTTCAAGTGTGACTCGGACAATGATTGTGGAGACTTCTCTGATGAGACTGGCTGCAGTGAGTGGATGCTTCTGTTTTTCTTTGCGATCCTAGCAGCGGGGCAGGAGTAGTAGACGTTGAGATAGTATATGTTTTTCCGAACCTAATCGTATAACCATATGGTTTCTTCTTTCTAGCCAATGTCAAGTGTGACAACTCGGAATTCTCCTGTGAAAATGGAAGGTGCATTCCTCAGTCGTGGAAGTGCGACTCTGAGAACGACTGCGGCGATGGTTCTGACGAAGGAGACTTTTGCAGTGAGTGTGCATGCTGGCCACTATTCTGTCAAAGATATTTATTTTGACTCGAGAAAGCTCTGGTGCCGCAGAAAGGCAAGTTGTCCGTACTATGAAGGCCTGCGATGTCATGTCTAATGATAATGCAATGACATTGCACAGATAGCAGAAAAGTTGTGATGTGTGATGATAGGTGAAGCTTCCGCTTGAACCATTTTTCATTTATAGCTGGTCATTTCACTTCAGGCTGAACTTGTATCACTCAATGTGGCTGTTTAGAAATCTTAACTATTTCTTGTGTTGTACATTATGCATGGAACTTGTTATGAAAAAAAAAAAAAATGTTTAAACTGATGCAAAACCTTTTTTTTTTCTATCTTTGTGCTCCATAGATTTTTTTCAGTTTGTTTTAACACACTTCACAAAGCCTATAGTGTTTGTGCCATAGACGTTTGTACCTTAAAGGGTTGGAGAGGCGGTGGAGGGTAAGCAAAGAATGATGACCCTGAAGCCTTGTCACAAATGTTTTCACCTTCGCCGAAACTTTGCTGCTTAAAATGCATCTCTGTCGAGTGTTTAGCATCCGGTATTGGCCATGTATTTGATTGCTTCCAAAGTGACGAAGTAAGTCAGAGGGCTGCCACTGCATAGTTGGTACAGTTGGTTGTAGAAGTGCTGGCAAAGAAGACTAACAAACGTAGGCATCCTGTCGGTGCCTCAATCTGACTAATCGAGCATATATGTCGCCTGGCTGACCGTAGATCAAGCAGTAGCAGGATGGACGTCTGCTGTATTCACCTCGGTGGCTGTGCCACAGCCGGAATTGTGGCATGCATTAGACCATTGATTCGTGAAATTTTTAACCTCTAAGACGCCTATATGTAGGGTTCAGCGTTCTTGGTTTAAATTTAAAAAAAAGTCTGTCAAATGTTTTTAGTTGCATTCGGTTTTAACCAGAAAAGGTCAGTTTCTTCAACCGCCTGGTGCACGGGGGGTTAAATTCTTTTGCCCGGTTTCCATAGAAAGCACTTTCAAAGTGGCCCGGTTAGGGTTGTTCAATCGTTCAGAGCGTAATCTTGTCATTGTAATGGGTTACTTTTTCGTAGACCTAGCACAAAGATTTTTTATTCTGTAGAAACACTCTCCTATCACTGTGCAGACTTTCTCTGATACAGCTTTGCTAACGCTATCGTCATGCGTGTCTCTTCGCTATGCAGAGGAAAAGACGTGCGCCTACTACCAGTTCACCTGCCCCGGATCAGGCCACTGTATCCCGCGCAGCTGGGTGTGTGACGGGGACAACGACTGCTTCGACCAGGCAGACGAGAACAACTGCCCCCCAGCCGTGTGCAGCGCCTCGCAGTTTCAGTGTGCCAACAAGAAGCAGTGCATCCACGAGAGTTACCGCTGCGATGGAGTTAGCGACTGCCAAGACGGGTCAGACGAGCAGGGCTGCCGTAAGTCGAAGCTGCCTGGTCTGCTTTCTGGGGGCATCTGTGGATGGGAATGAGTACACCTGGAACTGCCGGGTAATTTGGGTGAACCCAGAAAAGCATTGAAATTGTTGGAACCCTTGGACAAACTATTACCAGGACTGGGGAACCTGTGAAATTGTGGCAGTTTCTTGCCACATTTTTTTTCCTACCTGTTTGTGTGAAAGACGTGTACTCCGCTTTTTAGGTATGGTGTGACAGCTACTCCGAATGTCAACTTAGCTCAATGTCAGCCTGCTCAGCCTGTCAGCACTGAGAACTTGAAATACTTTATATATATCTGTCGTTGTTGAAGGTTTTTTAGATATTTATTTATATAAAATTAGCTGAGGAATGTTGTAAAATGGGCTGCGCAAAACTTTTGGGGCAAAGAATTGAATGCGATTTCCTAAACCTCGATGAGGATGCACTTTCAGAGGTTCAATTATGATAGATACTCTGTATCCGCCTCTGTTTTCAGCCCTGTTTTTTGTTCTCTTTCCTGCAGCATCCCTTGCCCCAGACCAGTGCGATCAGGAGAAGTCCTTCCAGTGCAAGAAGTCCAGAGTGTGCATACCCAAACTATGGTTCTGCGATGGAAATGCAGACTGCGAGGATGCCAGTGATGAGCCGTCCTCCTGTGGTGAGGCATTGGGGGACTTTGACCTCGATGGGGTGTCAGCCTTCTGAAGGGACTCCATAAATTGGTTTCTTAATTAATGTACCATACTACGATTTACTGCAGAGGTGCCCGTAGGTGGTGCATTTGTTATTTGTAAGTATAAAAATAATCTCAGTCAAAGGAAGGAAGAAAATCTCTTTTCCTGTGGACAAATTTTTATCTCGGCCTTTTTTTTTGCACGTTATCATGCAGTATGACTGAAAAATGGGTGGAAAGAAAGGGAGAAAATCTTACATTTCATTGTCTTTTTTTATATAAACGCCAGAGTGGCCCATGGACCATGTCATTTTATGGTTTCACGCTAAATAGACTTGGCCCAAAGGAAAAATGGAATTTTCTTCGACATTTTCTACTTAGTTGAACTCGTCCTTCCATGTTTTTACCTAAAGCATCCTAATTACTCCTCCACTAAACTGCTGGTTAAGAAACTGGTTTATGTGGTCCATTCGAAGGGGCAACGTGCCATGGGGCCTTGTCCTGTAGGCTGGGTCTTGAAGACTCTTTTTCACGAGATAAGTTTCCACTCCAGGCCAAGTGGAATGCCCACAGAACCACTTCAAGTGCAACAACTCCAAGTGCATTTTCAAGTCCTGGATTTGCGATGGGGAGGATGACTGCGGAGACAACTCTGATGAAGACAACAGGCACGCTTGTGGTGAGGAAGCTGTTCACAATTTGGGAGGATGGTGCTGGTGCTGAGGCCTGAGGATTCTCATTTCAGGTGCACCCAAGTTCCAGTGCGAGCATGGCAAGTGGCTGTGTCCTGGAGTTACGGAGCGCTGTGTCAATATTTCCTCGATCTGCGACGGAAAATCGGACTGTCCCAATGGAGCCGACGAAGGGCCAGGCTGCGGTAAGGCTTTTTTCCTCTGGGCTCCGAGAGCCGTAGGCAGGAGATGGAATTGTGAGCGTGCAATGTGCTTCCAGCTTCGACACCGTGCAAGGAAAACAAGGCGGGTTGCACGCACGATTGCCACGTGACACCTATGGGCCCACTGTGTGTCTGCCCCAAAGGCGAAGTGCTCAACGACTCGACCACCTGCGTTGGTGAGTCCCACAAATTGACCTCGTTGTGGTGACTCGACGAGTAACTGTTTTTGTGCTTGCAGACTTGAATGAATGCAACATTGCTGGATCATGCAGCCAACACTGCACCAACAGCAAAGGATCATTTACTTGCGCATGTGAAGACGGGTACCAACTTGAGCTCAAGCACAAGTGCAAAGCAACAAGTAAGTTGTCCTGTATGGTCCACAGAGTTTAACAGGATTAGGTACTGCTGGTTGGTATGCCTTGAGCATGAATAGGCTGCCTTTCAGACGATAAATACTGACATTGTATTACAGTAAAAGAAAGCACTACTTTTAAAACAATTCTGCAGCATTTGAATGAATCTTTTCCAGATTGTTTTTTTTTCTTACAAGATAAATACCTAGTAACATTAGACGTGTACTATTGCAGCCACTTTGAGCCCAGATTGGGCATTGCACTACTGGATTGTGTGTTATTATAAAACAGCATGTTCTGGTGGAGTGTGCTGAACTAGTTCATCACAAAAGATGTTAATCAGTGTAAATGAAAAAATGAATATGGTTAGGGGTCAGGAATACTGGCCCATTCAACACTAGCAACCCCATTGATGTCTCGTGTTTTAATTGTTACTGATGCGACCTCCCTTATGCGAGACTGGTTGCATCAATTGGATTCATTTGTATTTCTAGGAATCCCGAAGGCATTGTTTCATTTGAATTGAATTCAGTTGCTCCCCTATCTGGAGTTACGAGATCCCACCGGTATTTTTTTGTGCTCCGGACGACTTTTCAGCAATGGCTAAAGGTCGCCGCACCACGTTACGTGGCAATGAATATTATTCCGGGTGTGGGCAAGCTCTCCCTGTGCTGTTGTTGGGATGCAACCAACTCTGGGCACGTCGCCATACGGGTGCAAGAGGTGTTTGAGGTTGACGGTGCTCCCCCCCACTCCTTGTCTCCCAGATCGTTCCGAGGCATTCCTGGTGATCTCGAACCGGCGTTCCATCCTTGTTGCCAACTTGGACACAAGCTTTCTGGAGCGTGTGCCGGTCAAAGTGGAAAATGTGGTGGCTACTGCTTCAGACATGGCCAGCAACACCATCTACTGGTCAGACATGAGCGTGAAAAAAGTGTTTCGGCTGACGAAGGGTGGGGATCCCCAGGTGGTGAGTCCGCCTTCTCTCTCTGCGCCTTTGGTGAGCAACTTTGGCCTGGAAAGCTTCTCTTCACACTTCCTCGCTCATGGCCTTAGGTGATTTCCAGTGGCCTTGACCTAGTGGAAGGGCTGGCAGTGGACTGGGTCGCTCGCAACCTTTACTGGGTGGACTCTCGGCTCAAGACAATTGAAGTGTCCACTCTGGATGGAAGGAACCATATTGTCCTGCTCAAGGAGAACATCAGTCAACCCAGGGGCCTTTCCTTGGATCCCAGAGAAGGGTGGGCTTCTCGACTTACCTTGTCTGTCCTGGCACAGTGGAAGCTGATAGTTCGGACTAATTTTTTGTAGTTCTCGGATTACTTATGCACATCAAGTGCACAAACTGTGTACGTTCGACTCGTAAAGCATATACCTTGGTGTAGAAATGTGGCGACTTTCATCATATCAGCGCAAAATTCTCTGATGAAAGGTCCTAGTTGGGAACTGTTTAGCCCCTCAAGTGGGAGTTATTTTTGAGTTTGCAACCATGCCTTGGCGAGTTGTTTTTTTTTTTTTGTTGCATAAAAAGCTTGAACATTGTTTTTGCACAGAAAATTTGAACTTGCTTATTTAATGTAAAGAAATATGTTGCTTCTTGTGCTGAAGTACAGAGAAGGGGAGACATTCATTTTTTTATACGCTTGATTTTGTATGGCAGGTCGTAAAGACGAGTGATTTCATGGACGTGTTTCGAGAAAAATACAATGCCAGGCTTGGCTTTTGAATAATCCCGAGGTTTTGCTGTCACTGAGCATATACTCATGTCCGAGTCGTTGAAGTCACTTCGCTGAAGCAACAATGCGATTTTCGCAACTGTCGTAACTTTGCGCCACTTCCGTGCATCCATGATCCAGAAAGAGAACAGACATTTCCTACCAAAGCAATTAAATTATTTTGCCAGCCTGCAAACGCAAATAAACCTAAACGTGTTGTATATTCCGTTCGATGGATGGCAACACTTATAACCTCCTTGAAAGATTAGCTTGTGTTTCACAACGTGTTCCTTCCGCCTGAAAGAAGTGTTGCGTGTCTTTAGACGCGTTCCCCATCTCAAAGTCAAAATAGAAGCATGTCCAAAGATGGGCTCCTCTGTTAAGGAGTTAAGCAATGAAACCGACTGCCACATTGTGACACCAGGGAATGCAGCAGTCCATTTCAACCTCTTTATTAACAGTTTAACCCTACCTTAAAATAATGGTTTAACATGCCACATGACTTTTGTGCCACCCTGGCTAGTTGGTAGTGCAGTCTAAGCTCGTTATAACGGACCTTGATTTTAACCAAGATTTCGGTGTGTTGTAAAAGGAGTATGATGTATGCAGATATGAAGTTGAGTCAATGGGGCATAGAGGAAAACCAACCAAACTTCACAAATCGGTATGTTATATCCAAATGTCTGTTGTAACCAGGTCTGTTATAATGAGCTTAGACTGTAGTACAGGGTGCAGTCATATTGCCGCACCCTTATTACCAACTAGCCCACTTGTCCACCGGGCTGTATATTGCACTAGAACCTCATTGATATATTCTTGGTTAGTACATTTTCCCTACCATTACATTCATAAACACTATTCCCATTGAATACCCATAGGAATATCTGTATTAATTTTCTGTTTGTTGCATTCGCCTTGTTGGCTGATATGTCCAAAAACTGTCATCTGACACTCCCAGCGTGACATCTCAAGTTTGCTGAACCGCGGCTGCCCTCTTTGTTTTGCTCCACTCAGTCTTTCACCTCCACACCTCTCTGAGCCACACATCTAGCTTGCCTGTTCTTGTCCGAGTGAACGTGACCCTGAACTGCTCGCTGGGGAATGTTTGAGGCTTTCACGACAACCTGTTCTTTTATCCTTCTCTTTCTCTGATGCACGCACATGCTTTTGTTGTATTCGGTGACTTTGTTTTCTGGGTTGCGCTGGTTTTGATCATTTCACATGGAGTTTGAGGTTAGTCATACACCATCTGGAGTGTGCTTGTGGCATGCGCACTTTGAGGTTTACTCTTTTTCACCAGCATGCTAGAAGTGGCTGACACCAAGCAGCATCTGGATTAGCTTCAGGTGCTCAGAAAGTTTGCTTGTGCTTATAGTTTGACATTCTTTAGCTGTGATTTTTGATCGACCCCTAATTTAAAATAACAGTTCCAAGGGAAAGAAATGTTTACCTTTACTTAAATAAAAATTATACTTCTACACAGCCATCGAAGTACATGGAAATAACTTGCTGTGAAAGAGTTTCTTCTTGCCTCATTTATAAGCACCCGAAAGCGTTATCGGCTGGCACATTTTTCAAGATCATTTGGGCTCTGCAAATGTCTGAATTTTCGAATATTAGTTGTGAATAATACACTATCTGTTATTCGTTTTGAGAGGAACAGCAACATTCATGATTCTCCAAGTGTTTATTGCGGCGGGTTAGCCGCAGTGAGTGCACTTCTTACAGAGCACTGGAGCATTGTGGAGAAGCATAACCTGTGGGAGCTGACACTGCAGTCCAGTGAACCTTGCTTCTCCGCAATGCATCCGTGTGCTTGGAAGAGTACACCTTCAAAGTGTGCCTAGTTTATTTAAAAAGAAATGAATACAACTTTTCAAAATTAAAACATGAATATTATGCAAGTGTATGTGTTAGGCAGTGATGTCCTGACAACCTGCTTTTATCATTCAGGCTTGCTTTTTTTTCTTTCATATTCAAGATTAAAGTTAGGATAGAGGTCTAAGTTTATGTCAAATAGATTGTTTACTTGTCATCCCAATGTAGGCATTTATCTAAGGCCACAATCTATATAGTTGGATTAAAATTAACTGAACTTAGAAGGGGATAAGTGGAAGCTTGGTAACTACCTTCACAAATTCATCTGGATTTCATTTAAGCATGGTACAACAATAGTGAAAGGCTTAAAGAAACTTTAATATTTCATTTGAAAATATTCGGCCAAAACTACTATTTGCTTTGAATTCACTTTCGTTTCCTCGAACTTAAAGTTCACTATTAGCATGCATCTACAGATTATAAATTTTATTATTGCAGTCCCTTAAAAATAAAAAACATACCAGTAAGGTTGCACCATAGCTACCCAGCACTACATAGTCATGTAACAGCCATCCTCTCAGATTTTCTGAGCTAGGCACGAGTTCTGATGGCAGTTTGGTGAACAATGTTGCAGAGTTCGACTCATGTTCTGGACTGACTGGGGTGAGAATCCACGAGTTGAGAGCGTGGGGCTTGATGGCACCATGCGCAAAACAATTGTCCACACCAAGATCTACTGGCCCAATGGCCTGACCTTGGACCTGCCAAACAAGCGCATCTACTTTGCGGACAGCAAGCTGGACTACATCGACTTCTGCAACTATGATGGCTCTGGGCGCCAGCAGGTCTTGGCACACAATCACGTAAGTGCTTGTTTACTGTTCTCAAGGGGTGCCAGTCCTTGGAGATGCCTTAGTCTCAAAGTGCAAAAGTCAAATGCCGTGTCCCTGAGGGCACTTCTTCGCAATGGCGGACTCTAGCAGAGCCTGATCGTTAAATGCAAGGGGGGCAAGAATGAGCATGACCAGCACTCTAGATCTTCTAGATGAATGAACTCCGTCAAAAGAGCCAGTATAACAAAAAAACATCCTTTCTGCCAGCTTTTTTTTCTGGCCTTGGTTGTCCTGTTTCCCAGTTTGGTCTGTATTTCCTAAAACTGGGGAAAACCCACCGATCTACTTTCTGCGAGGGCTTACCAGGCGACTGGTCTGCCCTAAAAGACACTGTGCACCGAGTGATCAGGAGGTCTTTTAGACGCACCGATTAAGCATACACACGGGCGAAGTTTGACCTGCAAACACACTTGTGGCTTTTCGCTTAAAAGTTTTTGCAGCTGTTTCTGCTTCAGTTGCAATACCGAGGCACTGTTTTTACGAGCACTGTTTGACGAGAGGAAAGATGCCAATATTAGGAGAAGGCATGCTTCTGGGAGGTTTCCGAACGAACGTTGGCAAAGATGGAGTTGTGCTAAGCGAAGTAGACGTCCCCGTCGGACTATTCAAGTTGCGTTTGAGACTTCAAAACTAGTGTGCTACTTGTTAGGGTTGGGTTTGTTTTTATTCAGCATAAAAAATATGTCTACCAATCGGCTTACGCGTTGAAATCGAAAAAACTGATCGGTCTGCCCCCGTAACTCCAATAAAAATATCTGGAACCATACCCACTCTCAAGACCACTTTCACTCTAATGTCGAGGCATCAGCAGTGACTGCGAGAATAGCGGTGTCACTGTCATTGGGCAGCACACTTCGCTCGGCCTCTGTGGCTCTGGCTTGCCCGGCACTCGTCACCAAGACCGGATTGCCACAGGCCGAGGTCAGCGAGCATTTGTCTCTAAACCTGCCAGTTGAAAGCCTGCCAGTTTCGAAGGACCTGTTTCCACGAGCTCCTTATACGAAACTGAAATGCATCGATCATTGTTGCTCGAAGTAGGCCCACGCGAAATAAACCTTCAGTGTCCAATTTAAAAAAGATAGAAATTTCTGGAGAACCTCTAGCAGAGATAGAAGGGGGGTTGCCCTGCACGTGTCAGTTTTTAACCTGGGGTATTCTTAACTTTCAGTACCTGCTGCATCCCCACTCGCTGACAATCTTTGAGGACACTCTGTACTGGACAGACCGTCAGCTCAACCGAGTGCTTTCGTGCCAGAAGTTCCGGGGCACTAACCAGACAGTGGTCTCCCACTTGGTCAGCCAGCCCCTGGGCATCCATGTCAACCACCCGGTGCTGCAGCCACAGTGTAGGTGACCGACCGCTCTGGTCTGCTCCAGGTTGGGGAGCACCAGAAGGCAGCGGCCAATCCGAGTGGATCTGGAATAGTTGAGGAATCGTCGGAATTGAAACAATTTGTTTATCCCTAGTTGTAGTGGTTATAGTGGTTAGCAACGTGTTTGCTGCATGAATTTAGGCAAGCCAGTTCATTAAATGGTCAGGAAGGAAAAGGCTAATGCCTAGGAGGTCGTTAATGCAATTTGAGTCTAAAATGGGCTTGACTTTGTTTTCCCTGTATGCTTGCAGCCAGCAACCCTTGCTCTAGTGCCCCATGCTCGCATCTCTGTCTGCTGTCTCCATCCCGGCCCAGTCAGTATTCGTGTCGTTGCCCACCCGGGTACACTCAGGACCGTGCATCCGCAGGCGGATCATGCATCCCGGGTAAGTCGCTGCTCTGTGGTCAATGGGCTTCTCGCAAGTTGGTCACTTTAGTCCGTTGCTATCACCTGTTTACAATGTTTGCAGGCAGGTAGTAATGGGCTGCCAGAACTTAACCAATGGGTGTAGCTTCTAGTGAGCCAGTATGAAAGTTGACATTTACTTTCTACTTTTGTTTGCCTTGCCCAATCCTCTTCCTTGTAAGAGTTTGGTCCCCTCTTCTGTGAGCAGAGGGCATGCCAAGCTTTGTCTCTCCTCCATCCCCCTCTATCCACAGTTTCTGTGAGGAAGATACTAAGAGAAGTATCCTATTTTCCTAACGAGCTGGTTGGTAAAGATACTAGATAACGGAACATATAAAACATAGGACGAAACACAGACGAGGACATCCTTTCAACTGGCAACAATGTTTATTCCACGGGGTATGATCGCCCGTTCCCCCGTGCATTTTTAGGGAAAGGAGGAAATGAGCAGAGGCAAAGGGGGAAGGGAAGGAAGGAAAGACAGTCTAGTGGGGAGGGCGGAGGGTGCGTGGACTATTTCAGAATGGGCCGCTCTCTAAGGTCGTCAAGTCACCCCGGAAAGCTCTAGGTGCAGAAAATCCATCTCTTTCAGACGACTAGCGAAGGGGATCAGACATTGACACCCTCCCCCCCTCTCTGCTTCTGCTCTTTCCCCCTTTTCCTAAGAATGCGCGGGAGGATGAGTGATCATACTCGGAATAAAGTTTGTTGTGAGTTGAAAGAACATACTCGTCTGTGTTTCGTCCTCTTGTTTTATTCTTCCTGCTATCTAGGAGTATCCTCCTTGCAGACAATCAAGGCAGCACATTTGCCGTTAAGCAAATTGTATTTACAATATGGGAACGCGTTTATCCATATACGCAAAGCTCAGCACCTTGAAGGTCATTGTTTTGTGTATGTGCTTGTGCATACTTGTCTTGCTTATCAGTGAACATAAGTTCTGCTTAACTGCTTGGCAGGCACAAATAAGCTCAGTGCTCTTCTAATCTAACGCAGTAAACAAAAATCAAATGATATGAACAGGGGATTGAAGTGTCAGGGTGATTTGGGTGTGACTGAAGCGTAAATAAATGTTTGCTCTATTTTTGCTCGTATTGAGCCACCGGAGTCTCCTTCGGTTGACTTGGGGTTGAAACCGGAATTGTGCGATGGCTGCACTTGGTTTCCTTTGCTCTTTAGTGGACACCCCCTTCTTGATGCTGATGAAAGCCAATCAGCTGATCGACATGAGCCTCTCCCCTGACGAGAAGTCTGCTGGACAGATTGTGCCCGTTATTGGGATTGAGAATGGCTACGACTTTGACTACGACAAGCAGGAAGGCATAATCTACTGGGTTCAACTCTCGGAAGATGACAAAGAAAATGTGAGTCCTTGGTGTCCAAATGGTGGAGCATGCAGCTAATAGCACGTTGTTTTTTTTTTGTTTTTGTTTTTTGTGGCAGGGCACAATCTACACTGTTAGCCTCAAAGGAGGAAATGTCACAAAATTTTTAGTGGACAGCATCATCGGTGCGCCTTATGCACTAGCCTTTGACTGGGTCGGGCGTAACCTATACATTGGAAATCGAAAGGCCTCCAACATTGAAATAGTCAAGGTGGACGGAGAGAGAAAGTTCCGTCGGATTCTTCTAACTAACGATGGATCTGAGAAGGGTGTCGGGAAGCCAAAGGCCATGGTAGTGGACCCCGAGCAAGGGTAAGTTCGATGCAGGTCGTCGTAGACTTCGGAAGAGACTGACGGGGATGGACGGGCCGTGTAACGAACAGTGTCGCTTTCCAGGAAGCTTTTCTGGCTAGATGAAGGCGGCATCGGCGTCCCTCGAAAGCTGGCCCGAGTGTCTATGGATGGAAAGAACCCAATTATTCTGGTGAAAGAGAACCTGAGGCGTTTGGAAGCCTTGACCATCGACCTAACTGGAAAGCGCATCTACTGGAGTCAGAGCTTCGAAGGCATTGTGAGTGTTTGTTTTTGTGGGTTCTGACTTTTGGCTCGAGATGGGTTTGCTTTTCCCCCTTTTGTGCGGCACTGCCAGCTGGATGGAGAAAGCCAGGTGGAGGCAGTGGTGGCTTTGGGAGACGGGCTTCTTGCTCAAACCCCCTGGATTTGTTTTTCCAGATTGAAAGTGTGGACCTGGATGGGAACGGTCGCAAGACTCTCGTCCCGAGCACACTGGGGCTGGCCAAACCCCAGGGGCTGACAGTGTTCAGCAACAAGCTCTACTACCTCGATTCAGTGCACGAGAAGATAGCGCGCGTGGATCTCCCCGATGGAGGCAATCAAGTGGTGCTAGAAGACAACACGCCGGGTTTGGTGACGCTCAAGGTGTACGGCAAGAAGCCAGGTAGGTGTCTACCCCTGGGTCTTTTGCAGCCTCTATCGGAAACTCTGCATGTCTGGTCAAATTGCCCTGTACCTCCTGAGCAATTTGCTATTGTTATATCATACTTTCGGATCATACTGATAACTCCTCAATGCATCTAGTATATATGAAGCTACATTTTCTCGTCTCAGTTTTTGTCTAAAATAGATGAGAGTGCAGTAGAACCTGGCTGATTTGCTTTCCCAGCTGTTACGTTCACAACTGCTGGTCCTATTGAATTTCCATGGGGATGCGTGTATCAATTTCACATTTGCAATGTTTGCCTTCCCGGATCGATCTTGCTTCCAAAGAGGGCCACCCGACGCAGTCTACGAATTGGGCTGCCAGGCTGCAGCTGCCCTCTTCCTTTTGTTCTGCTCCCCCTCTCTTTCGCTTCGTTATTGTGCCACAGCAGACATGACCTTGGACTAGGCAAGCTTGGAAGGGATTCGGGCTTTTGCAATCATTCGGTCATCTTGTCATCTTTCCCCAACGCACGTGCATGCACTGTGTTGCGCTCGGTTCTCTTGATTCAGCTATAGTTTGATTTCCCGCCGAGTTTTGCTAACGGTGTTGCTTTTGGGTCGTTTGTTCATTGTTTTCATTTTTTACCACCTTCCAATCGCACCTTCCTTCCTGACTCACTGCTGGCCCCCACAAGCATCATCACTTATTGTTTTGGAAAATATGTATTGTTTACTGTGGCCCCTAAAAAAATATATTGGCTAGGTATACTGGCTGCATGTGTTTAGTCTGTATCGCATGAAATGCCCATACCACTCTTCTATTCCCCCCCCCCCCCCCCCCCCCCTTCCCGAATGTGTGCTTTTTGTAAAGCATTTACGAGGAGCTAAAAAGGCATTCAAGTGGGTTCAGAGATTGTCCATTATGGGTGATAACTCAATCTACAATCCACGGGCTCCAAGCATCCTAAAAAATCATGACACGACCCTCTTTCTGCACGTTGGAGCAGACACCAACGGGCGCCGTCTGATGACGTTTTGAAGCAATAATTGCTGTATTACATATTTTACACCCAAAGATTTGATGTCTCTGTCAAAATATAATGCATGACCAGCCTGAAAAGAGCAATAATAGTAATGTTTAGAATCTCCGTGCAATTAACTATTTTCACTGGTCAAATTTTATGGAGGTCCTGAGGATGCTTCCTCCTTTGCCCCAAGAGATAATAGTGCCCATATATTTGAGAGTTTACTGGGGTGTCTTGACATCTAGAATTGGCCATTTTTATTGACTGAAGCCCAACAAACAATATGCCATCAAAAAGCTTTTACAAAAAGCACGTGCCCCTTTAAGGATTGATTTCAATGCAATTGGGCAGCCAGTGTTTTGTGGGGCTGATAGTCATTGAGGTCTTTTTTGCAAGTGTGACTGATGGAGGATCGTTAAAGCGTAGCCTCCCATGAAATCTTTATTTACGCACACTTTTTTTTACCATGTACATGGTCTCAATCTACAAGACAGGAGACCTCAGTTGATGCATGCGCTAGTTCGAAGATTGCGAGCCAAAATGGGAGCTAGAGCCTAGCTCAATCTCTCTCACCCGATTGGCTTTCCATAAGCTCAGATTCCTTTTATTCAAGGAAGGGTACGTCGGTTATTTTAAGTTCTGTCGGAGCAGTCTCTAACGGATTCGGGCTGACGGCTCCTTGGCCTCTATGGTGCTTTGTGCCAGGCCTCTAGGTCTGAACCTCAAAGGCAGTGGAGAACTCACAAGGAAGCAAACTCCTCTGTAATCAAACGAGTCTCACACAGTGCTTCAACAGAGTACAGCTCACACTTCTAGAAGTTCCACCCTCAGCAAAAGTGCTCACCCCCCCCCCCAAAAAAAAAGTAAGAAACAAAACAGAAATTGAAAAACAGGAATGAAAAAAAAAAAAATTCCAAGGACACCTAAGCACTTCTTATGAGTTGTGAATGTGAAAGCATGAATGTCGTTCTTCCGCTCCCTTAGTTTGTCTGCGGCGTACTGGTGTGGACGGCCACGTCTCGCTACTGCGGAGGTAGCTGCCGACGGCTGAGCGTGCGCAATAGACTACTTCCATAAAGCCCTGCATGCAACACGGCGCGCGTTGCACTCTGGGAACTAGTTGGCCAGGGAGGAGAGTATCATGGTTTCGGTTTCGATCGACCCGTCGACAAGAGATTATACACATGTTTTCTGGTCCCGAGAGCGTCATTTGTGGTCTCTAAACTAACCTAAATGGCCAGACCTCGAAGCTTTAGCACAAGCCTGAGACGTATAGCTTGTCTTAACACATGCTTGTTGTATTTTTGTACTTGAGCCATCCTGTTAGCGTTCCAATCGAGGTATGTGGACGAGCCAGTGCTGGGAATCTCGACGCTGCGAAGCTCTGATCTTGCTTGTGTACGAATCCGCAAGCTGCAGCAACCAATAAGTATGCATACATCGAGCTCGCGCCTTTACATTACTGTTGTTGATCAGGAAGTGAGTTTGTTTCGTGCGTCCATAGACGAAATATAACTTTTTGCAATTACTGTTTTTCTTAGTACGCCTGAGGACGCGAGGTAAAACTCGGAGGCGCTAGTGAAAAGCTGAATTTTAACACACTTATCTCTTATCTGTACTGACCCGCAGCACTGCTCGTAGTGAAGTCCCCACCCGCTTGCATTCCACTGATATTCAACATCGCGTATGCGGTGCGCCAAACGAACGAAATTATTCAAAGCGGATTTGACGGTTGCTAATGGCCACAATATTTGTTATGTGTTTGCTCTCTTCATGACTGAATATCCGGAGATAATTTCAGACACACCGTTCAGGCATAGATCTTGGGTGTCAGTAAAGCTCGTCCAAAAAGGCTTACAGGGGAGTAGGGGACGCTTGTTAGGGCCTCCGTCGTAGCTAGCCGATCTCGGCGTTTGCGAAAACTTAATCTTCTATCAGCATAAAATTTGAGTGGGAGATATATGATGACACGAGGAAGACATCATAGCAACTTTAGTGCAGTAGTGAGGTCGAGTTTATTGCGTTTCCTTAATAAAAGTTCATGCGTCACCGCTAGGCTTAACTTCGATACTCCTGTGAGGATGCGGCTTGCTTTTCGTCCAATGAAGTAACAAGGAGCAGACGTTTGGCACACAAAATACGTGCAAGGTCAGATTTCAGTTCTAGTACACTGGTACTAGGCGGGATTATTGAAACTGGGCTCTAAGATGCTCTCGTGGGGTGAGGTGATTAAGCCACGTCTCAATACGTTTGGATACGCACGCACAATATCCGGTGTTTCGGGAACCAAGGAAAGTGCGCCGGTCTTCGTTTTGTATCAGTCGGGAATGAGTGTATTGTACATTTGTAAAAAGTCAGATAATCAAAAACGCAAGCAGCGCGTTCGGTCGCGACATGATAGCATGAGATGAAGCTGCTCAGTCGAAACCGAAACTGAGTGGCCAACTAGTTCCTAGAGTGCACTGCGTGGTATTTTGCCGCGATGGGGCGCGTCGGTTTTGAAAGAAGTCCATTGTGAAGTGGCCGCGCCGTGCCGAGCGGAGCTCGGTTGTTCACTCTTTCTGTGGCTAAGCGCTCCCTCTTACCGGCAGCCGGGCCGCTGCGTGCGCTGCGCCGCCATGGAGAGGGCTTCTCTAGTGGCGTTCCTTAGAACTACACTGCGCGACAGCTAGCAGGAGCCTCGTTCCTTGAAACTAAGGCGCGTGCCAGCCAATGGGAGCCTATCCATCAGATTGCTGCTACAGACAACAGGCTTTGCTTTATTGGGACAGGGAAATGTGCTGTTTGGTGCGGGTGTAAAAGCTGATGATGTTGGTTCGCTCCATGGGACAGTTAATGCTTTCACTTTAAAAGCCCTCCCAGCGAAAACCACCGGTACCTACCTATTCAGCTCTGTTACACAAGGTGCTCCTTTCGGCTTTCTCTTCTGCACTATGCAGCCCCATTTTTGAAGCCTTTCCCTTTGAAAAGCTTTGTTTGCAATAAATGGCTGGAGCCCAGCCTAGTCTGGCACCGTTCTGACTGTGGGTGCGGCAATGCAGGTGACAGCCATCCCTGCCGAAGCAACAGCGGGGGCTGTGAGCAGCTGTGCATCCCGGTGTCCAACAACCAGCGGCAGTGCATGTGCAGCACAGGCTACAAGGGCAACGGCGACACGTCGTGCATGCCCTACTCGTCGTTCCTCGTTGTCTCTGAGCTCGACAAGGCCAGGGGTTACAGTCTGGAGGACCACGGCGAAGCCATGCAGCCCATTGCCGGACCAGGTGAGCCCTCAACTGTCTAGTTGTGACTAGGTCTAGGACAAGACACTTTGGGCGAGGTTCTTCTGTATAATAACCATCATACTCTGCAAGTTTTATTCAGATTGATAGCAACAAATTTTAAGAAGAGCATTGTGAAATAAGAAAATTCACTCCTTGTGAACCACTAAGTGCAATGCAAATTTCTCTTAGGTTTGTTGCCATGCCCCAACTGTGCACAAGAGCATGTTTTATTTGTCACGTGCATCCAGAACATAAAAAAAAAAGAAGCTATATATATTGAAACAAACACCAGAATAATAAAAAGGAGATAAAGTAGGAACTGCAAAATTTTCATTTAGCTACTCTAAATATCAGTTTTCCCATGGAGCATGTTCCTTAAAACAGGATTCTTGCAAAATGCAAACTAAAAAAAAATAATCTCAGCTCACCAAATGGTGTTGTGGTGTGACCTATGAATAAGGAAACACAACTGCTCACGAGCGACTCTTCATGGAATACTGTAGCTGGACTTGTGCATGAGCAGTACTGTCGAGACCGTTTATAGCAAAGTTGGTTATAACAAAATAGTGGCTACAGCGAAGCGATCATGATTTCCCCTTCCCTTTTGCACTTCGTTAAGCAAAGTCGGTTATAACGAAATAGCGAATATAGGGACGTGATTTCCGATTCCCGTTGACTTCGTTATAACCGGTCTCGACAGTACTTATTTTCTGGATCACTCGTAAATGCAGGAATATCATGTGCGCACCTGCCTTTAGAATCAATGACATAATGAAAGACTGCAATGTTGGATAAGATGTTTGGGCTTTTGGTTCATGGATGGCAGTGAAAGCCACGAGTGTTGCCTTGGCATTGGACACGGGAAGTACCTACCAGTAGCAGAAACAAAGTTGTGTGTAAATTTTATTGAACCTAGGTAATACAAGCAAAACACAAAAGTGGGTGACGACTGACATGTGCGAACAGTGGCATTTTGTTCCCTCCTTTTGTGTTTCGCTTTCACTGTCTTAATAACCATGTCAACACGCTTGTCAAGATATGTATCATTGAGGTAGACTGATTTCCTTCTATTCTCTTATCTTTGCGCCAAGTTTCTTTTCTGCGAGATGCGTCGGTTTGTTTGCAGAGTGCTTTTTGCATGGTGGGTAAACAAATCTGGGCTACTGTAGCTCAGTCCCAGGGAAGGGAGGCGAATTAAATGGCTGGAGAGAAAGCTCTCAAGTTAGGATCGCTGGTTGGAGCTGGAGGAAACTGTCTCTTGCTTGCAGGGCACAACATTCTGCACCTGGACGTCCATGTGGCGATGAACCACATTTACTGGATTGAGTTCAACCAGGGGGAGCGTAATGGCATCTACCGCATCAAGCCAGATGGCACGGACCTGAAGCGTGTCATTGCAGATGGCATCGGGAGCAATGGCATTCGAGGCGTTGCAGTCGATTGGGTTGCAGGCAAGAAAAACCATATTAAAATGTGATCATTGTGTTCAGGCAGTCGAGCGATGAAAAAAAACCTGGAATTTTAAGCTCGAACAAGTCGAGGAGTTTGGCCGAGATGTAATCAGTCGTAGAAATTTGTGGAAGGTGGCTTTTCAGCATACTAGGGTTGTGCCAATGTTAGAACTTCCTAATTGTAGTTTCAAATAATACGCGATTCAGTATTCGCTTCGAGGTGAGCTGCAATAGTATTCATGCATTTCTTGTTGATCGCAGCGGGTCATCTCCGTTGAGTGCGCTTCCCGCCGTACACCTGTGCACTGTGGGGAAGTGATACCCACGGAGCTCACACTAGTCATATACAGTCAAACCCGTTTATAACGAACAGCAGGAAACGCTACGATCAGTTCGATATAGCAAAAAACATTTCGACGACCTTCCACAATACGTTCGTTGTAAGGCGAGAGCTTCTCTTTCTTTCTCATCTCTTTACTTTCGCCTTAAAACAAAACACTAAAAAGCTTTTTTCTTTTTCTTTTCTTTTTTTGCGCATGTGTACAGGTTTTTTTTTAGCTTATCTTCTTTCCTGAATCACTTCTCTTCGTGGGCAAACGCTTTGGGATTAAAAGTGTTTTTTTTTTTGTGCGTGCATGCAGGGTGTATTTTTTAGCTTTCTCCCCTTCTGAATCGCTTCTCTTCGCTCAATTTTGTTCGCAACTTGAGCTTCTGGAATTTTCTTTCTTTCCTGTCCCTTCTTGGGGGAAGGGACAGGCTAGAAGAAGATTGTTTGCGCGTTTTTGGAAGCCTTCTCGGGAGAAAAAGTTTGATACGCCAATGTGTTGTTCGTTATAAAAAGCACTTTTTACATGCATTTTTATTTGAATTTTTTGTGAGTTTGATATTGACAATAATTCGCTGTATGTGGGTTCGTTCTATATGGGTTTCACTGTATAGGGGGAGTTTGTCCATACATTGGGAAGTATAGAGGCAAATGAGGAGGTGCCAATGGTCGAAAGCGGGCTGGGCATGTTCCAGGGCGTCTTCACAAATTTGAATGTGGCCAGCCAAAAGCCGCGAATAATACCCGGGTGGTGGTCGCGAGAAACAAAATTAATGAGTGTCGGAGTAACTCTCGGTGACTGAAAATATGGTGCACATGATTTTTTCACTCACTGTTATGCAAAATAAAAATCCAGCAGAACAATCTACGTATCTGCGAGTCAGGCGTCGAGGGCCGGGAATTTGCCATCCTAGCGGTCAGACTCCGCCTGAGCAAAGTGGAGTTTGAATGCCACATTCGGTTCTTGCATTTTTTTGCATGATCATAATCGAAACGTTGTGTGCACCATAAATTCAACCATAAAGAGAGTCTACATTTAACTCTTAACGCTTATTAAAACTGTTTCTCGCTACCACTGCTAGGAGATGAATTTTCGTCTTCTGGTTGGCCAAGAGAGCATGTCAAGCCCTTTTTATGCATCTGGTGCACGCCCTGGCTCTGCCCACTCCTCCCATTGACCAAACTGTCTCTATGTACGGCTCTGGCTGACACCACAATCCTGTGAACCTCACTTTCCTGCAGCGCAGCCACGCGCTTAGGAGAAAAAAAGCACATGTTCAAAGCGGTATATTTAAAAAAGAAATGAAGACTTTGGGAATGTTAATATCTACTTTGCAGTAAAACTTTACAAATAAACTATGGCTATTATGCAAGAGTATATGTTAGGCAGTGATGTCGTAACAACCTGCATTCATCATTTGGGCTTCTCTTTTTCTTCCTTTTTTTCCCCTCAAATTCGAGATTGATGAAAAAATACTTGGATATAGCAGGAAGATCTGTATATCCTCTCAATTGCACACAGCTCTATAGGTTCGATTTTATGTAAATTCCATAGTTCACTTGCTATCCCAATATAGGCATTAAACTTTGAGGCAACAGTCCATAAATGCAGTTAGTTAAAATTAACAGCTTAGAAGTGGACAAGTGGAAGCTTGGGGGCAACCTTCAAAAGTTTGGCTGGGTTTTTTGTTTAAGCATGGTGCAACAGTAGTGAAAGGCGTAGAAAGGTGTGCTTCGACTATTCAATATTAGATTAGAAAATATTTGGTTAAAACCACTATTTGCCATGTATTTGCTTCAAACTCAAAATCTACTATTTGCACATGCCCACAGCCTATCTTCTTTTATGTGCATATATGTTCAGGCAGCACAGCCTCTGCCTTTGATTTATACCATACCTGCATGCTGGAATTACGAATGTCTGTATGAATGTCAGTGGGGCTTGAAATGTCAATTTGAATTCATTTTAGCCTGCAAGTTTTCGTATCATTAAGGGTGCAGTGCACCACTATCTGTTATCGGTGGTTGTCGACATAAGAGTCGGAGAAGCCTGTTAAGATCATGCAGGAACATCTGGAAGGTTTGGGGACTTTGCAAACACAATTTTTTGTTGATGCTTTAGTTGTATTTAGTAGAACTTCACAAACAGCTTTTGTTGAGGGTCCACCTGTATTTAATGGAATGAGCAAGTTAATTGCATAATTTCTTTTCCAGGAAGTATCTACTTCACCAATGTCTTCCCTCACGAGACCTACATGGAGGTTTGTGAACTGGATGGTTCCAACAGAGTGATCCTGCTCAAGACAACCACTGACTCACCACGAGAGATTGCTGTGAACCCCATCAAACGCTACCTCTACTGGATTGATTATGGACAATACCCTAAGATCGAGAAGGCCTATTTGGATGGCACCAATCGCGTTCCTATTGTAGTCACCGGAATCAGCAATCCAAGGGATCTTACTATCGACATTGTCACCCACGACGTCTACTGGGTCGACTCCAGAGAAGATGCAGTTCAGGTGAATTCGGCTTTGCAAACGTTTGTACGAGAATGTATGTTACAAGCAACGTGGCACACCTTAGGATTGAACCCTTTGAATGCAAGCTATAGTTTGCAAATATTTTATTGTCTGTGAAAACTGGGGGTGTGAGCAGGTTGCTCTAGGAGATATTCTTACTGCACAAGTATGGCAGAATGGCCTTAGGCCCGCTTCAAACGCAGTTATTTTTCCCGGCATCTTGACATCGTAACACTAGTAACATGGGCCCCTCGCGTTAACATGCAGCAACCGGATTGCTATGATTTGCTATCATCATTCAGTTTAAATTTTCATGCACTATATGGATGCCCAATTATGCACTAAAAACATGTTTTTAGATCTTCAAATAGCATTGAGAATGTGAACATATCTCCCTGAAACGATTTAGTCGTGAAAACGATTCCTTTCAAACCAGAACGAAGTTAAACCCCATCTTTAGTTGTCACCACCACCACAGTGGAGTCGCATGAAAATATTGCATTCCTCATAGGCTGCTGCCGCTTTGAACCTCTGGAGAGTTGCTCACCCGTTTTGAGTTGGGCCTGATCCCAGCAATGTGTGCTGCAGTGCGAGGATCTAGGGAAAGCAATGGAACAACGCGCCAGCAACCCCGAAATTGCTGGGAAAATTGCTCCGTCTGAAGCAGGTCCTAGACAGCCACGAACTAGCACTTCAAAACTTCTGTGCCATACATTTCTCTCTCTAAATCCAAACGAGATTTGGATAAGGGCTACTGTTTGTTCGAGAACTGCAGGAAATGATCCTTTTCCACGCAACTGTTTGTGGTATTTTGCCATTCCGTAAGACCGGGCTTGCCACAAAAGCAGCTTGCATACTGTAAATGAGTTCATTTTCGTGAATCACCTACAATTCGTAAAAAAATAGGTCCCACGAACGATTCCGAAAAAATGTAAACACATTGGAATCTATATATTGAGATCCCAATGCGTCGCAAAAATTGGAACCTGCAAATTATTCCAGAACTTCAGCTCTGACCTAAATCGCGAAATATTGAGCCTGCAAAAAATAAGTCGTTTACAGTATTTCCTTTGATATGGATCATGCTTGCATTATACATACACAGATAAACCAGCTTTATATATGTGGCATTTAGAGAATTCCCAAGTCAATGTTGAAGAATGAATGTTTCTGCAGTTTTGGGTCTTTGTTTCTGCCAAGATCTCAACACAAGGCAATCTTTTCTTCGTCTCTTGAGTGCCTTCCAGGTTACTTTACAAGGACTTTTGTTCTCTTGCTTTCAGAAAGTGGCCTTCTCGGGTGGCAGCCGCCAGTATGTGAGGAAGAACCTGCCCAACCCCATGGGAGTGGCCGTCTCTGGCCAGTATGTCTACTGGGCCGACCGGAACCTGAGGACCATCTACAGGGCCAGCAAGTTCCCGAGCAACACCTCGACCCCCGCAGAACCTGTCAAGTCGGACCTTAACATGCTGCGAGATATTGTGGTCTTCGACAGTTCGAACCAGCCTCCAGGTATTGACTTGCATGGAAGCCAGGTGGCATCAGTTGATTGTGTGGACATGCATGAAGGAAGGAATGTGAATGAGCAGTAGGGTCTTAGTACCGTAGTTAGAATTGCGAGAAGAGAAAGTATGCCGGTGAGCTGATCAACCCTGAGACAAGGATAGATAAAATAACGGACAACACCACACAAAGGTTTTGTCATGTCGGTTGAAATTATGATGTTATGACCTTAGTATCTAGCTGGGTTGGGCAGTTATTCAAATTTTTAGTACTAGTTTTAAGTAATATGCTATTCGACCTTCGCTTCATGATGAACTGTAATGTTAATACTTTTTGGGGCGGTGGCAAAGTCACGGTCATGCCGGGTGAGTGTCTCTCATTGAGCACTGCATAGATGCAATACCCGTGAAGTGGACGACACGATCCTGCAGATCTAGCTTTGTCGTGTCACGGCTGCGTGATCACAAAAAAAAAAAAAAAAAACACCTTCAGAGGCGATGTGCATACACACTTTGTGCATTTAGAAAATGCTGGAACTTGGGCAATGCTGATGACCACCTTTCAGTAGCATTTTCGAGACTAAACTATGGCTATTATGAAGTAATATAGTATATCATGTTGCAATGGCCTCACAAGCTGTGTGCATCATAGGTCGTGTTTATTTTTTTAGATTTGAGGTTAAAGGATATTTATTTGGATGTAACAAGAGAATTTTTATCAATCTATTCGATTCAGTATAGCTAGGCTTCAATCTAAGTTTAATTTCATGTCAAATCCCTCGTTTACTTGCCACACCTATTTAGGCCTGGAACTGGCCAAGGCCACATTGAATTAAAGTTAACTAAGCTTAGCTGTGGCAGCGATGCGATTGCTGCGCCATTTGCGCCAAAGCGCTTACCCTGCTACATCTTGCCAAAATATTGTGAATTTGCACTAGCATTGCGCTAAAACGTAATTTCACTTTAGAATTACTCGAAATATAATAGCTGATGCCCCACTGCACGGCCTGGTCGTTGGGTAGGCCTGCTGTGCGAATTTTAATTACCTTCGATTATCGCCTCAAATAACATGCTACTCGATTTGACCTCTGCGTCAAACACTGACAGTACTCGGAAGTCTCGCAATATTTTGCATGTTCGTGGTCTATTCTGGCGGGTTGGGTAGCTTCGTGAATGCGGTTCTAGTCGCGCTTTGGTGCTGCAGTGAAACAAGAGCTGCAAAGTAGGCATCACGATTTTGAGTACTTTGCTTCACCGCAGCACACCTGCATGCTAAGAAGAATGCACCCCTCCAGAGCGGGATGTCGCACACGGGGGCGTCGCATATATTAAAAACTAAAGGGAGCTTAGTGAATGTTGATGTAACAGCCCTTCCTTTCACTAGAATATTATGATTAGAACAGTGGCTAGTAGTATAATATATAATAGTACACCAGACTGGATATTGGGAGGCCCGGTGTTCAAATCCCAGCTCCGCCAAAGATTTTCGTCTTTCGGCTGATTCATAGACTTTACCTCATTCGATCAAGTATGGTTAATTTATCTGCATATTTTCAATAATAAACAACATTGTGACATTTTTTTTTTTTTCAAATTTAAGGAAGAATCTTTGGTTATTGTGAAAAAATTTATTTAGACCGTTTTCTAGGTTTATTTTTTAAGCAGAGCTCTCGTATTGAGTTATAACCAGGATTCCGTGCTTTCGGAGTGTATTTCTCGTGAAATTCGGAGAGTGTTTTTCGGAGTTTATTTTTCGCTGAAAATTCATGTTTTGTTGGAGTTTATTTTTGTTAGATTCCCATTTCTCTGAAATTCGGAGTTTATATTACTGTGTCCCCAATTTAAAAAATTAAAAAACAAAATAGTCAAGGTACCATGTCCCATTGTCATGAAGGAGCCTTGACAAGCTAAAAAGCAAACCCCTTTCTGAATAGTTTGAGACTTCAAAGGAAACTGAAGTTGCGTCTTCTCAGGACTACTGACCTTGTGCTTTTATAAAGTTTATTTGTAAAACCCTTTCTTTTTTGCTTTTTCTTTTTTCTTTGTGAACTCAAAATTCGGAAGTTTTCAGATAAATCTAAATTGACGGAAAATTTACCGGGGAATGTTTTTCGGATTTTTTCAGACTTTTCCGAAAACATCGAACCCTAGTTATAACCTCTATATAGGTTCCATCATAGGTTCCATCTGTGTGATGACACAGTGAATAGAGTAAATTAAAACTAAATTAGCTGGTGCAGTGGGTGGAAACTTTCAAATAGCTTTAACGAGTTTGGCGGGATTTTAAGGAGGCGTATTCATCGTTCACATGCCGAGTTTTGTTATCATAAGGTTCTACATATAAAATGTCATTATTGTTCATAATTAAATAAAAAAGCCTTTTTATGTTAAGAATTGCAGTTTTATTACTACCTTTAGGACTTCAATAAAACATCCATATAGGTGCTTGATATTACAGTCGAGCCCGGTTATATCGCACTCGGGTATTTTGAATTATTGTTTATATCGAACAGTGCAAACATCCCCTTCAAAATCTCATGTAATAGTATAGGAGCGTTGTTTTTCTGTATCGAACTCACATGGTGGGGGCACTCGATATAGTGAACGAAGCACCGTAACACTTGTTTTCCTTCGGTCACATCCATGCAAAAGGCATGGGAGGCCAAACGTTTCATGAATTTGTTTTGTATGCTTTTCCAGGTCTGTGTACTCTGTGAGAAAGAAAAGTAATCCGATTTTTCATGTAGGCCTGAATAGCACTTGTAGCATACAGTTTCTGGACTGCTGAGGTACCTGCTGTAAAATAGATAATTGTGAACATTTGTATATTTTCTTTTTTTCACTTTTTTTTTTTTTTTACATTTTTTAACAACTGAGAAAATCTACAAAAATGTCAGCCTTTGTAATTTGAACCAAAACATCAAATGCTTATCAGCACAGGGAACTTTAAAAAAATTTGGATGACTCCTGTAACAATGTGAAGCACACAATACAAAGCATCTACTAGCATGTCTGTGTTATATACTTGTCAATCAGCAATTACAAAAGAAGCTAAGAATGCTTGTACACTCAGTGTTGACTTGAAGTGTGAGATTGCTTGCTAATTTGCAGCTTCTTCACCGTGCTCAACGCGTCCCTGTGACCAGCTGTGCTTTGCGATGCCGGAAGCCTTCAATAGCACCAAGTGGAAGTGTGGCTGTGCTTCGGGCGAGCTGGCACCGGACGGGCGGAAATGTGACAGTAAGTGGAAGGCTGTACGGGGGGGGGGTCTAAGATCTCTGGGAATAGTCTCAATCAGTAACTGTTACCTTGCAGTTTCAAAAGTGTTCCTGGTCTTCACGACACGTCGGGAGATCAGAAGCCTTTTCATGGACCCCCACAAGACAAATGTACCGTTCCAGCCTCGAGGAAACCTCACCAATGTGGTCGGACTTGATTTCGACTATGCTGACAAGAGAATGTACTTCACACGTAAGCCTCTGTTCATGGACACTTTCCTGTTTAGGGTTGGCCATTTGCTTTGCCATCGCCCTCTCGGTGGCTCCAAGACAAAGCTCCGTCCTACGGGCCCCCAGGTGGCGGGTTCGGATCTCGGCCTAGATGTTCGCAATCTGACGGAGGCTGATTGCGGAGAGGGCTACATGTAACCGAGCTTTCAATTGCACGTCAAAAGATCCCCAGGGGATCGAAATTAATCTTCAGTCCTCCACTGGGGTGTGCCAGCTGCTCGTCATTGGTTTGGCACATAAAACACCCAAATTTGACTTTTCATTTGCTTTGCCATCAAGAGGGCCACAACGAGATGCCTGGTGGTTGACTGCTATTTTTCTGCTTCAATCTGAACCAGCATTTAAAAAATTGTTCACTTTCTGTGTTGAGGCTGTCCCAATGGGAGTGCATTTGAATGCCAAATGACGGCTGTTAGGGGTCACATAGGTAAATTTGTAATTTCTGCAAAATACCTGATTGTTTTTGACATTGTAAAGAATGAACAAAATGCACATATTATAAGGCAGTACTGGGCAGTTGAAGTGAGTACTAGTAATTTTTCGAGTCTATTCAAATTGCCGTAAAGTACCGGAGAAGCGCCCACCCCACTTGCACTTAAAACTGGGTTAATCTAGGCATGGGCACTTGTCCAGTTAAATCGGGCACTTATAATTTGCAGAATTTCCAAGTCTGGGAAATGTTAATAGTGGGTGCTTGAGCGAAGTGGGCGCTTCCGCGATGTTTTATGATAAGTAGAATCTCACTGATACGTTTTCAGGAGACTGCAGTAAGAAGCTTCTGTTCTGAAAAGAAAATTAGCAACCGATAATGAGCTATACATGAGTGTCTTGCGGATATTTTTTTCCTTTGTATTTCTGAATAAAACAATCGGGCAAATTGTTTCTAAGGTTTCCTTAGATGCACATTCTTTTGTGTGCTCTCTCAGCTGCCACTTGCTTTATGCTTTCCTCGTAGAGATTCGTCCTGATGGCAGCATTTCTTGGGTGAATCCCGACAAGATGGACATACACGTGGTACTGAACAAAACTATAAATCCCGAGGGCATTGCATTCGACTGGACGACCAAAAAGATCTACTGGACCGACTCTGCCAATCGCAGCATATATGCCATGAACAGAGACGGCAGTCAGCTTGTCATGATTGCCCATGTAGAGAGGCCCAGGGCCATCGTCTTGGATCCCTGTGAAGGGTAAGTTGGTGTTTTTTGTTTGTTTTAGGAGGGGGGGATCTTGTCAATGCCATCTTGCTTCACCCTCGAATCTAACCTTTTACGTCCCAATGATTATCAATTTAGTTTCATGTACTACACTGACTGGGGACGCTATGGTAACACGGGCAAGATCTACCGAGCAACAATGGCTGGGAACAAGAAACAGGCTATAGTAGAGCAAAACTTGACGCAACCAAGCGGGCTGGCTCTCGATTATGAGGACAAGAAGCTCTACTGGACGGATGCTCTCAGGTGGGCTTCCTTCCTCGTTCGTCGGCATTGTAGTCACGGAATGTGGACTCTGGTTAGCCGGGGCCACCGGTGATTTATACTCCCATCCAATGCTCGTTGCAGAGAGAAGATTGAACGCTCGGACCTGGACGGAAGCAACAGGGAAACCCTTGTGTCTGCTACCATTTATCCTTTTGCAATTACGGTGTACGAGAACTATATTTACTGGACGGATCTCCAGCTGCGTAAGTGGTTTGGTTAAAGTACCGCATTGATTGCTTGTTGCAAGTGTCGGCTGAGGTTTCTCGTGACTTGCTTGCTGCAGGTGGAGTTTATCGGGCGGAGAAACATACTGGTGCCGGAATGGTGGAGATGGTGAAGAGGCTCGAGGAATCTCCCAGAGACATCCATATTTACTCACCGGACCGGCAAAAATGTTAGTTTATTTTAGTTTGGTTTCTTTGGTAATTAATAATGCGGAGAGAAAGTCATCTGCTTCTAGTACAGGAGTTGTGGTGACGTCAGAATGACACCAAGCTCAGATTTGTTTTGATTTAAAGGATAGTGGGTAGACCTCAATGCTAGACGCCTTGAGGTCTATCCACTATTTTTTTCAATCGGCCAATAAGAGCTCGACGTTCTGACATCATTCCAACCCCTGCAAAGAAGCAGACGAACTTGCGCTCCACATAACCTAGAAGAGGGGGAAAAATGCGTGGAGTGATCTTCGGGAAACCCCTCCCAAGGTGTTTGGCAGTTCCAACATAATGATGGCACCTGTTGGCATCTTGCCTGCAGGACACTAAAAGAATTACTTTGACTTGTTTGGAAATTGTGGCTATCTCTCTCTCACCACAGAAACTCCCCCAATATTTTTTTTTATTCAGTGCCTGAATAGCACATGTACTGCGTAACAAAATTAACATTCCCCAGAAGATTTTTTAATGCAATATTTACATGGCAAGACTCGTTCGAGTGATCACGAAACATGCTTCTATTTCTAGGTCACCCAGAATAGCATGTTTCATGAAAATCAAAATGTGCCTTGTGCCGTAAATATTGTGCTCAAAATTGTTTTGGGGGGAGGAAGAGAGCTTATTTTGTGACGTGCTTCAGCACTTAAAAAAAATTGTTTTTTTGGGAGTTTTTGTTTCTTCAATGTTTCACAACTGTCCCCGGCGCATTCGTACACGGAGTGCTCTGGCAATCAAGTGTCCTCTGTCGCAGCACTGCTGAATCAATGTTGAAAACTCCAATGCTTACTCGAGTTCCTACCTACATACAATACATACAAAACTACCATCTCTGCTTCCTAACAACCCATAGCAGTTTTGGAGCATTATCAATCCTGATGAGCATAAAGTAGGTATAAAATGCTGTAGGACTACTATCTTCAGATAATGATAGTGCTTCTGAATTGATATTTTGTTCATCCATTTAATGATTTACTAGGTGCCAGCTATCCTGTACTTTATTCTTATTTCTTGCCTATGTTTCGCATTGTATTTCACCCCACCAGTATTGTTAAGGTAATGGATAACCTCATGCTGTCTTCGGCATCTGTAGTCGACGAGATAGATGCGAAATTCCTTACAAATACGAAAATCTGCTTCTTGATTATAGTGTCATCCTTGTTTCAATAAATCATGCAATTATGGTGTTCTTCCAAATGACCGGAAAGCAGGGAAGGTAGTCCCAATCTAAAAATTGGGTGATCATTTTCCCCCTTTAAGTTATAGGCCAATCTCTCTTACTAGCATACCGTGTTAAATCGTAGAGCATGTCATTTCATCAGAGCTCTCACGTTCCTTCGAGTCAAAATTCTTCTTGAACCCCCATTAGCGTGGATTCCAGAAATCGTTCTTGTGTGATGCATCTTCAGTTTTCACTGATAACATCCCTTCCTCTCTCGATTGAGGATCTCGGACTGGCTATGCCTTCCAGGCAATGTTGCCGAATCGTGGGAAATTTCTCACAAACTTATTATAATGCAATTAAATGCAAAGGTGCAAGCGAGCTGGACAAGAATGACGAAATTAATCCCTGGAGAAGGGGAACGAGGGGGACAAAGGACAAACATAAATCTCCAAACAACAGCTAGGTGACTGGTGAGCGACCGAAAAAATCCGCCTGGTCCGGGTATTGAACCCGGGACCTCTCCATTACAAGTGGAGCGCTCTACCAACTGAGCTAACAAGGGGTTAGACGTCAGTAGAGCAAACGGTCCCGGGTTCAATACCCGGGACCCGGACCAGGCGGTTCAATACCCGGACCAGGCGGATTTTTTCGGTCGCTCACCAGTCACCTAGCTGTTGTTTGGAGATTTATATTTGTCCTTTGTCCCCCTCGTTCCCCTTCTCCAGGGATTAATTTCGTCATTCTCACAAACATAGCTCCACGGGACAACGGGCAACTAAACTTGAATGCATGCAAAATAAGATATATGATTGGTTTGAAAAATTAATATTTTACGTACGTTTAAATTAAGTTCATCTTTACCCCTTGGTCTCAGGCTTTACACACAAGGTCAGAAATTTCCCACGATTCGGCAACACTGCTTCCAGGTTGTACTATGTATACACTGGTTGGCAGCTTCCTCGACTTGTCAACTGCTGCTTGTGGCGGGGAAATTTGGAATACTTTGATGCGATGCGGCCTTAAGCAAGTTGTTTGTCGATTGTCTTGTCATGCACAAATGGAGCATGTTAAATCCCCGAGAATTCGAACAGAGATAAATAACCTCTGGTGAATGTGCTTGCATTGCAGGTGACAAAAATCCTTGCAGTGTACAGAATGGTGGCTGTGCTCATTCCTGCCACCAGGCTCCCAATGGCACTATTGAGTGTCTTTGCAATTCCACCTACAAGGTTGCAAACGAGGGCAGGATGTGTGTTTGTAAGTGTTGTTCATCCCATTTTTGTTCCATCTGACATCTCTCGATGTATCTAGGCTTTTAATTTTGTGTCATTCTTCCAGCTGAGAATGTTTCCTGCGACGACACTAAGTTTGCCTGTGGCAATGGCAAGTGCATCCCTCGTCTGTGGGCGTGTGACGGGGACGACGACTGCGGCGACAACACCGACGAAGACAAGTCGTTCTGCGGTATGCATGTCTCCACGCTAGGTGGTGGGGGCCAGGTTTCAAATGTGCAATTGTTGCAATTGCAGCTCAGCACACGTGCGGCCCCACAGAGTTCAGGTGTGGAAACGGGCGCTGTATCTTCAAGACCTGGAAGTGTGACCATGAAAATGACTGCGGCGACAGCACTGACGAGGAAGATTGTGGTGAGCAAATGCTATGAGCAACTCGCTAGCCGTGTCTGTGGTTTCGATGCATCTCTCAATTTGCACGTGTGGATGTCTGTTTTTGTCTCCAGAGTACCCACCCTGTCCAGATGGAGAGTTCACATGCGCAAACTTTCGTTGCATTCCGAAGACACAACTGTGCAATGGAGTGAATGATTGCAAGGACAACAAGACGTCGGACGAGAGCCACGCGAACTGTCCCAACAACCGAACGTGCCCTGGTAACCACCTCAAGTGCGAAACGACCAACATCTGCGTGGAGCCTTACTGGTTGTGCGATGGGGACAATGACTGTGGGGACAACTCCGACGAAGTGGCTTTCCTCTGCTCGCAGCGAACCTGCCCTCCCAACAGTTTCAGGTGAGTGGACCTGACTTTAGGTGCTCGTTTTGTTTCTGCTCTGGTTTTCTTTCGTTGACACATTCTGGAGTGGAAAGTTTATTCAGTTTCAATTGGGGTGTGGAATTTCAGGTGCCCCAACCACCGGTGCATTCCAGCAACTTGGCACTGCGACGGAGACGACGACTGTGGGGACGGAGCAGATGAACCCGAGGACTATTGCAAAAGTGAAAAGCGCACCTGCTTCGGGGACCTTTTCACGTGCGACAATGGGAACTGTGTGCCGAGGATTTACATCTGCGACGGTGACAACGACTGCCTGGACAACTCGGACGAAGACGTGCGTCACCAGTGTGGTAAGCCAGTCTGCTTGCTGCGGGTCCCTTTTCTCAAGGCATTCTGCAGAACAAATCGAAGATGAGTGGTGCACATATTGTAGTTCCTTTTAACAGCACCGTGAAGACATCCCTTTGGTTCCTGTAATAGCCAATGTGCTTGTAGCATGGAGCGTGACGACGGCAAGCAAACCCTTTGTGCGACGCATCCAAGTATATGCTCGGGCGTGCTCCTGTGCACACCCCCTGCCATGTCCCTCTTTGCTTGGTTCAGTTTTGCTGTGTTCCCTAAGCAACCGGGCTTACATTTTCTTTTTGCATATCGTGAGCATTCAATGAAAACAACAATCATTTGTCTTGTGCTGTCACCTGTTGATCGCATGTGAAAATGTTTGTGAAGGTGACTTCTGTTTCAGTTTTTTTTTCTTTGTTGCTCCAAAATGGCAAGACAAAATTAATCTTGCGTTTTATGATGGGCACAAAGATCCAGAAATTGTTAATGAACTCAAGATCCAATGCCCGTGAAAACGAGGGAGTTGGTTCCGAATAAAAACAATGCCGAGTAACGCCGCTCCAAAGGAGTGACCTCAGGTAGCGAGATCGAGGTGCCACTTTGCTAGTGGCACGTCTTAAAGAGTATAAGAAAAGAAAGTACTATGTGTACATTGATCGGTGTATCTTTTATAAATATATGTCATGTTCCTCCGCGGGGAAGAGGGCATGTCGAAAGACGAAGCGACACATAAGTAGACGAACAAAAATTCATTTACTCACAAGCACAAAAGAAAGCAGAACAGAAAACAAAATTATAAGCAGAAGCTAAAGGAAAAAAAAAATAGAGTGGTTAAATAGCTACAGTCAGACAGTCTCGGTCGTGTGCTGAGAACACTCACAGTCTCGAGCGTCGATCTTGCTTGGAACGGAACGCGGCCTTGTTCCTCGATGTTACGGGTGTGGATCCAAGCTTGCTAGGAGCTCTAGGCCTTCCAGCACCGGTTCGATGGTGTCGCTTGACCGACGAGGTACGCGGCCTGGGTTGACAGGAGTGTTGCGAGGACACCCCTTCGCGTCCGCCTTCGAGCTCGAAGTCCAATGCTCCGGGCTTCTGGTGCAAGCAGCAGGCACGACGTCGCTCCGGCTCGATGGCGGCGAGAAGACCTGGAGCGGAGCCAGGGTTCACCAGGAGCGAAGCCTGGTCTGCCGGGAGCGTTCGCGTGTCAGTTGCCGCCCTTCAGGCTCAGTCGTCGAATGTCCTGCGCGAGCTTCTCCTTTCCCTTTTGCTCGAGCTTATACTTTCCCTTTTGCTCGAGCTTGCCCACTTCTTCGTCTCTCGCTTTCACCGTCACTTCAGGAACGTGACAATATACTTTCTTATGCGTGACTTTGTGTTACTGGGACCAAAATTTACGCTCTGGATATGGAAAAATACCCATCATGGGATTCGTCCCGGTGTAGGAAAGACCTGGCACTCGAAGGGTTAAGTAGCATGGAGCAATTAACTTCGAGCTTAGAGGAGAAACCACTAGGTTTGCTATAGCAGCTGTAATGCTGCTTATGCATGACCGCTGCTACATCGTAGCTCAGACGGTGTGTCATTAACAACTTGTGGTTGCTTGGAGACTTGCATTCACCGGAGGATTGATTGCGACTGTGCCCCATTTGTTTTGCAGACACCCGTGAATGTGATCCTGAGCGGGAGTTCAAGTGCACTCAGAACAAGCAGTGGGGTCGAGCCACATGCATTCCCAAGCGCTGGGTTTGCGATGGTGATCCAGATTGCGTGGATGGCGCCGATGAGAACTCCACGGTGCACAACTGCCCTGCCCCGGAGCCTTGCGATGTTGAGAAGCAGTACCAGTGCAACAACCAGCGCTGCATCAACAAGGACTGGGTTTGCGATCACGACAACGACTGTGGAGACGGCTCAGACGAGCCAAGGAATTGCAGTAAGTGGGCGCAGTGCATCTTGAGAGCCACTGTTTCTTAGAAGGGCAATTGGAGAGTACAGTATATAACCGCCCGTGTACAACTAACTTGATCGGGTAAAATTAGTATTACTGCATGAATATGTTTATTAGGTCGGTGCCTCATGCTAGTAGCAGCGTCGGGACTGCAGTGTACCACAATGTAATCTCTTGTTTGTATCATTTAAATATTAAATTTTACGACATGGAGGTTTTCGCTAAGATCAAAAAATTCTAATACCATGTGAAAGTGAATTTTCGGCTAACAAATTTTGCCTTGGATGCAATTTCTCTGTGCTGTTTCGCTTGGGGACTTTTTGTGGAGCTGACACTTATGCAAGCTACCTTTAGGGTCATGCAAGTGGGTATTCAATTTGGTTCAAATGTGAATAAGGCCAAAGATTTTACTTTTTCTAATTATAGTTTGCAAAACTCCCTGGAAAGCATGATATTGATTGCAATCTCTCAGTTTGCCTGAAAGTGCACTTAGGATACTTTTGATTCATGCAAGTTCATTGTTACAAGCGGTTTCCTGAGCATGCGGAAACAGCCACGGGATAGTACCAGCATTAATGCAATGCGAGGGAATTCAAGCCGTGGAGTGCAGAGTCTGCATAACCCATGAAATGGAGATGAGTAAAGAGAGGAAAAAGCATCGTGGCCACCTGGTGTGCATCTGTGCAATTGTGGCTTCTCGTCATAATCTGTTAGGGAAAAGAATGAACGCATGCCACAGCATCTTCCATTCTTTTTAGAAAGATCTGCACGTAGCGCATCACGAGTACTCAAGGTCGTGCGTGCCTCAGATTGGGCTTCGGCAATGCGCAGTGCAGTAAGCAAGTTAGTCAATGAAAGCTGCCAGGAAACAAGTTTTGATTTTTTTTTTATGTATAAAATGTATGTCAATTATACAGCTTCAAATTATTGAAAACTTGAAATTCCCTAAAACTGCATGAAACGGTGGTGAAATGTCCAAATCACTGACCGTATATCAGGGGTTTTTTTTTGTTTCTGGGGGGCCTGTTTTCAATAGGCTTGACAGTATCTCTTTTTCCTGACCTTGCATAAAATACTTGCTGTAATATCGCACCTAATTTTTTGGCTGAATATCTTTGCGGTGAAAAACACCAAAGCATTGTCTACCCTTTGAAGTTCATACTATGTTTGATGAAACCTCCTTCAGCTACCACACTTGCGGTCAAAAGAATGGGTCGCTTGGTCCTGATCTGAGCACTAGGTTAGAGAAATATACTCGATCCTGCTTTCAATGTGCATTCAAAGCACACTTAACTCGACCGCGATTATATCCGAGTGATGAGCATACATGAAACGGCTGAGCAAAAGCTCGTTAAGCAAGTTCCTGTGATTCTATGGGAACCATGTTGTGTATCGGGTCTTAGTTCTCGGGTGGGAAACCTAAAATTTGCCGAATCGAGAAAAGGAACTGGCGTACACTTAAAGCAGGCGTGATTGCACCTGTGCTCCGAGAAAGTGATGACAACCTGTGCTACGAGGCCGACAAGGAACGAGGTAAAAAAGGGACATCGATTGATAAAAGTATCTTAACAAGGAGTCAAGGAAGAGCACTTCAGAATGTGCGTTCGTTGTGTTTGCAGTGCGCCTATGTCGCGCGACATCGTACCGACTTTATAGCTAATTTTTTTTGTGGCTTCGGCGGTTGCAAGCTATTTTTGTTCATTACTTTGCCTGAGGTTGGCATTCTTGCAGAAATATAGTTCTATAAAAAAAGCATTATTTATTTACATTTTGTCGTATAGGTAATCAACATTTGGTTGAAATATGTCATATTTAATTCTGTTTGCATTTTTCATTGAAACTGTGTTCATGTTGAATTCGCATTGAGTTAAACTTTTATGTATGGTATTACGTGTAGTCAAAATTGGGATAGTTGCATTCTTCCCAGTCAAGGTTTTGGTTAGACTGTGGCAAGTCGAGGGTTTGTTGAAATAGCTTTAAGGGGGGACACTACCCAGAGAAAGAAAAATTCTGCAAAAAACGTTGATTTTGAAAAATTACATATTTACATCCATCTACATCCAGAGAGTATTCCCAGAAATTTTCACTAGTTTACACTGCATAGTTAATTTTTTATAAATTATTTTTTGTCCACCGAAGCTAAAGAAAAGGTAGGGTTTGGAGCACTTTGAACACATTTTTCTCCGTTCCACTTTCTGGTATAAATTCCATTTTATTCAATCTATCGTTTATAATGGCAATACAGGGAAGACTTGTTCTTCACTTTTCCTGACTGAAATTTAATAAGGAATGCGCCTATGGAATTCGTTTGTCACTTTACCGATGTCTTTTATAAAAAATGTTGACATTTTGTCGGAGACATAAAAGACCAAAAAGTTGACCAATTTTGCAGAAGAGAAAATTGATAGAAATCAATGACTTTTTACAAAAAAAACTTACCATAGGCACACCTCCTAGGCATTCTGCTACATATCTAGCGAATAAAAATCTTAAATATTGTGATAGTTTTCCGACGATAGATTAACTAAAAGATGTAGGGGTGTTGCTGATAGAAGCTGCCCTAATTTCCTTCCCACTTAACCGAAAGACCTGAAATTTTGTTATGCACCTTCTAGCATGACCACTAGCCTACCCTGTAAATTTCATTAATTTTAAGCCAAGGGTTCAAAAGTTGACCCTCCCAGGGGGTGTCTCCGCTTAACAGTAGGCAAATGTTCTCCCATCTTTCTTTTTTCCCAGCTTTCCGCAACTGTAGCTCGGAAGAGTTCACGTGCCGAAACGCCAAGTGCATCCGGAAGTCTTATCACTGCGATGGGGAGGACGACTGCGGTGACGGCAGTGACGAGCTCGAGAAAGATTGCAAGAAGGAGGAGACAACGTGCTCGGGTGCCCAATTTGCCTGCAAGAATGGGCAGTGCATTCCATATGAACGGGTTTGCAACAAGCAGCAGGACTGCAGTGACGGGTCGGACGAGCCGACACACTGTAACGTCGACGAGTGTGCCAAAGTGGAGATGAACCAGTGTGAGCACAAATGTGTCAACACCCTGACGAGCTTCTATTGTGAGTGCAACGAAGGCTACGAGCTACTCAAGGACGGAAAGGCTTGTGCCGACAGGAACGAGTGTCGAGTGAAGCCCTCGGTGTGCAGTCAGTACTGCATCAACACGCCAGGCTCCTACTTCTGCAAGTGCAGCCAAACCTACTACGACCGAGAGTTGGATGGTCACACGTGCAAGAGGAAAGACGGTAGGTTCCGCCCTCTTCGGCAGCCTCTAGTAGTACTTTTGAATGGTTCTATTGATGGGCTCCAGCAGCATTGTTTAGAAGACTGCATTCAGCTCCAGGGTTTTGATGAGTGGTGGGAGGTACTCCGCTTCTCAATACAACCTCTCACTATGGGGATTATTGATAGGTAGACTGAACTGTGGGAGTCTCGAAAAACTCTAGTTGGATAGAACTTGTTCAATTAGAATAGCTGCAGGCATGGCACCTCTCTGGTTTGCGAGTGGAGAACGCTTCAGTAGTATCAAGCAGTGGTACTGAATCAGTACCACTGCTTGAGTTTAGAAAAATGCTGTACATATCTAAAAAAAAATGCTCTTTTTTTATTATTTAGTTTGTTGCTAAATGTTTTATTAAATATGTGCATTTCCTGGCTTGCAGAAATTGTGTTTTAAAATAGTGCAGTCTTTTACTGGTGTTGCGAGTCACAGTGGTGCCATATTCAACGCTGCACCAGCTTAGCGTCCGGAGGTTTGAACTTGCGTCATTCCAATTCAGAGATCTATACTACTTAAAATTGTTTATTCATTCCAACGAATTTTCACTAGTAGTTGACTTCCTCCACGTATGAAATATATGGGTCTGCCATGGACTTGAAATGCTTGGGTTAGTTATTTCCAACCTGAAATCTCTACCGTAATATCCTGAACAAGCGCCCATCTTTTCACGGAGGTAATTGGGCAAAAAAGGTGGATGGGCAAATCTTTGGGATTCGCCCACCCGCCTTTTTGAAATACTGTTCTACTATCGCGAAGTCTGTTGCTTGCATACTCGAGATGAACACCGCCGATTGGCATACGACACGAACGCTTATTCCATATGAAAGCATGTTTCTAAAACCGCTATGTTCCCTTAGTTAGGGTTCCTAGCCTTTGCTCATTTGTTGATTGAAAAATGGATGGAGTAAAAAAAGAATCAAGAAGAAAATGGAAAAACCAACCAGGTGCAACTAGCGAGCGGGCGAAAGAAGCGACGAAGTGTGATGCTGAGGAAGCGGTATAGCTGGCGTTTGCTTACCAGCATCTACTATGATGACTATGATGTATGCAGCATGTTATTTTACCATGGTGCAGCCACTATATTGTGCTCAAAACAGTAAATCTGACAGATGAGTCCAATATTGACTAACTAGACGAGTGCAAATAAGGTGACAGCTATATCTAATGTTATTTCTGCAGTTTGTTTATATATAATGCAAAGAATTCTCCCTACTTCCTTGCATTATGTATCTCTCTCTCAAAAATTGGCATAAATGTTGGGCATCTCCTTCCAAGTTTGAATTAGATTAAGGCGACCGTAAATAAAATATGCTCAGTTTTAGTTTGTCATGGTAATGTCATGTTTTGTTGCAGATGTGACGCCATGGCTCATTTTCAGCAACCGATACTACTTGAGGAACACGAGTCTGGACGGCACTCAGTACAATTTGGTCAAAATGAACTTGCGAAATGTTGTAGCCATCGATTTCGATATTAGGGAGCAGCGAATTTACTTTGCCGACGTTGGAAATAAGACGATACAGAGGATATTTACCAATGGAACTGGAGAGCAGGTTTTGGTTCGGCACGACGTTCACGGCCTGGAGGGATTGGCAGTTGACTGGATCGGAAGGTTAGTCGTCGTACGATTCGCCTTGCTTCAGTCGACGCGTTTCCGATGGTCTGATGGCATCTTGTCTTTCCAGGAAAATGTACTGGCTCGATCGAACCAGCAAGCAGATGTATGTTGCCGAGCTCGATGGGACCAGTAGGAAAACGGTTCTGCCCAAGGGAATATCCGACCCAAGAGCCATTGCTGTCCACCCTGGCATTGGGTAAGGTGAACCTAGGGTCCTCTTTGTCATGCTGTTGGGTTTCCTACGGGAAAGGAAAAAGTCTAATTTTGGGGGAGAATTTTCAATAGCCTGGGAAAGTTTGGGAATGGTCGTGCAAGTTAGCCAGGAAGTCATCAGGGTAAGAAAATGAGAAGTGCTATTGTGCCACAATATTTTTATGCGTATGCGCGAGAAACGTTTCTTGTGCATTTTTAAGTAACTATGTGTTACCAATGCAAAAATCCCCTGCGTAAATAACCGGCACACTATTATTGTAATTATCATCAGCTTTTTGCCTCAGTTGTTTTTGTGAAAGAAAATAGTCTGAAAATCAGCCTGTAAAAGCAGGAAATTTGGATGGGATTAATAGAGTTTTTGTTTGCCCCTAGGTACCTCTTTTTCACCGACTGGGGACACCATGCTTTTATTGGCCGTATGGGTCTGGATGGCAGCAACTTCACGCGCATTGTCCTCTACGAGAACAAGCTGGTGTGGCCGAATGCTCTGACGATCGACTACTTCAGCGACAAGCTTTTCTGGGCAGATGCCCATTTGGACTACATTGAGTGAGTGGCGTCCTGTTGCGGTTCAGACTGGAGGGCCAAATTCTTGGGGTTCTGTTCGCGACTCCAGCGACTCGTAGGGGTCGCGACTCCCGACGGCCTGGAGCAGGTTATGTCGGAGCCGGCCGGGCCAGCTCAGGAGGAGCTGCGTACAACTTGTTTTATGTTCTTGGTTTTTGTAGGAGGGTGTAAACTTGAATGAGTTTGTGATGCATAACTATAAATGAAAACGGTGCAAAAAGATGAGGGACAAGTTGAAGAAACATGCATGCTAGGTGCTGACTTACGACAGAGTTTAAGGTGCAACATAGCTTCTAGAGCTTTTTTTTTAATATATAACTTGTGATACATTTAAAATGAATTTACTTGGCTTATGTCTTTAAATCTGACTACAAATGTGTACTTGGTTTTGATGTGGCTTAATTAGTTTTGTTAATTAATATTGAAAGCTTCCTTTGCGAAGGTTATGGGAAGGATTAGGACAAATAGAAATTGTGAAATCGGAAATTTAGTGTGTCTCAGTAAACCAAAAGGTCTAAGGTATAAATGAAAGCTTGGGATAGTTTATAGGCTTTTTTTATGACACATTTCCAGTTTCAGAGTTATTTATCGCAGGAAGTATATAAGGTGTATCTAACGAAACCCTGACGCCACATTTAACATACTTATACCCCCTATTGGATACCTCGCACATACACCTACCAGAGTAAGAAAAAATGAAGATTGGATAAGGCAAGTGGAGAAGTGTGTAAAAAGTTCCTTCTGAGATAATAGCAAAAAACGTGCACAGACCCATTTTACTATGTTTTAAAGTCAATGTTTCAGGATAAGACTCATTTCACAAAAATAATTTGGGGCAAGATGATAAAGGCCCGTTAATTTTCAAAAATACAATTTAAAAAATTAACTTTTTTATTTTTGTTTTAGAGCAGCACCTCCCTTCAATAAAAAAATAACATGGACCCATGAAAACAAACTTGCTATCACACCAGTGTAAAGACCCAATCACTTCACACTGAATTACCGCAAAAATACCAACGATGCGCCCATTCGACAATAAGCACGCACCCCTCAATTTTGTAACATTTGGGAAATACACAAAGGAATATGTTTATATATTGTTGACCTAAAAAATGCCTATCCCCCAGTTTTACATGCTTATCTACAAATTTTGAGAGGGCGTTAGGTCGATATTTTAAGGTAGATATGATATCTCGCTTTCATACAATGCAAGTCCTCGCTCTGTGCAATGTAGAACGCCTCCGCAATTTCTCTCGTTTTTTGATTGCCATGTCGCGTGAATACTTTTGTGCGAGCAAACTCAATTGTAAGTCAGTGCCTGGTGTGCCAGTTTCCTCGACTTCCCCCTCGTCTTTTTGCATGGTTCTCATGTTCAGTAGAATCTTGAGGGATTGCGGAAAATATTCGTATCATCCGAAATTCATATAAACAAAAAAACGAGCAAAATAAGTCTGAAAGCATTTTTAATTTGTCGCGCTACCGGCTTAACTAGTCAGTAATGCTTTTCAGAGTCTTCTTTTTTTTCTATGTCGTGCAGAAGGCACTTTTGGAACATGTAAAAACATGCGCACGTGTCGTCGGTGACGTTCTTCGAGCTCACTATGTGCCGCAACACCCAAACTTGCTGGCTTCTGTGCATAGATTGGTAGTGTTGTCTCGATGACGGCCGATTACTAGTAGAGATAGACCGAGAGACATAAAGGAAGGACAGCCATGTTGAACAAACTGTGTACCTGTCTAAGATGCTAGAGTGCACCCTGGCATGGGTTAATTGTCATGCAAGTAGGGGGTGCTACAGACAGCTACATGACTGGTAACAAAAGAAGTGGAGGGAGATGACTGCAAACAGAAACACTCCAGGCAGTGTATAGATTGTGCCATATAAGTTTTCTATGAAATCCCAATGACTTGCGAAAGAGCATATGTGGGACAAACTGACAGATATGCCTCTGGTAGCTTGGCCATTTACTTCAACAGGTGCTCTTGCATGCCAGATGCGAAGAAAAACAAAAATTATTGTGGAGTTTAGGAAAAAAGAAAATGCAATTCTATAGTGCATGAAGTCACAACTCCGTAAGCACCCTGTCAGTACACCTTATAGATAAAGATTTTGAATTTTTGCATCAGCAACCTCTGAGGGCTTATAAAGATTTCAGGTATTTTCACTAAAATCTTCAGCTCAAGGTAGCGCTTTGTGCTGTCATCTGTATAGTCATCTACTTGGAATGCTCTCGGTTTTCAAGTTGTGCAATTGTGTACTAACTTGCTCGCCTATCTTTTTTATTGCTATTCATATGTGTTTTCCAAGAGTAGATGAGGAGGCTTTATTTATAAAAAGCTTATTGAGATTTGAGTAAATAGGGCGCACATTGTTTTATTTCATTTGGCCCGAAGCATATCCAATCTCTCGGTTGAAAAATTGTTTTTCCTCTGCCAACTTTGCTGACTTGATTCTCATCTTTTTAGTCTTCCGGGGGAGCTGTATGCTCGTTGGTGTAGATATTGTGACCATATGCTACAATATGCATTGGGCTTTTATTGACGCCAGCTTTGTGTTTATAGCATCAGGTGGAAGAGTTGCACTCGGAGCTCAGTTGCTCCCTGAAGATATAGTGAGTCTCCACATACCAATGCCCTGCCCACTGAGAATTGTTTGGAACCCCTTCCTTAGCCCTTTAGGGCCATGCCATCGTGCATTGGCTTTGACAGCCTTCTGTGATGTGATGTGGATGTTTCTAGGCTCCAAACGTCACTGCCTGCCATTCTCCTTCAGATTCTCTGATTTGGATGGCTCCAACCGGCACACGGTGCTTCAGGGGCGCAGTGTGCCCCACGTGTTTGCACTGTCAGTGTTTGACGACTGGCTCTTCTGGACTGACTGGAACATGAAGGGAGTCTACCGGGCCCACAAGTTCACAGGAGAGAAGCTCCAAGTTCTGAGGAACACTTCACACCGTCCCTATGACATCCACGTCTACCACCCGTTGCGCCAGCTGGACTGTAAGGGTGTATTGCCTCGAAGTAACAAGTAGGGTTGTGCAAATAGTAATTCCAATTGAATAGCGCTGTGTCATTTGCAGCCTTCACCATGCACTGAAAAATCATGGCAACTGTTCCTTTAAACAGTGCAGAAGCTAGGGATGACGCTGCGCTATACGTTTGAAGCCATTATTCGCACGCTCCTAATATAAAGGCGAGCGAGCTGGATAAAGTTTGACATTATAGAACCTGAGACAGAGGGCAAAAGAAACAAGGGGTACACAGGACACATCTCGATTGAGACATGTCAATCATGACCCCCCCTTTTTTTTGTCCTCTGTCCTCTGTCTCACACTCTATAATGTTGAACATTACTCCCTTGTTTATTTGGCTTTTCATCTTAGTTTGAATACAAAGCTCACCTGCCATCTATCAGTGGTTGGATTTTGCATGGCTTCCTTGGTTGTATTACACCTGGGCCAACTTGCATAAAGTATTGTGCATGTGGCCACGTGTGGGCTTCCAACAAGAGAATGAGAATGGCTCTTATTGGTGGTGTAGTAGTATGTTTTGAGCAAGCCTACTCTAAACTGTTAATTTGAACTGTGAAGAAAATAAGTACCGTAAAATACCGGGCAAGCACCCTCCCAAAATTAGGAGACAATCAAAAAAAGATGGGGGATGGGTGCTTGTCCGGTCATCAATTCTACATATAAATGTACTGTGCATATTTTCTCAGACCTTATAAATTTGGGAATGGGTGTTTAGTGTGGAATGGTGCAGATGCGCAGTACAGTGTAGACCGCATATAACGTATGTCGCGGGAGTCGCGAAAATCCGCACTATAAGCGGTACCGCACTATAACCAAAACATCAATTTTTCAGGCCAAAATACATGCCATCAGACAACTTACCTTTGTAAAAGAATTTATTTCTATGTTAGATGAAAAAATAAAGCTTAGTTTGAGGAAAGTCTTTATTTCACCAGACTAGTACACTTCTCTCTCAAGTGTGTCACACATTTTGAAACAAATGAGCGGCTTTTGCCTGGCGCAGCCTCTTAGCGGCGTCGCGGGTTGCGGACGGACGTTGCGAGCGTTCAGGATTGCTAACCCTAATCACTTTTCTCCGGAGATGAAAACTCGTGAAAATTCGCATCTTTTGTACGGTACGCGCCAGTAATACCTTGCACTTGAGCACACGCATGAAATGCCCCAAATAAGAAATCCGGGCGATGTTCGAGGACACAAATGCTTAGAAAGCACCACTGTAGTCGAAGTAAACAAACACGACGACACGGGCGTTTCTGCCGACTTGAGAGCGCCGCCACGACATCGCCGCTCGAGTAGGTGGATCTTCTCTTCTAATACGTGCCGGGTTATCATAGCGACACACGACGAAAATTCACAGTCAAGGATAGCGCTTTTACGCGGAACGATGAGATGAACGCCGTCTACGACGACGATCACAACGTTGATCACAACCGACGCCTTGTTCGCGGATAGAAGCAGCCGGCCCGCGCCGGGCATGCAACGCGCGCGAACGCTTCTCCTGTCGTTGCGGTTGTTGGTTTCCAACGCAGTGGAGGGACGCACGCACGTGAACGACACGTGCGTGCGTCCCTCCGTCGCTAGGGCAACTGAAGCCTCTCTCTTCGCTTCTCCCGCTTCTTCGAGCACCCTCCTTGCCCCGCGAGTGCCGCTTGCGCAACGCTTGCGGCTCGCGCCGTCAGCGCGTTATCTAGTGTCGCACAGGCAAGCGTGCTCGCTGCTCCGGTCGTCGGCGCGGTCGGCGGGCTGTGCCAGAAACCGCACTATAACCGGTATTTCCCGTCGCGCGCCTGCGTTTTAAGCGGTATGTAATTACATGGAGTTCTATGGGAGGCGAACCGGTGGTTTAAAAAAACCGCGTTATACCCGGTCCTGCACTATAAGCGGTTACGTTGTAAGTGGTCTATGCTGTATTCTACAGTAGTCGAAAACGCTGACTTCTAAATAGAAAGTGGCTCAAAGTTGCTACTGAACAATAACCTTTTAATATATATTTGGAGTTATGCAAGGATTAGCACTTGGATAAAAACCACATGCAGCTAGTGAAAAAAGTTGGTCACTGTATTGAATTCGCAAAGGTTTGGTGCCAACTTCAAATTGCTCTGCTTGCTTTGGCTCACATTTTTGAATTTCCTGTTTATGATGACTTTTTTCAAGACAAGTGATACTAGAAAAGCATTTCTACGAGCGAGGTTACCCAGAAAGGTTGCACGACAATCATCAAATGGATGTCCTTCCATAACTAGTTTCATACAACACATAGAATAAGCTTTCGCAATTCTGTCTGATGCAAAATGCTGGAAGTGTTTTCTTTTATTCTGCTTGCTATAGCAACTCATGGCAGAGCACGACAATGTCGCCAGATTCTTGTAACGCAATATCTAAAGCTCTGTCACATTTTATGGACCATAACTGCCACCACTGGCCCTAGGCACAATCTAGCAGCAACTCGCCCGTACACAAATATCATGTGGCTGTCGTGGTAGTATGAAACTGTGGGGATAAGGAGTGTTAGTACTCCACATATACGGTACCGTGTTTGCACAATTGTAGCACGCCCCCGATTGTAACGTACAGTTATTATTTAGCACTTAAACATTCAGAAAATAACTTGATGCCGATTGTTTTTTAGTGGAGTTTCTGTGCAAGCTTGGTTATCTTTCTTTTTTTTTTTTCTGCAATTAAGGATTAACGTAATGATTTTTTTTCTTCATCATGAGCACTGTTGCCACTGGGTGTGAGGTGCCGTTCCATTTGCAGATCCTAATCCATGTGGAAAGACCAATGGCGGATGTTCGCACCTTTGCCTCATTTCGCCCGGTGCCGCAAGCTTCCAGTGCACTTGTCCGGACAACTTCATCTTGCTGCCGGACAACAAGACGTGCATTGCCAATTGTACCGAGGGGCAGTTCCGCTGTGGAGGCACTGACGACCGCTGCATCTCGGTCTTCTGGAAGTGCGATGGTGACAAGGACTGTCGCGACGGCTCCGACGAAGTAGGATGTCGTAAGTTTGCGTTCCGACTGGCCCGGTCCTCGGAGCTCTAGTATACAATGACATTTGGTTGTTTCTTTCTCCTCAGCTCCATTTGCGTGCAAAAAGGGACAGTTTCAGTGCCACAATAACTCCACTTGTGTGCCAAGGGTTAAGATTTGCGATGGCCACAATGACTGCAACGACAAAAGTGACGAGAAGTTTTGTGGTGAGTAGATAAGAGGGAAAGCTTGGGTGGCGGGGAGGGGGGTAGGGAACATTGATGCTTTTTAGCTCTCGATTAAAGTGTCGCGGTTGCGTGTCGTTCCTCGCAGGGTATCCGTGTGGAGAGCATAATTTCAAGTGTCGCAATACTGGTCGGTGCGTTCCCGTGTCTTGGCAGTGCGACGGTGACAACGACTGCACAGATGGCTCCGACGAGGATCCGGCCATTTGTCGTAAGTGTTGCGCTGGTCGAGGAGCCTCTGCCGAGAATGATGGTTTTGCTTCTTTTTTCAGATCACCAGGAGTGCAACACGGACACTCAGTACAAATGCAACAATGGAAAATGCATTCCAAAGCTGTGGTACTGCGATTTTGATGACGACTGTGGCGACAACTCGGACGAGCCTGCTCACAAGTGCAGTAAGTGGCTCACTCGAGTGTGGTGGCACAGTGTCGCAACCTGTTGACGACGCCCTCGGTTTGGTCCTCCAGGGAACCGCAACTGCACCACCGGCTGGCAGAAGTGCCCTTCCGTAACCAACTATCGGTGCATTCCGACGTGGCTCTTTTGCGACGGCAAGGACGACTGCCGCGATAACTCCGACGAGACGAGCCCAGAGTACTGTCCCAAGTGCCACGAGACGGGGGATTTCAAGTGCCGCAACAATCGGTGCATTCCCCTGCGATGGAGGTGCGACTTCGAAGATGACTGTGGCGATAACTCCGACGAGGATGGCACCATGTGCGGTGAGCACCTAGGCTTCTGGGCTGGGCATTGTGCACAGTGTACTTGCACGGGGCTGCGCCGCTGTATGCTGATTGCATTTTTCCATTCCTACAGCGGAACTTTACCGGGACTGTTCGGAGAGTGAATTCCAGTGCGCCAACAAGAAGTGCATTCCGTCAAGGTGGCGGTGCGATCACGACAACGATTGCGAGGATGGAAGTGACGAAAAAGATTGTCTGAATTACGAATGCAAAGTAAAAACTTTCCCAGGCTTTATTTTTTTTAGGATAATTTCTGAGAGCTGTTATTTTTTGCAGGAGAACCAATTCAAATGCACCAGTGGACACTGCATCCTCAAAAGACTCGTGTGCGACGGAAACAAGGATTGTCACGACGTTTCGGACGAGCTCAACTGCCCGACCCGATTCCCCGGGGGCCTTTACTGTCAGGACATGTTCCAGTGCAACAACACTGTAAATTCTTGCTTCCTCTTGCATGTCTTGGCATTGTGGAGCTGTTTACTTTAGTCGGGTATAATTTGAAAGGAGTTCCATCTGATACCTTGATGAAACAAACAAAAAATAGTAGTTCCCTTCCTTTTTTTTTTTTCACCTTTGTTTGCATTTTAGTTTTGATGCATTGAGAAATGTATAATTATTCCAAGCTGCACTCCTTACACTACATTGAGCAAGCATATTTTCTAGGCATGTGCACAAATAGCGGATTTTGAGTTTCAAGTGAATTCGAGGTGAATAGTTGTTTTGGCCGAATATTTTCAAATGGAATATTGAATAGTTTCTCTAAGCCTGTCACTATTGCACCATGCTTAATGAAAACCCAGCTTATTTCGTGAAGGTTGTTCCCAACCTTTCATTTGTTCATTTCTTAAATTAATTTTAAACTAGCCATATTTATGGACTGTGGCCTCAGAAAGTCCAATGCCTGCATTAGGATTCCACGTAAAGGATGCAATCGACATAGAATTAAACCTATAGACCCTTTTTTTGTTTACAAACACAAACTGTCTCGGGGTACCCAAGAGACTTCCGGTCGCTCCATTTTTGCAGGCTTACCGAACCTGCTGATGTCAAAATTTCTGGGACGATGAAGTTCTAGAGAAATCACAAAGTTAGGGATTTAGCAAGATCCTTTTGCTGAGCTATTCAACATATAAGAGGAGATTGGTCGTCTTAAAAGGAGTGTTAAAAAGTCTCCAATAAGTATCTCGCTAACTGGTCCTTTAGCTAACCACCTGGAGAACTGGTCATAAAAGATTTCACGAACGTTACAAGAAGCAGTGCTGTGATGGGCACCGTTTGTCCCCTGATTTGACTGGAAGTTCGCGGGGACTTTGTAACAGCACCTCCTTTTCTCCGCCTTTTAAAAGGTCCTATAGTGATGCCCAGCTATACCTAATCAGATTTATAAATCTTCCTATATAAAAATATCTCTTCTTCAATCTCGTATTTGAAAAAAAGACCATAATTAATGATGAATGCAGGTTGTTAGTGCATCTCTGCCTAACATACTCTTGCAAAATAGTCAGTTTAATTTAAGAAAGTTTTACTGTGATTACCATTCAGTTGGTTTCTTTACAAATACACCAGGAAAAAGGTGCTTTTCTTCTAAGTGTCTTACTGCAATATTTGTACTTTGCTAAGTGTTATTAGCGGTGGGTTAGGCTTCTTGAGTGCACTTTTTGCCAAGCACCGGTGCACTGCGGAGAAGACACACTTGCGAAAGTGAGCTTTGAGGGTGTTGCTTCTCCACAATGCACCTGCGCTCGGTAAGAAGCGTGCTCAATAGGGCTAACCGCCGCAATCATTACTTTGAAAAATATGAATATCGCAGTCCATCTTGAAGCGATTATTGAATAGCATCTTATTCAAAACGAATATTCATATATTTGCATAATCCTACTATCTTCCAGTTGAGTCATTTCAACAAGTTGTCCATTCTGGTTTCCAGGTTTGCATCCGGCCCGACTTCATGTGCGATGGCGATGACGACTGTGGAGACTTCTCGGACGAGGCCGACTCTATCTGCAGTAAGAGAAACTTTACGAGTGCAAAGGGTGGGGCAAACCCTCTGGGTCCTTCCTTCTCAAGTCCCACGCCCTCCTTTCCACGCAGAGGACCACAAATGCGATGTCACCCGCAAGTTCCAGTGCCAGAACAACAAATGCATCCCACTGTGGCAGCTGTGCAACGGAAACGATGATTGTGGAGACGGCTCGGATGAGAATAACCACCAGCTGTGTGGGAAATTGGCGCCCCTGCCCTGTCTGGCCACAGAGTTTAAGTGCACCAATGGCAAGTGCGTGCCCAGAATGGACGTGTGCAACCATGAGGACGACTGTGGAGACCTATCGGACGAGCGGGGCTGCCGTAAGTCTTGCAGGAAGTTTCTCGAGCCGTAGCAGATTCCTAACCTTTTACCTCCTCCGGCAGATGAAGGCACATGTGACGCGACGTCTCGTGGAAACTGCGAGCACAACTGTACCACGCTGGGCGACTCCAATGGTTACATCTGCACATGCGCCAATGGCTACAAGATAAAGGAGGACGATCCCAAGCGATGTGAAGGTCTGTTGTTCACCGGCTTCCCTTCACTAAGTTATGTGCATAAGCTCAGGGTAGTTTTGGCGTGATGGAAGGATGGAAAGCTCGTGGTAGTTGTGGCGTAATAAAATAACTCTAATGCCCAGGCTTTTTTTTCTTTCTTTTCAGACATTAACGAGTGTGCCACCTTTGGTCACAACTGTTCCCAAATCTGTGAAAATTTGATGGGAGACTATGGCTGCCGTTGCAGAGAAGGCTACGAGATGTTCAAATCGCATTGCCATGCTAAAGGTATGGACCACTGCCTGCCTTTGGGTGGCCAAGCTTTTATGCATGCTTGTCCATTTTTTTGTAGGACCTGCCCCCATTATTCTCTACACCAACGGTCCAGACGTCAGGATGCTGGATATGAAGAATGAAATCCAGAGCTCTGTTATCACGGGAGAGAGCAGAGTCCAGTCGCTGGACTTTGATCCACGAGAGAGTAAGTCATTTTGCGAGATGTTCTTCCTATGCAGCGCAGAAGTAGAAAGCCCCATGAGTTGAACCATAATATTTCTGTTGTTGCCCATGTGCTTAGTTGCCTCGGTGGTTCGGAGGCAAAGCACCGGCCTACAGATCGGCAGATTCGAATCATGGCCGAGGTGCCCGCAGTTGGATGGAGGCTAGTTGCGGAGAAGGTGCCATGTAACAGAGATTTTGGTTGCATATGAAAAGAACCCCAGGGCCTGTTGCTCATCAGCCGGTTGACTTTAACCGCAGCAGAAAGTTAACCGCATTTCCCTACAAGGGGGAATTTTGGGTCACGTGACCGGTAGAGTAGGGGTGGTGCCCAGGCGAAAATTTTCAACTGGGACCAGTTGGTCCCAGTTGCAACTGGTTTATGGAACAATTCCCAGTTGCAACTGGTCCCAGTTGGAGTTGGTCCCAGCTGGAATTGGTCCCAGCTGGAATTGGTCCCAGTTACAACTGGTCCCAGTTGGAGTTGGTACCAACTCCAGCAACAATGAAACACTGCACAAAATGGAAGGTTGACAATACTTTATTGTCAAAAACTTGGAGAATGAAACTAAATAGGTTCGGTGACGTACACGCTCCGGGTTAAGCCACTTGCTTGCGACGGTTGAATCGCTTTTTCAGGGGTGGTATTCATGAGATGAAGGAAGATCGGCCGCTGGCGTCTGTTAGTGAAGACGTCCTCGGCTTCTCTTCCCATCGCGTGAAGAAAGGTGCTCACCCGTGATCCTGCGTTGTGCAGGTGAAGTCCTGATAAGATGCGGTAGCGCTCCCACCTTGCAATCTCTGTCACAACAGTCGGAACATTTTCGAGGTAAACCTCCCGCCATTTTCGCCATTGTGCTCTCCGCGGCGTGTTCTCTTCCGTCCGGTCTTTCCTGGGTGCCCTCCGATCGCTGAACTGCATCTTTCCATCCTCGAAGTTCACCGCCGCCACCGTGGTGTGAGTACAGTTAGGTCCAAAGAAGCGCAGCTGTAGTTTTGACATTTTCATAACGACGCCAACTTGGGCGATGGCGACCCTTCTCCACCGCGTCCGTCCGACTCCGGCGTCAGCATAGGCAGCGCCATCTGTCGACAGCGCGTACCACTAATCCGCGCCCGCGTGCCACGGCGGCCGGCTAGCTCTGATTAGTCAAAAGATAAATTTATTTATTAAAAGAAAAAAAAAAAATACTGTAGGTATTTAAATAAATGTTTTAATATATTTTAATAATGCACTAAATGTTCATTTAGGTGAACACATTTTGTCACTAATTATATTTGCCAATGAAAAAATTATTTAGTTAATTAAAATTTTTATATTATTTTAATAAACATACAAATGTACCCCAGTAATTAAAATTCCCTATTTGTATAAATCTAAAAATGTTAGTGTTTTTAGTTTTCTTCATTAGCAAAGGTCAATACACCCCCAACTTGTCCAAATTGTCGCCCAGTGTGAACTGGGAACGGGAAAGGCATTTGAAGTCCGACTGGGAATCGCTCCAACCAGTTACTTTCCTAACTGGTTCCAGTGCACTCCATTCCCAACTGGGAGTCAAACCAGTTGACTACCAACTGGGAATGGTTCAAACCAGTTGACTCCCAACTGGGAATGGTTCAAACCAGTTGACCCCTCAGCTGGTCCCAGTTGGACTCCTATTGGTCCCAGTTGATTCCCAGTTGGGACCAGTTAGTCCCAGTTGATTCCCAGTTGGGACCAGTTAGTCCCAGTTGAAACCAGTTGAGGTGCCAACTGGTCCCAGTTAGAAATTTTCGCCTGGGTGGGGAAACGTGATGGTGCCCCTCCCAGCGAGCGTCGCACGCTTTAGAACTAATACGTTGTAGTCGCTGCACTATCGGGCGCATTTGTCAGCAATGAATGGTGCAGGATGCTTTCGCTTTGCCGTACCTCACTTAAATCGCAAAGTATGAGCTAGGATCTCGCTCCATTTTTTTGGATTGTCTTTCGATTCTGGCTATCCCTAAGCCAAGGTTCTCCCCACCGCTCCGACTGACCACCCATTGCTCTGACTGACCACCCACCATCTCGATTATGCCGCAGGATGACAATGTGATTTTGTGTGTGCACATGGCTGCAGACCGCTGTACTCAGAAGGCCCGCACACCGCCACATTATTGCGTGTTATCACGTTGCCAACTGCCACCTCTCCTTCAAACAAGGAGAGTGGAGCGCTTTAAGGGGTGTAGGGAGGGCAAGGGAGGTTTGGCTGAGGAGAAACACAAAATAAACGGACGCGACGAATGCACACTGCACAGCAGTTCTCTCTGTAGGCAGTGAGCGGCAGAGAGCCGAGGAGACTTTTCTTTCGCTGCTCAATGCTTGCTCGCGCTGTGGCTTGCTTTATTTGCCTCTTCACTCGCTCCCCGCTTTTGCTTTATCACCACGGTGTGGCGGCACTCACAGGGCTGCAAAGTTCGAAAGCCTACGCAAAGTGTGTTTTTTCGGCAGAATTGTGCCACTAATTGTCGCTAAAACTCCTAAAAATTTCCTGGGGAGAGCCCTGTCCTAATCCGAAAGAGAAGCTGCAATTGTTGACATGGCAACGTCTTTGGAATCCTAGTGGATTGTCTTGACTCCATCAGCTGGGCACTGATGGCTCGCAGAAACAGATCACATACCAATTTCCGCTGGAGCCGAAGTAAGAGATTTTCATTTTATGAAGATTTTATGTACAGTTCTTGTATGCTGGTCAACCATGCTGCCGGTATGCCGCCTACCTTTCACTGCATGCTCACTTCTTCCTCATCGTTTCTAGCACTAAACCTCGTCGACTTTCGCACTGGGAAGGAAATTTCAATGAGGTTTGTCTTGGCTTCAGATGGCCAAACATTTAATAAGTAGCCAAACACTCAATCACTAGGTTTTACTTACCTTGCCCCATATTTGTACCACAAGCAACAAAAAGTGTTCAAGCTTAAATGTGTGCTGCTCTGCATTCCGAAAACGAGCTACCACCCTGTAATAAAACGCGAAGCTATCGTGCATCTAGCCCTCATCAAGCTTGGCTAGGTACTTGTACATAGCTAGTATGGACGAGTGGTTAACTTTTTGCCTAGTTTTAAAGTTAATCGGCTGATGAGCAGACGGGCCCAGGCGGTCTAAATTCATCCTCTGCTGGTGCGTGTCACATGCCCTTAGTTGGTTTAACACGTCAAACCCCAAATTTCACTTTTCCTTTTGTTGCCCATGTGCTTGAGGTTGATTTTTTTAATCGCAATGAAGTTAGCGTGATTTTTTAATCGCAATGAAGTTAGCTTGATTTTTTAATCGCAATGAAGTTAGCGTGCAAACCCTGCATGCACTTTTTGCGACATTCAGTGTCTTAAGTTGTGTAGAAAAAAATGTGTCACACTAACACATCACCTCATGGTGATGAATGCGTATAGCACACCCCTCTAATTGCAAAATTTTGTGCCCTCGAAAGATTTCTAGAGCTAGCACTTTGCTATATTCATGAAATATAGCCCACAAAAATCAAGTAGTTCGCAGCATAATAGTGTTTCGTTTGTTGTTTAGCTTAATTTTTACTTTTGGTGTCTTGTATGACAGGTTGTTTAAATGGCTCTTTCATTTAAATATTATAAGCCTCTTTAAAAAAAAAAAAATCTTGGTTTCATTGCCCATGGTGCAGACAACCTGAGTTTTCTCTCTCCTTATGTAATGCCCTTGAAAGGGGTCCCCTTAGCAGCTTTTAGTTTGGGGAAACTAATTGTCTTCAAAATTTCATTTGTTGCCTTCAAAATTAAGTTGGTAGCCACAAAAAATATAGAAACAAAATTTTAAAAAATAAATCAGATAAGTGCTACTATCTGTTGGCAGAGCCTCAAACTATGTCATGAGCGAGCCTGTTCATCCAAAACGGTTGATTGTGTGAACCGGGGAAATCAGACGAAGCTATACTCGTCCGAACGGTTTGGGGACGGCTTCACGTCCAAATGGTTGGGGGTTAAAGGTGAACCGAAATTTGGATTTCAGAAAAAACGATGCAGGAGATGTAGGCGGGACGCTACAATCCCTACAACACTACTCGTAAGGCGATATCTCGAATGGACGGCCGTATTTTTGGAAAACGAGGTCGAGATTGAACCAGGCCGACGAGGCGCGCGACGTCAATATACCTAGTTTCCTCCTCTCTTCGCTTCGCCCCCTCAAGGCCACGAGGCCTTGAGGGAGCGAAGTGAAGACGCGAGGCCGTTCCTTTCCTTCTCGGAGAAACATGACGTGAATATTTCTGTCAAATCCGCCTCCTTTTCTTGAAAAATACGGTCATCTGTTCGAGATAACGCTGTATGAGTGATGTTTTGGTGTTTGTAGCATCCCGTTGCACTCTTATTTTGCCGCGTGTTTTGTGGAATCCAGATTTCGGTTCAGCATCCCTTTAAGGATCAGTAAATGAAATGAATAAAACCTCTTACCATAGAAACCTGCTGCTACCGGAATGCATTGGGTCTGAAAGAACGAAGACTAGTAATTGTTCAACTTTTATCAAAACCGGTGGAAACCATGGAGACCACATGTAACAACATGCAGGATGTTTCACCAGTGACTGAGAATAATGAAGAAAATTGTTAAAATAAAAAAGATTCCTTCGGTATGGTGGACATCAAATTATGAGTGGTGAGGTGTGCAAGTATTCTAAATCTTGAATCATTTGCGAATAGTTAGCTATTCAATTCGATTTGCAGCATGTCTTACTGTTCGAAGTATGCAAGTTCTTAGAATATTCAAAATTGACTAATGTTCTTTAGAAATCTCAGATTTCACACACCCCGCTTCACTCCTTTGCACCAACGTGCTAGGAGAAACTGCAGTGGTGACGGAGCATTTCGGTTGGCCTGATAGTCTCCGAAATTTTCCTCACTATTGTATGTCGGCCTTCTTTGGTTATAATTATAGTTGTTCAACTCCTGATTTTAAAGTAAAGCACCTGAAAAGAGAACCTCTTGTTATATTCAAATAAGGTAGTCATTGCTTTGCTTGCCATGTTACCGTATTTTCTCGAGTAATAGCCACACTATTTGTGAACAAGGCCCTTGCATCTACTTTCTTACAGAACACATATACAACCAATCATTGTGTTGCGCATAAATAACATAGTGAATAACCATATCGAGAACATGACTGTCCATACAAATTCAATCTTCACAGACGGTACCTTCGCACGAAGACGTTATCTCTGTCCTGTAAACAGCTGGAATCATGCTGTTGAACGCGGTGATTGGCAATCTGCGTGCTCCACGGAAAAGCAAACCCTCGGGCTTTCTTCATAAACAGTGCGGCTATAACTCGAGTAAATGCGGTACATTCGGTTTGACCCAACTTATCAGGGAATTTTTTTCTTCGCCATACAAATATGTCAAATGTCCCTCTTGTAATAAAACTGTTTCTTCTCTAAGGTATGCTTACTAGAAAAAATTTCCAGCCGTAATTTATTAAAGTATTGATGCTCGGTTCACAATAAATGTAACTATTTGTATTCTAAAATATTCAAATTCGCTTCGGAGTCAAATTTTGTTCGCTGGTCTCCTTCCACGTATCGCAGTGATTGCTGCGTGGACAAGTAGTAGATAGAAAGGTGTTAGATTCGAGCCACCGCTCCAGTGCTCTCTGGTTCGTGGTAAACTTTTGGCAGGCCCATGGGCTGCTTTAGGGCTCCTGAAAAGATGAACTAGTAGGCAAGTCTGTAAGGGGTAATTCCTTTCAGATGTGCTATATTGGACGGACTCCTACGAGAAGACCATCAAAAGAGCATTTTTGCCCAACCTCACGGATGTGAGCTCAGGCATTGGGTTCCCACAGAATCTGGAGCTGAAGGGCCTAAACAAACCAAACGCCATTGCAGTCGACTGGGTGGGCAGGTAAGCAGTCCCGGTGGACCCTCGGTGACGCAGGCTCAGGCTCTCTGGCTTGCAGGACGATCTACTGGATGGACACAGACTTGTCGAACACACGTCCCAAGGGCCGCATTCTGGTCAGCCTGATCGACGGCCGCTACCGAAGGACCCTCCTCTCCACCAATCTAGAGAGGCCTACCTCGATGGCTGTAGATCCAGAAATGGGGTAAGTTATGCTGTCCACTCACTACTCTACACAGTATTTCAGCTTGTAGGAAGTATCCAGGAAGTATGCGTTGTCAGTTTTTTCTCTGGAGTCCCGAGTGACTCGCAGCTTTTTGGCCTTTTCGTGTTGGGGTCTTTTATCAATGTTCTTGTCTTTGTGTTATCATAACAGGGAAGTATGGTTAACTCAATCTTGCACTCTTATTTTAGCGGCTATTTAGGTGCTATATTTACATTTTAAGCCCCCTTCATTTAAACATGTTTTTGTATTTTATTTAAGGGAAGATGCTGCTTTTTGAGGCAAAAAAAGAATGCAAAAGAACTAATTTTTGAAGATTCACAGGCACTTACGGTATCAAGTGTCCTGAAGTATTTTTGTGAAATACCGTAAAATACCGCTGAAGCGCCCGCTTCGTTCGAGTGCCCACTATTAGCATTTCCCAAACTTGAGAATTCTGAAAATTATAAGTATAAATGCCCGCTTTGACAGGACAAGCACTCATGTCTAGAGTCATCCAGTTTTCAGTGAAAGTGGGGTGGATGCTCCCCTGGTATTTCACAGGAAGAATCTTTTATCCTAATGTTTACTTGAACACGTAGTAAAATGGATTTGTGCATGGTTTTGTGCTATTATTTTAGAATGAACTGTTTACACACTTTGCTATTTTATGGAAGCCAAATGCACATATCCAATCTTTATCATTCTTTATTTCTCTGGTAGGTGTATGTGTGAGGTATTAATAAGAGGTATAAATATGTTAGATGCCACAAGGTTTTTTAGATGCCTTTTATACTTCAGTCTATAAATAATTTTGAACCTGGAAAATTCAATTGTCAGAAAGAGAACTGTAAATTGCCCTAAAGCTTTCATTTATATATTATTGGATTACACAGACCTTGTAGTTTACTGAGATAAGTTTATTTTCTGATCTCAGTATTTTAATTTGTCTTAACATCCTTGCCATAATCTTTGCAAATGAAACTTACAATATTAACAAAAATAATTGGGCTAAGTCAAACCCAAGTACTTATTTGTAGTCAGATTGTAAATGGAGATAAACTACGTAAATTTCATTTGAATGCGATCACAAGTTAAATAAAAAAAAACTCTAGAAGTAGTGTTGCCCCTTAACCCCTTAACCGTTTTGCATGAGCTGAGCTCGTCCACTTAGAGCTGTCCCCAAACCGTTTTGGACGAATGTGGCTCGTCCGCGCACCCTACCTCGCCCCTTGGCTGGTTCGGACGACCCAAGCTTGTTCAGAGCTTAGTTTGCCGCACTGCTCAGAGATGGCAGCATGTGTTTTTTTATTGTACACGTTTTTAAGGATGGTGACCAATTGTGGAAACACGTGAAACCACACGTGCAAAAAAAAAAAACAAAAAAAAAAACGGGGATTAGAAATTGAGCAGCAAAGACAGTTAAGGGGTTATGGGCCACAGAAACAGAAATACCTCACTTCAGGGCATGGGTTTTCAAAGGGGGTCCCTGGGAACCGAAGGGTTTCCCAGAGTACCCTCAAGGTTTCCACCTGCCCCCAAGTAACAGCTGAATTTAAAAGGTCGGAGCCATCTTTTGATGCATAATTTTCTGCCAGATAAGTGTAAGTGCATTACTGTTTATAAGGCTTCTGCAGTACTTTATTCCATTAATACTGAGACCAGGAGGTGTATTCCTCAGCTATCAAGATAGGTGTCCCTCGAAATTCAAAAGTTTAACCCCTGTTTTAGGGGGCTTAAAATAGATAACATCACCATAACTGTTCCAGTAATAGTGCAAGTTTTAATGCTCACTAGCAACTTCTAGTTTTTTTTTTTTTATTATTATTATCTGCATATTTAATGTTAAATTCTGTATTCAAGGTAAGTTTTTGCACTCTTCACATTGAGTTTGTATTTGCAAGTTTTGACTTTTGCACACCTCTAGAGTTATGTAGCAAATTAAGAGTTGTCAAAATGTGCTTTGAATCTTGTTTCCGTGCAGCTGGATGTTCTGGTCTGACGCTGGCTCCAACCCGAAGATTGAGACTGCTTGGATGGATGGCTCAAAGCGCCGTATCATTGTGGGCGACAAAGTCGGCTACCCAACAGGCCTGACCATTGACTATGCCTCTGACCACCGAGTGTACTGGTGCGACAGCAAGTTGAACACAATCGAGACTTCCAAGCAGGACGGCTCCAACCGGGTCGTCCTTGCTAGTGGAGGTGAGGGGTTCTTTCTTCCTGGTTGGAGAGCTGCTTTGTGCCACTGGCACAGTCTCGGGCTTTAGTCATGCTCGGAGAGTGGCCACATCCCAGAGCGACCATAACTTTACCTTTGATCTGAGTTGTTGGTGACTTTGCCACTTTAATGCCCATTCTTTCTGTTTTTGCTCTTCAGCCGCCAGCCTTCACTGCATATTTGGCGGTAGCTCCCCTTGTCTCTCCTTCACACCTTTTCCGCTGGGTGGCATTGCGTCCTCTGGAGTTGCGAATATTGTGAAATTCCTACTACCCCGACTGTTTTTCAGCCTATAAAAATACAGCCCATTACACATGAATGGAAATTCCACAGTGGCTACTAAAGAGTTTTATTCTGTAGTCTTCAAAGTTTCAGTAAAAATCTGGAAACGGGATGTGGAAAGTGTTAATGTTTCCTGTCGCGCAATTCCACACTGAGAAAAAGTGGAAATGGGAGGTCTGTACTTTTGGTTCTAGTATAATTTTTTTGCGGTTTTTAGGTGTCCGTTTAATTGTTGGGCTGTTAAAAATTGAAATGCAGTCAGTGCGTTGTGGGGTGACTTGGAGCCATTGTATCTGTATGCTCCCTAAGGGAGTAAATTAGCTTGGACGCGAGTGCCGTCTCTTGGCGACTAGCGGCAAACTCCACCAACATTCCAGCTCCACTTGCATGGAGAATGGTAGAAAACCTTATTTCGCTTTCCTACTGGACAAGATGCAGCAGGAAAACTCTTTTAACACTTTCATTTGTTTTTTGAAGTTTTTCGAAAGCTTGGAAGTCCAATTTTGATTTAGAAAGCTGTTGCATTGTGGAAAGACATGTTGAAGGAGATTCGCCTTTAGGCAGTGTGCTCTGCAATGTTTGCAATGGCAGTGATGGGATTGCTGCACCAAAGAGGGCTTACCCTGCTACACTGCTCCATTTAGCCCAGATATGAGGAACTTGTGCCAACATTGCGCCAAAACTTGATTTCAGTTTGTTAATATAAAAAATATAATGGCTCAGGCCCCGCTACATGTCCAGATCCTGATGGTAGGCTTGTGCGTATTTTCAGAACTTTCGATTCTAGCTGCAAATACATACTAACATACTATCCTATTTGATCTCTCTGTCAGTGTCAAACACTGACAGTACTCGGAATTTTCGCAATCTCTCTGTTCCTCCTACTCTGCTCTGGCGTGTAAGTTAGCGTTGTTGAGTGCACTTCTCACCGCGCTCTTGTGTACTGCAGCAAAGCGGCGACCGCAAAGTAAGCATCGCAATTTTACTTATCTTGCTTCACCACAGTGCATCCGAGTGCTAAAGGAAAGCATTCCCCCACGAGTGGGACCTTAAACACGCAAGCTTAGGGTATATTAAAAAAAGGAACTTCGTGAGGGTTGTGCAACAGCTCTTAGTTGCAGTACAATTTGTACTTAAACTGTGGCTATTGTTTGATAGACTGCAGTATTCTGGTGATATCTTATTTAAATTCGAGAGTTGATAGACTGCGGTATTCTGGTGATATCTTGTTGAAATTCGAGACTTCGCGAAGGTACTCGCAAGAAAATATTTGAGATGCTCTACAGGTTTATTTTTATTTGAACTCCATTGTTCAGTTGTCACCATTACATATGTTTTATTCGTTCGAGGTACAGTCAATATAATAAATTAAAACTAAATTAGGCGAAGCAGTAGAATGAAGCTTGCAAATAACTTTAATGACTTTAGCTGGATTGTTTTAAGGCATACTTATCGTTCACATGCTATGAGGTTCTACATACAAAATTCATTATTTGCATAATTTATTGACAAAAGGTTTTTTTAATTTGAATTAGGAATCTTTTTATTACAACCTTTACAACTTGAATTAAACATCAATTTGTGTGCTCAAGATTATTCTAACATTCTTTTATTTGAATATGCTATTTGGATTTTATTTCATACCTAAAATGACCATTCACAGCAGTCCACACTGTCATTCATCAATCAGCATCTTGTTGCCATGCCTAGTGCTATGTGCAACTAAACAGCTAGTTCTGTGTTTGAGGAAATCAAACCTGCCATTGCACAGAAATGTGAAGGTAAAGCATGCACGTTTTTTAATTGGATAGGTCAACACACGAATCTGTCGGTGAAGTTTGTTGATCAAAGGAATAGTACCGTACTCTACATTGGGAACATATAAGTGGTATTTACTCAGCTTGAAGAACTGCAACTTGGGAAGAGAGGCAGTTTTCAGTCACCATAAGTGTAGTCAAAGCTGCGGTTTACAAAAGATGTAGCATATCGTTAGCTGTGCCATGGTTTGTTTGAAAACGAGCAAATAATGTGGCTAACTCATGCAGATAAGCATTTGTTTTTTCTCAAACATCGTATGTGATTAGCAAAAGAATAAAATAAAAAATTATGAGCCATTCCACTCTGTGGAGGTGGATGACCAGCGAAGCTGTTTAGCACAAGACAGACGTGACACAGGAGCTGCAGGAAACTAGACACGCATGACTGGACTGCCACCCAGCGGAAAGTAGACATGCGCAACAGGACTGCCACCCCGGGAGAGCGGAAGGAAACTAGGCACACAAGCGCTTGGAACAACAACAAAGAGAGGGCGCGCAAGTTTTTGTTAAAAAATGCATGGAACTCTAGCCATAAACAGCTTTGCTGTAAAATATTTTTACTGCTACAAGAAAGAAAGAATGAGTGAGGAACAGCTTGTTGGGCAGAACAAAATTGAGATGAAAACTACTTTTCTTGGTTGGAAACACGAGTAACCTGTTTCGGGCATTTTGCAAATCAAAGAAAATGTCCTCTATTGGCCAGGCAGAATCATGAGCACTGTATTGCTTTTGTCTGTCCAACTCTGTGTCCAAAGCACAATCCTTTCATTAACCTTTTTTTCTTCTTTGTTCTTTATAGAATTACTGCATCCATTTGCAATGGATCTGTTTGAAGATAGCATATTCTGGGTGACTCGAGACTCCGGCGAGATCTTCCGGCAAGACAAACACGGCCGAGGTGTAAAAGTTCGCGTCAAGAGAAATGTTGAAAATCCAACTGGCGTAAAAATCTTCCAGCCACTCAAATACAACCTGACAGGTCAGTTTTCGTTTTAGCTACAAACAGCCTTTTGTATAAGGCAGTTTCTGAAGGTTGTTTCACTGTCTTCTCAGTTTTGAACCGCTGCCCTTCGTCGGCATGTTCACATCTCTGCCTCTTGGTCCCGCAAGGCTACCGCTGCGCCTGCCCCGATGGAACTTCTCTGCACGTCGTCAATTTCGGCAGCTGCGATGCAGGTGAGTCTCTGGGCCTTGCCAGTTGGGAAGACATGATCTATTGCTTCTGCCTTTTTAAGACAGATGCCCAAGTTTTGGTGTCCACCTTTTAAAGGTACCATGACTGCTATGGTCTATTTAGGTATTGGTGGGTACTTTGAGAGTGAATTGAGGTTTGCATCGGCCTGCTGCAGCTGTTACATCAATCTATCGGGCAGTAAAGGCTGTAGATATCTTCATCTCCTTAAATTATTTGGGGATCGATTGTCTGTAAAATGCTGCATAGATTTGAACATCAGTAAACTATTTTATGAGAGGACTACTGGAGGCCAACTTGCCTGAAGAGTGTGCAGAGAGCTCTGACGGATGCCTTGCCTGCAGATTGGCTGGAGTGAGCATCCTCAGATTGACTACACAGGTTGCAGGTTTGTCTAAACCAGGGGTCTCCAAACCCCAGCCCGCAGGCGAAATACGGCTTGCGAAGGTCTTTAAACTGGCCTGTGGCTGGCTGTGGTACCTTCAATGAAGCCCGGCCAGTGGCCTGCTTCCAGCAGGCCCGCTGCTACCGGTGCAGAAATATGCGCACATAAAGAAATGGCGTGGCAACGCGGATCAGCCGCATAAACGAAGATGCCCGAAAAACTAGGAAAATCTGCCTATCGTAAGGCGTTTCCTCTTGTCATATTATTCATTAAACATTGTCATTGCCAGCATCACCATTCTAGTCTCCTGTTTTATATCTGGGTAGCTACATATGTTAAAATTCCTTTGTACGCCCGTGTATATTGTGCTTAGTATCCTGTGGCGTATCTATTGCACATTATAAGCATCTGTTCTATCATTCTTGTTAACCTTTGCCCTGTGTAACATGCCAAAGTTCCTATGTGCTTTGATAAATGCCTGGTGAGTTTTCTGGGCCCCAATTAGTGTCTATTGTCATAATTAGCTAAATATTGAATTTCAAAATCAAGTACATGTATTCATCCATCTTAAATTCTTCTTTTTTTTTTTTTCTTTTTTTTTTTACTTTAAGTTTTGTGTTTAATGCTTATCTAAGATCTAATTCATATTTACTTATTTCTTTTCCGACCCTCGAGACAGCAACAGATTCCTGATCTGGCCCCTTAGCCAAAACGTTTGGAAACCCCTGGTCTAAACATTTGTCATTGGCTGGACTTCCTTCTTTGATTGCAGCAAATGGTTCTCTGTGTGTGTTGCAGAATCGTTGAAACAGGGGCCTCGTCTGCTTCAGTGGTAGTGGCAATCAGAGCAACGGCTCTTTGGATTCAGACTTTCAACACATTTCTTAAAAATTTCCGTTCATTATCCTACTTATCTTGACAATTAGCCTTCTAAATTATGTCCCCCTGGCCATATACCTCACCTGCACAGACCCCATAGTGCACCTTTCACAGCATATTTTTCAATAGATTAGTTTGTGTTAAGATGAAGTTTATAGTCGAAGAAATGCTGGGGAATATGGAGCTGCATTTATGATTGACACGCTCAGATTTATAAACGTTTTCAAAACTCTGCATGAATGCACCATAAAACGTCTTGTGCAGGGTTTGAAGTGCCAAAGCCACAGCCATACAAGTGCCCGTGCCGCAACGGCGGCCACTGCGAGAGCGTACGTGATGACCAGATTGTCTGTCGATGCCCGAGCGAGTTTGAAGGCATGCACTGCGAAAACTTCATAGCTCGGAGGCGGATCTCTTCCTTGTCTGGGGCAAGCGGTGAGTGCTCGCAATCAACGAGACTTTCAGGGCGCGTACTGACAGACTTTGCTCATCCTCGTCTGCTCCAGGTGTTGCTGCTGTCTTGGTTCCCATTATCGTTGTCATCATCATAATGATTGTAGCTGCCACGCTGTTTGTCTGCGTCCGCCGAAGGCACTTGTAAGTGACATTCCGCCAGCATTTTGGTTGTGCAATGGTGAGAGCACGGGGCGTCTTTTGCAGCAAACAAAGCGGGCTCGGCGGGAGCACCCAGAGCGTCTCATTCCGGAGTGGCACCAACGTGGAGTTCTCTCCCAACTTCATGAGAAACCGGCCAGCTGAAACAAATGGGGTGAGTGGGTGGTGGAAAGGGCACCCAGTTTGATGGTGCACATTGTTGATTGGGACCGATCTCTTTCTAGGAGCCATTGGATGCGGAGTTTGGCCTGAACGACGTCAACAAGCCGACGGACTTCAGCAACCCGATGTATGACGCGTTGGGGAACACGGAGACGCCGGTTGCGACCGGCGAGCCAGCGAAAGGGGGGCTCTACGAAGTGCCCGGGGACGTTTTCGACAAGAAGTACGACAAGAACTGCTTCGAGCCAGCGAGCAACAAGGCAGTGAATGTGGGGAGCGCAGTGCTACACCCGTCGATGGTGCTACACCGGTCGTCGCCGCACGTGCCTCTGCGGCAGACGGCGCTGGACCCCACGACGGTAGACACGGACAAGGACACACAGAACTTGGTGGAGGAAGACAAGTCAGAATGCTGAGTGTGGCAGCCCCAGGTCGGCAATAGTTAACGAGCGAAGACTTTCCGTCGTGGTAATGTCTGAGCATTGCGTTAGCGGGGGACAGTGTACATATCTAACTGTTCTAGAAGAGAGCTCTATCGCGTGGTGCCAGGCGGCACGGTGGTTCCCCAGGCCAAGGGACGGTTGCTAAGGAAGGGGGGCCCGGCACGGTTATTTAAGTCTCTCATAAAATGCCTCGGAGATGCCGGTGGGAGGCCGACCCACAGGGTTGCCCGGCACTCCCTCCGAGCGTTTTATCTGGGACAGAGGTGTGCCTGGTCACCACAACCAGTTTGGCAGGGACCGTACTTTTTAAACGACAGAGTGTTTATTTGCGAAGGATTTTATAGCTGTTCTTACATTCCTTTTTTTTTTTTTTTTTGCAACGGTCTAAAAGGTTACTCGCTGTGCACCTGGCCTAACTTTCCAGTCTTGCTGCAGTCATGTGCCCAAATCAGTGTGCCTGTACATCGACTGTCCCGCACCGGGGGCGCTGGCTTCTCGGCCCAGCTGTGGGCAGTCCTCGAAACCAGTGGGGCATTGGGCACCCTTGCTCTGGGCACAGTACTTAGTGTCCATTGACTCGCAGTCGGCTGCCTTCGACGCCCATGGGGCTGCAGGGGGGCAGCTCGCGACGTAAGTGCTTTGTGTGTACATGTGATATTTTCTGTAAAAGCTTAGGACACGCCATACTGCAACGATAACCGAAACCATATCATTCCATACATTCATTCCATTTTCCGTGCAAACATGTGATATAGAACATTTTCTTTTATCCCACCAGGCAAAAAAAGTTTTTATGGAGCAGAAGACAATCTGTGCTGTTTTAAGGGCGTTTGTGAGCGCGTTTGTTTTACAGCTACTGTGTGCAATTTTCATCTTCCATTTGACGGTACAATAAATTTGCGATACTTGAAAACTTTCTCTCAAGGTTAGCTGCACACGCTCGCTTCCCCGAGGAGAACTGGTGCGATTGTTGTTGAGTGCCAAGCCTGCATGTCTGAAACTCGTTTTCTCTGTGACATGCTGCTGAACTGTTTTGACTGGCTTGGCCAATAGGAAGTGATTGCAACATCTCTTGAATGTCCAAGTAAGCAATAAATTGATTTTATTTTCAGATACAGAGATTGAGAATGTGCGTGCGAATGGTAATACCTCGTAGCTGCATCACGCCGTAGCCTGCGGTCGTAACAAACGAGGAGTCTCATTGCTTGGTGGTGCTGCTTTTTATATACAATGATTGACCCTGTGGCTACGAAACAATGGTAGAGAATAGGAGCCTGCTACTCGTTCAGCTCTACATTGTGTGCTATTGCGCTTGCTAGAAACTGTCTTGGTAAGCTAGTCCATCATCTGAAAAGAAAGAAAACGGTCTGATCAGAGTTGGAAGCACTGACCCTTGATACAGTATACAGTATGTATTCGAGTCATGTCCACAGATGCAAGAGCGTGCTTGACACCCACACCAAGGTAAGTGTAGCTGCAAGCTTGCCATGTGACTGGGTGGCGAACAGAGTGGTGGAAGCTTGCTCGCCCAATTAATCCATGGTCTGCCTTTCATTACCCACCTTACTTTCTGGGGGAAATTATGTACAGAGAATGTAATCATATGGTGGAAGACTTTCATGTGATCCGTTTGTGCTTAGGAGTAACTTGTCAAAAATTAGGCACCGAATTTCAGGATTCGGCATCGCCGAATGTTATCTGAACTTTTGCACAAATTCAGCATAAATTCAGGAAAAACCACAGGGTTGCTAAACAGGTTTAGCCATTTTTATTTTTTGGGCAGCAAGCTTTTGAGGTGTTCATTAATTAAAACGTTAACATACAAACGTTAGCATACAACTTGCATACTGATATACCCTCCTTGTGCTGGATTTCAAACCTGCGACACCATCTAGTGGTCAAAATGGGAAGCATTGGTATGTTCCTGGTGCTCTGTTTCTTCGGGCGAGCTGGCATTTCCCAAGACTCGTTACTTTGTTCTCAGCATTGCGTCCAAAAAATAACCACTAATATTTCAGTGAATGTACGACTGCCTCAGCGGCTAAATGAATAAAGCTAAGCTCTTCTTTGTGAAGTTCTAGCAATTTCCAGTCAAGCTGTAGGGGGCGAAGTGGCAATGAATCGCAGCAGTTCCACAGTGTGACCCGCCACGCGAGGGGGCTCCGTTCGAGTCTTTTTTTTTATTTTAACTCGATCCCCAAGATGAAAAAAAATTGCTGCACCGGTATGGTGTGCATATCACCGGCTACTGTTTTGGTGCAAAGCCCCTGTGGCAACTCATGAATGGAGAAGCTAGAAGTCCTGCAGTGCCTACTTCGTGGCGAACGAAATGAGGCTCGCCACCCTGCTTAAATCGCCAGTCTCTCTAGATAAGAAAAGAAGGGCAACCTAATGATGTTAACAGAACTTGGAAAAAAAAAATCCATGGTTAACATGGTTGTGGTTCTTTACACAAAAATCTCAAAGAACATTGAGGATGATGCCAAAAAATGAGCTGGATGGTCACTGTCTGCACAGCTGCACAATGGTGATTGCAGAAATAAAAAGAGAAAAATTAGCAGCCACAACAAGCGGCCGTACGGGGTCTAGGGCCGATTGCTCTCTCAGTGCTCGAGTTTTATCTATATACTAGGAGTATTTGACTTCCGTCACCACGGGTGACCCAAGTCAACAGTGCAAAAAGTAATTAGTCATTAGTTTATACAGCGGGAGTTTTGTCTGCCAGAAACATGACCACATTAGCTTCCTCGATTTACCGGCGCCTTCTGCACCGGTTCAGAAAAGTGTAGGGCGGTGTACTTCCGGTCATATCTCAATGCGCAGACCGGAAGTACACTGCCCTACACTTTTCTGCACCGGTGCAGGAGGTGCAGGTAAATCAAACGAAGCAAGTGTTACCCCCTGTAGATGAGCAATTCAGCCAGTGCAGTACAACCGCTAGCCTGGGGTCATTACGCAGTAGTGATACAGGACCGCACGCCGGTACGGTGCTCATCCAGTTCGAAACGGGCAGGGGTGGGGATTGAACCCAGAAGGTTCTGTAGCGCAAGCTTTCGCACCACGCTCAGAGCTGAGACGCGTTAGCCCGCTCTGCTCTGGCGTGTAAGTAAGCTTCCACGCTCCGAGCTGAGACGCATTGCTCTGGCGTGTAAGTCAGCTTTGTTGAGTGCGCTTCTCACCGCTCTCATGTACTGCAGTGAAGCGGCAATACGCGAAGTAAGCTGCGCAATTTCGCTTATCTTGCTTCGCCGCAGTGCATCCGTGCTAAAGGGAAAGCATTGCCCCCGAGCGGGACACGCAAGCGTCGGGTAGCTTCCCCTGCACTGTCAGCTTAGGGGCGAACGGAGTATGGTGAGAGTAGTGACGCAATAGTGTCCAATGCGTGGGCTGGGACCGGCTGACGTGCTTTGGTACTGCAGATGTCTCGCAGTGAAAAGGCGGAGAGCTTTCGAAGGAGAAGAGGTACAAAATAGTCCGCTACGTTTTCAGCGTTTCGTACCGACAAGCAGGCTTTTGACTTTCTGCCCTTTTTCTTTTGGCCCACTAAACGATATGCTATTAGTAAAATCCCAATCTAAATTCATTTTATGGCCCCTTTAACCTGCAACAGGGTATCGGAAAACTATAACGCTAATAACCCCTGGAGAAGGGGAACAAGAGGGACAAGGGACAAATACAAATCTCCAAACACAGCTAGGTAACTGGTGCACGACTAAAGAAAAAAAAAAAAAAATACACCTCCAGTCGCCCACCAGTCACCTAGCTGTGTTTGGAAAAGTGTGTTTGTCCTTTGTCCTTTGTCGCTCTTGTTCCCCTTCTCCAGGGAATATTATCGTTATCCTTGTCCAGCTCGCTTGCACCTTTGCATTAATTGCAATATCAATATAAGAAAACATTGATTGATTTAGACCGCCTTAGCGGGAAAGAAGGGCGGAAGTGAATCAGTGGCGTTGAGATCCGGAGTCGCGGTTTCGACAGGGTGGAGACTATTTAGAAGAGGGATATTTCGTAGATCAAGAGCTTCGTTGCTAGCGGAAACTCGTGCTGTCACTTGAGTGCTGGTTGAGCACGCGCCCCCAGCACCCGCCATCCCCAGCGTACGATCTACGGAAAGTCCGAATAGCGGGCCCCGTGGCCGCGTCAACCATGATTCGAAGTGACGGCATGAGCTCCGTTAATAGTGCACTGAATCCCTCGCATGGGCCTTCAAAAACGATTGGTTCAAACTGACTCACCGCTGATGTCGGCAACTTTGGCTATTTCCTCCGCTAACCACCCGCTGCCAGATTGGCTGTAATAAGAAAAATCCACCGTCAATTTGACCATTTTCGACAAAATGTGATTTCTTCAACAGCGACAAATCCTGCTAAAAACCAGTTAAAGTTCGCTGTTTTTATATATATATATATATATATATATATATATATATATATATATATATAAACATTACTCGGGGGGGGGGGGGGGGGGGGGGGGGGGAGTTGAGAACCTATAGACGCTGAATTGAAATATCAGTTCTCAACAGGCTCTGTGCCCATTGAGATTCCATCGATGTGTTTTTCTTGGTGTGCGCAATCTTTCATGAGACACGAAGCTTCTCCTGAAAACGTAAGGATGAATGTTGCGTTCCTCGGCCACGCTGGACATCATACGGCAGCGGCTTAAAGGAAGCACTTATGCAGGTACAAACGGTCACAGAGTCTAGAATTCCAATCGGCTGTTGCGATCTAACTTGACACTACCACCAGTTCCTAACCAGATTGGACACGTTTGCACTCCATCGCAGCACCACAACTAGGAGACCACCAGAAGACCCCACGATGCAGAATCAACTGAGGCCAAATGCCCCTCCTCCCGGCTGTGGGAGGTCTTTCTACCTTAATAAAACACGAACAAGCAGAACGACTCAGAGGGTGTTTCGAGCCTATGCTCTTTTTCAAGTGACGGAACTCGGGAAGCAGAGAAAAGGGCAACAAGTTGATGACATGGAAGAGAAGGGAAAAAGGGAAGGCGGGTGGGGTGGGGAAATGTACAGTTACTCTAGGAAAATGGGGCCGGAAGTCGAGACCCACAAAAAGCACACATGGGAGTTGGGCGATTGAAATTAGAGGGAAACTTATGTTTTAGTGGCAAAACGACGAGATTTGTAAAACCTGTTGTGCCGTAAGCCCACAAGCGTTTCGGTGACAAATAGAAAAAAAAAAAAAAAAAAACACTGAAATTTTGTTTGTTCCTTCGGTCGGACAAAGAATTCAGATAAACGAAGTGATGGAAGTGTTGCGCCTAATAGCGCCATGAACGAAAGTCTGCTACATATTGCGCCAAAATGGCATTTTTGCTGCATTTGTTGCGCAGAGATCAACTTAGAGTTTATATATATATATATATATATATATATATTTTTTTTTTTTTTTTTTTTTTATTGGTTTAGTTGATGAAAGAACACGTACAAGGAGGTTAGGAATGCCATGATGTCGCGCTTTGATGCTGCGAATCAACCGGCCGCAGCCGTTGATGCTGGGCATCGTCCGCTCTGGCCGGCGACATTGTCTAAATTTCCAGACGATGTCGTCGAGTCCTAGGACAACTTTGCAAAATAGTGGGATTGTCGATTGCGGCTACTGTGATAAGACAGAACCAGGGTCTTGCACTCGTGTCACGATCACTTGATTGTCATGTCTGCCACATGCCTTTGTTCCGTGGCTGCGGAGTACCGTGGCACTTGCGCTGCTCGTGTCAACCTTCGCAGCCTCTCACCAGCGTGCGCGCGTCGAGCTTCACCGCTTTGCACCGGAGTACTAGGAGCAGCGGCTGACCTGGGGGAGCGTCTGGCGTGGCGCGATAGGCACCCTAAGTATGCTCAAGATTATTGCAGGTCGACCTTTTTTGTCCTAATTGTAAGTTAATCTCTAATTGAAAAAAAAAGTAAAGAGAAGGGAACACGAGTCTATATATATTTGAATGAATACGGTAGTCACGGTAGTTCCCGTGCAGCTGTCGATCGAAAGAGCAGCTAACTTTGAAGTAACTCTGGTTCCTACGCCACTAAAGAGCAGTGTGACCTTTAAAGCGCAAGTGTAGTCTTTAATAATATTTCTGGGTGGTTGTTTTTGCAGTTTATGATATTAGTCTTGAGTTCGCTAGGTTCATTCAACTTATGGGACGTATTTTTATTGGTAGACGTGTTGGCGGATATGCTTGTTCTTGCTGGCATTTTACGTAAATTATATTTACAGGCTGAACTAACTACCGAGTGCAAAATGGGGAGAAGAGAGGATTTATCCCAACGAAGTGTTGCGCTATGATTCACTTTTAAGACATTTTTTTATACCCACCGTAAATGAAACCTACTCTGACCTTAGCCTTATTTAAGACGACTGTGTTCCTTTAACGCCCAGTCTACTCTTATCACAAACGGTAATAAGTAATATGCTCGATTATTGAAGAGGAACCCTTGATCACTATCATAAATGAACTCATTTAGAGATGCAATTAGTTTTTCATTCTCAACTGATGTGCTAACAGATGTTGGCATCTGCTCCAAAAGCGTCAGTGGCTGCTCCAAACCAATATTTTGCCCGCTACGGAGCCTGCTACAAAAGGTCAAATGCCGCTTCCATCACTGGAAACGCTTTAAACTGCAGTTCTTTGCTCCATATCCGCGCGCTGTGGACACGATCGTCCCCATGCCCCCAGTTGGCGGGACCAGATTGGCCTAACAGGGTCACAGAACTTAGTTGTTTTTTTGTTATTTTTGAAAGGCGAAAGTCTTACTTTTTTAATTGAGCGAAAAATCTGAGTGAATGGCCATAAAAACGTGATTGCGCGGCACGCGCCGCTCAATCGGCGACCCTACTTGTCCCATCACCTTGGCGTCGTTCTTGCGGTCGTCCTAGACCTCTAGGACGACGTCACTTGTCACGTTACGTGAAAAACAAGCGGCGTCGGCGTTGGTCTGCCCGAAAGATGGCCATAAAAATACGTCATCAAGCGTCGTCATACGTCATCAGCGTGATGTCGCCACCGAAGCGAAGTGTGCAAAAGGTGCTCTTCGGACTTCATCTCTGCTCGTTGTGTGCCTCGTGCGATGGACTGTGAGGCGACCGCATCCACAAGGTGTCACAAAAGAAAATTTACACGGTGTTTTTTACCGCTAAAATAAACTAGGCATCGCCGAACGCTCATTCTCCGCCCAAATGTAGCACTAAAGGTCACGACCAGATGCCAAAGTTTCAGCCCGATGCGACGCCTTAGTCAAAAGTAAGTGATTTTCTGAAAATTTCAATGGGGAAAATGGCGGCCGACGGAGTTTTCAAACACATATGGGGCTCTACGGCACCAGAAACCGAAAACTGGCAAAAATGGGCTCCATTTTCCCATTGAAATTTTCATAAAATCGCTTACAACTTTTGATTAAGTCATCGGATCGGGCTGAAGCTTTGGCATCTGGTTGTGACCTCTAGCTCTACCCTTGGGCGGAGAATGAGCGTTCGGCGATGCCTAGTTTATTTTTGCGGTAAAAAAGAACGTGTAAATTTTTTTGTGACACCCTGTACATCTACGGCGGCTTCCGCAGGCAAACGTGACCGTCCACGCAAATACGCCGCCATGTTGCTGATGATGATGCGGCTGGTGCGACTCTCGCGCCCTCTATCAGCTAGATATTTTCTGCCACACTCTTGGACTGTGAAAACCCGCTTAGTGCGATTCTCTACCTATGTTTTGCGGCTTGGCATTCGACGTTTTCTGGCCCTCTTGAAAGTCTCCACTTTATTTTTCTGATGCATGCTACGTACCCTTTCTGCATTATCTTCCACTGTGAGAAATAGGGCTGGTAAGTGCCTGCCATTCAAGTGTTTCTGCTCGATATTCACGGGATACGAAGGAGGGGAAGGACGTCGAACGGCACTGGACGCGTTTTTGCAAACGATGACAACTGTTCTCGCCCTCGCAGAGATTACCCGCGTGGAGTTCTTCTCAGTCGTAGCCAAAAATAGTTGTTCGTGTTGGAGTCAGTCGCGCCCGTTCCTCTCTTTGCCTTGGTGCTGGTGGGAAAAAAGCAAGCTCTCCCCAAAACGTGCCCCAAAACAAAGTCATCTTGGATTCCGTCCGATCGTCAAAATGTGACTGTCGTCGACTGTGACTGTGTTATTTGAGATCTTTCTCAAATAAATTCTTTTCAGATAACGCTGCGTCGTGTGGTACGTACAATATATTGTTTGAGTGTTAACACTTGCTAAATTGTATGTCCGTGTCCTCTCCATCGGTAAACACGCTATTTGTGAGCCTGAAAAATTCATGTCTTTCGGCTATCTTCTGTCGTAAATTATCTTCGACAGCTAAGCGCTTTGTCCTTAGACACGCGGCTAATCGGGCGGCGCCATCAAAACCTATCGTAAAAAAAAAAAAAAATAATAACATTTTAGTCGCATTCGTTCTGTCGCGCGCGCACCCAACAAAATTAAATTAACTTTTTTTTTTTTTTTTTTTTTTAATTTGCGCAGTGCTTTCTCAATGTCCTCGGGAAAATACATGCACCATGAAACACAAAATACAGCGTGGATGGGAACGACTCCTCTTTCGGGTGCCCGGTTTCCAGCACGCGCAGGTTGCCTTTTCGTGCTCTGGCCGAGCGTGCACGCTCGAGGCTCACGAGACGCCTCAACGGTATTGAATGCAAAAAGCTCGCACTGGAGACAATCTAAGGGCCTCATGCCCTTCTCACCCTGTCAGCGACTCTTTGCGCAATCTGTCCGCTTGGCCTGACGAAAACGCACGAATGTGCTTGGCCGTTGCGTGTCCGCCCGTAGAGTTTTAGTAGACCGACGCTGCCGATTGCGGGCTGAGCGGGCGCGCACTCGATCCATGCTTCAAAGTGACGACACGTATTAAAACTCTGATAGCGTGTGAATGCTATATCTTACTGGTCACAGTCGGTCGCCGAAACAAATGTCTGTCTGCTGGGTATGCAGCGGCTTTCTGACTGACTATAGCTTATTGCAACATAAGGTCAGCAGAAGAAGCTCCGCCTCCATTACTTGCTCGCTGCCTTCCGTCATGCTCTGGCTGCGCGTGCTCACGAGAGGCTCAAATGTTATTGAAGAAGCCTCCACTGGAGACTTCTTCTATACTGCAGATCTTATGCAACAGACGAGCAGTTTTGTGCGGGTTGTGCGGCTTTCAATCATGGGCTCAGAACCACTGACAGGATCAAAATGGCAGGGAGGTCTTTCAGCTGCCTCCAGCGCGAACTTCCTACCTTCTAGTCGTGGTGAGAAGCAGCTCGCTAGTGGCGCTTCTGTTTTTCTCACTCTGAGTAGTGCAGTGCTACCCACGTGATTATATTTTAATTTTCATAATGCATAGAAGCTTGGCATTGAACGTGCTTGCTCCAGCAGAGGAAGTTAGTATCCTCACTCTGGGTTGGGAAAAAATTCCATCAGGTGGCGACACGCCAACTTCTCGCTGCGAATAACGCGTCTCGTGAGCTCCGAGGGTACACGCGCAGACAGCACGCGAACGAGTTAAACGAGCGCATGCGGGGCATTCTAAAGCAATGCTGACTGTATTGGCGATATTCGAAAGAAAGATACCCAGCATCAGAAGGTCCTTGGTCATCGGAGAAGCCTGGACTCATTCTCTTGCCAAAGCCCCGAGCAGTTGACAGGCTCAGCCGCCGAATTCCTCGCTTCTCCCTGCAAGGTGGCAGTGGTGCACCAGTCACTGTTTGCACGCAGCAGCTCTGCGCTGTCGCTTTGAACCGGACTTGTGTCACATGTTCTACTCAGGAGACTATATTTGAAATACTTTTGTTGGTATTTTGTTACCTTGAAGATGTTTTTTATTAAGTGTATTTTGAACTGTTCCTTCAAGGGGCACTAAGCCACTTTGATAAAGGGATAGAAAAACACGTGGACCCTTTTTTCTCGCGGACTACATTCTGTGGACCAATGAAAGCCGTACAATACGCAGAGATTCCGAATGATTTTATTATAACTTGTTTCGTAGAGAGTCTAATAGGTACACATTCGAATAAGACTCCCCTTTTTCTCCGCGGGCGAAGCCATCGCTTGCAACTCGCTGACACGCACCTTTCGTCGACCACGTCACTCGGAAGAAACTTCTTCCGAAAAAGGGCGTGTCGCGTTCTCTGAACATGCTTTTAACGAGGAAATAAGCTACGCACGGCTGTGATTTCGGGTTTGTTGGGATGCTTATGGCATCTAGATTGAGTTGTCACCACAAAAGAACGATTTCAGAATCGACTTCAGTGCCCTTTTAATTATGATTTTTATTGGTATATCCTACTTATTTTCTAAAACACAATTTTTATCCATTGTAGGAATTTGACGCCGGCACGTTTTGCGGGCCTAGCGATCGTCAGACATCAACATGCAACCAAAGCTGAAACCACAAATCACAGGGTTCGTTTTGTCCAGTTTCTCGCTTCGTCCGCGTCCAGTCCGTGAGAACCGGAGACAACCGTTCGATCGTCTCAGCAGTAAACAATAGTCATCGTTCTTACAGTCCTACACCCCTCTGAGCGTTTTTGTTATATTGTGACTGATCACCACGCACTATGCCCCCATACATATGCAGATATGTATGGCGGCTGTCAAATACATATCTGGCCGCCTCGGGCGTTGGATCCTGCGACTTCAGGAATACGATTTTACTGTTACGCATAGGTCCGGACGGAAGCACAACAATGCCGACTCACTCTCGCGTTGCCCCGTACCAGCAAAGACAACACCCACAGGTCAGTCTTCAGGCACTATACCATGTTCTATTCTTGCCGCCCTCCCAGATGACAAATTGCTCTGCGCTCAACGCTCGGACCCCTGGATACGACGATTTATCGAGCACCTTGAAGGGACACAACCGTCTACTAACCGTCGGTTTGTCTAAAGAGCACAGCACTGGACCATTATCGGCGGTCATCTCGGCACAGCTACATGCCCGAAGACCGTCGCTGGCTTCTCGTGGTTCCGCCCAATTTCTATTCCGAACCCTTGCGATGTTCGCATGACGATCCAACTGCGGGCCACTATAGGTCTCTTCAACACATACGCCAGAATTCGTCAACGCTTCTTTTGGCCCGGCATGTATCGCGCCGTTTGCAAATACCTTCGGTCCTGCCACAATGCCAATATCGCGGAAGTCCATCATCCCTACCAGCCGCCCTACTTCAAGCCCTCAGCCCACCACAAAATTCCTTCAAAGTGATCGGCATCGACCTCCTTGGCTCTCTTTCCGTGTCCATCGCTGGCAATCAATGGACCATTGATGCTATCGACTGCGCTACCCGCTACGTGGAAACGGCACCCCTCCAACATGCGGCGACTAAAGCAATAGCACCATTTCTCCTCTACAACATTGTTCTACGTCAAGGAGCCCCAGAAGTCCTCATTAGTGACAGCGAACGCTCCTTTTTAGCACAAACAGTGGAGGCACTACTCCACGCCTGCAATGCCAACCATCACATGACCTCCGCGTACCACCCCCCAAAAAATGGGCTTATTGAACGCTTTAACCACACTCTCTTGGACATGATTTCCATGTACATCAACTCTGAGCACTCAGATTGAGACGAAATCCTGCCCTTCGTCAGATTCGCATATAACATGGCCATCCAGTCCACCACGGGATTCTCCCCATTTCATCTCGCGTACGGCAGAGGCCCATCTTCCACCTTGGACACCATTTTTCCCCATTTATAATGAGTATGATCACGACGAATTTACCTGGATCAGCTCGCCTCCCACTCCGAAACCACCCGACAACTCGCCCGTGCACGCACCATGGAACACCAACAAGCCTCCAAACTTATACGATGCTTACCACACGCTTCTCGCCAAATGACCTTGCCCTCATATCGACCCCAATTCGTCCAATTGGCCTATACAAAAAGTTTCTACGGAAATACAAGGGGCCATACAGGATTCTTCGACAGACATCTCCGGTAAACTATATAATTGAACCCACGATTCCTTTAAATGATCGCCGAAGCCATGGCCCACACACAGTACATGTCAGACGCCTCATTACAAAATATCAACGGTGTCGTTTTTCTATTCTCCATGAACAAATGGAAGAAAACAAGAAGAGGACACCAGAGTCTTCTTTACTTCCTTGTGTCTGATCCTGCTACAGCAAGAATGTCAGTTTGTGAAGAATGATCGGTCGCGCATGAATGTATAGTTTCGGGTTTTTTATGATGCATAGAGCTCGTAGATTGAGTTATGTGCGTTGGGTGTGCCCCCAACGCACACCGAGTGTTTCTCAAGTTGGCTGACTTAGTTTTCGATGACACTCAGTAAATTTCTAATTGGAACCGGTTGTTTATATTTACTAACAAAACAAATTGGCCGAAATCGCTGCTGCCGCTACGCTGATTTTCGAAGAAATGCGTGAGTATTTCGCGCTACGGTTATGTATATGGCTCTCCCATTTTAAGTGGAACAGATTTATTACAAAACATTCGTAAAAGATGCACTAATACGATTTGTGCAGGTGAGTTATACGGCTAGGGGGACATTATGTGGGTGGCTAATCTTTGCGATAAGTCAGGTAATTAATTAAAATTCGTGAATTAACTTTTTCATGAATGAAAATAGACATATGGTTCCAGTTAGAAACTTACTGGGCGTCATCGAAAACCGCTAAATCAACTCTTTTTAGAACGACTTGAAGCTCCTGGGAAACTCGGGGGCGCTCCAAAGTTACCGCTCGTGCAGCAGGCGCAAAGCTAGCAGTGGCGGAACGCGGTGATAAGATTATCATCCTCGTTTTGCCACTGCCAGCTTCTAAAGTCTAAAGTAGCCCGTCGGCAGTAACTCAAAGCCTGGTTCCGAATCCTGGCGTGAGAACAACGGAGGTACGCTGTTTTGGCCAATCTCACACAAACACGCACGCACACGCACACAGATGAGTGCGTTGCCTTCTCCATCGTTTATCGGATGGACCTACGGAAGCAGAACTCGCACATCAAACTGTGCCAGCCTCTTGACGGACAGGCCCCCGCCGCGGGCCAATCATCGGAAGCAGAAAGGTTTGGGGTGGCGGCCTGTGGTGCTGTTTCGCTCAAACAACAGTCGTCTGCTAGGCCATAAGAAACCTCTTCCATAACGATTCGCCAAATGACTAATCATCATTTTCGCCGAGCAACTTTTTTTTTTTGTGGTGATTTGTTTTGCCTACACTTGAATTATATTCGTCGACGTCTATCGAAAGCGACAAAATTAACCAAGAAGAAAATTAAAATTAGGAAAAAACTGCTTTGTCTTCGCCACGTTCCTTTTTTTTTAGTAATGTTATTTTTATGGGAAAGATAGGTTGAGAGTAAGTGGATTTCTTTCTTTTCTTTTCGCGCCGGTCAAGCGGATAGGAAAGACGGCTCTTTGTACGAAGCTCTGGATGAAACGTAATTTACAGTGGGAACAAAAGCGGCTTTAGGAAAAGCTCACGGAACGGTAGCTATCTGAAGTACCTGCTGCCAGAGTATTCTGGCTAAATGCGTTCGACCCATCATAAAGAAATAAAAAGAAGAAAAAAAAAAAAGATAATTAGTTTTTCACTCGTACGTCCGACACCAGACCCCCTTCTGCTGAAGATGCGTTGCTAACACAATATACTTCAAGCAACTCGATTAAGTACCTAGATTACGTTTGTTTTGTTTCATCCTATGAAGCATAATTCAAAACAGAAGTCCACGTTCGCCGTGTTCAAACCATGCACGGAGGTATCTGGACTCGTCCTCAAGCCACACGCAGTGTCTCATTGGATCGGATCAGCGTCGGACGTTCAGCCGTATTCCAAATCTCTGTTCTTTAAAGGGTCGATTTAAACGTTTTTAACAAAACATATTTTCTGAAAGAGCACAAGAAATTGAGCCTAAAACAGGAAATAAATTTCCCCATAAATTTTCAAATAATTTTTAATCGTAGAAATACGATATAACCGAAACTAATCAGCGATTTTACTGGTCCGCTATCTTGTTGCGTTGTCAGGTGTATAAACATCAGCACATGGGCAACTTGAGTCTGTTTTGCTTAGCATCAGAAGGCCGTCACAATCGTCCGTGGGAAATAATGGACTACAATTAATCGAGCTTGTCTTAGTCAAGGAATGAGAAACCAATGTTTTAAGATTTTTATCACGAGATATCAGACAATTCGCCGTTCACATGCGATCCGTCGGCATCGCCTCCGAGGGGACCTCCCGCGGGGGCTGCATTCGCGATCCGCCTACATATGGACTCAGATGCCGCTTCGAATCAGAATGGCATGGAAGGTTTTAGTTGCAAGAAAGGTGTGAGCTGTTTTCTAGCATGACGCGAACGCTAGGAGTCAGCGTTCGCGTGAAACCGCTTCGGCCCATTTCTATCGCAGATACTTCTCGGTTGGAAATCAATAAGATATCACTCTGCAGCATTTCTTCGTGGCGTTATTGCACCTCACAGCCAATCACCAATTCCCCCAATACTTCATCGCATGACGCAAACAATCTGAACCATATGCAATTCGCAAAAAAAAACAACAAAAAAAAAAACAGGAAGATTTATTGGTGGATTTTGGGAATTCGTTAGCAGGAACCTTGGAAACGTCACACACGCCGCCCTTTTGGGAAACGCTAACGCTGACCCCTTCGCTTTTTCTTTAGGCTTTCTCTTTTGCTTCCTCTATTTTTTGCTGTCTCTTTTTGACCTCGTTACGAGGTCAGTGTTAGCGTTTCCCGAAAGGGGGCTTGTGTGGCGTTTCCCAAGGGTCATGCTAACGGATTCCTTAAAATTCCAGCAATGGATCTTCCTGTAATTTTTTCACTCCTTTTTTGTACTCAGCTGTCAGGGTGCGTCGACACCCTTGGATACGGTCATCCATACCACTCGTAGAAAGAACCACATCCATACTGCTCGTAGAAGGAACCGCATCCATATCACTCGTGGAGTGGACCGCATCCATCGTTTTAACTACACGCACCCATCACAACCCACGCACCGCTACTACGGAAACCCAGAGCGAAGAACAACTGGCGACGGCAGTGCGGCAACTGAGCACGCCCGCATTCCACCGAGCCGCGGCGCAACACCATGATAACAAAGCCGTACTGAATGAGATGGCGCCATCAGAGAAGACCAACGCTGGGAACAAATTGGACACGACGATTGCATCAATGTTCAGCTCAAACTTGACTCGAAGCCGAGCGCTGACGCAGCACTCGTTTCCATTCTGTGTCCAGCGTTGGCCGTCTCTGATTAAGCCATCTGATTCAGCACTACGGCTTTGTTATCTAGGATGTGTTACGCGGCGTCTACTCCTATCTGGCTCCACGCCAGCTGTGCGCGTGACTTCGCCGAAAACGAAAGGGCTCGTTCTGACCAAAGCCCGGCTGTGTCTGTCAGTTTGTCAGCTCCGGGGAGAGAGGTTGACGCGTGCTGACGTCAGCACTTCGGACCAATGGGAGCGTCTCACGCGTCACCCTCTCTCCCTTCTCTCTTTCTCCCCGACACTGACAGACGAAAGACACTGCCGGGTTTTCGTCGAAACGAGCGTTCCTTTGCACACTTTCAACGCAAGCGTGGACTTATCAGTGAGTGACTGGGCATTTCCGTTTTCGCGGACCCGACAAGGATTCGAGCGCGTGCGTCAAAGCATCTTTCGAAATGGCAGTGTGAGCTATCGGTATCGTTCTGTGCAAACACAATGTGCTAAAACCAAAAATACTCTTGGGCTGGTAAGGATAATATAAATAATGGGAAGAACAAAACACAGGGACGGTCAAAATCGTCTTGTCCGTTTTGTGTTTTATGTTCGGATTTATTATATCTAAAAATACGGCCGTGAGTTTCTCGTTCATTTCTTTCGAACAGCGCGAGAGCAACTCTGAACACAAAAGTAGCCGTTCAATATCTTCTCTTGAATGAAAACTCGAACAACGAGACTATTTCCAGCGGTGATTTCTGATTTTGTGGGAGCGCCGATCGTGTCATGATGAGTGCGTTCGCTGCTCTATACAGCGTAGAGATCGGGTTCGCTGCCGGGGCTACAACTCGGGCTTGTCCGCCCACCATTTCCAGCAGTGTGTCCGGCACTCAGGGCCGACTTACTTCAGGTCGACGGGGTCGATGTCTTCATTCTCCAGCAAGAAAGAGAGATCGGGATCTTCTCGTTTCCCGAAACCCCGGGCAGTTGAGATCTTCATCTTGCGGAACCCCTTCTTGATTCTGGAACAGGAAAGCGGTGTGTGAATTTGTCGCCGTGATATCTGCCTGGTACCGGTTTTTCATGCGATGGTTCCATTGCCCGACAAAGTGGAACCGGCATCGCTCATCCGCCCTTCGTCAACCTTGCCAGGTGTGCGCCATGCACGCTGCCAGCATCGGGTATGTCCGGACATTTCATCATAAGCCTTTTCATCGAACGCCGTTTCATCGAAGCCGGTCATCGAAACCGTCTTAACTAAAACCCCCAAATCGGGCACTTGCTGAGTCCAATGATCTCTATTTTCTTTTCTTTGTGTTCTGCACCGGAATTGCTATAGCACCTGAGAACTTGGAAAACCTTGCGTTTTGTTTTAACATCAAATGGAAAGTAATGCATGCCCATGTCCGCTTGTGCGTACGTAAAGACACGGTCACACTGCTTATACACCATACAAAAGAGAGCCTACAAACAGATTCGAACGCAAGTCACCACGACATTCGTGCTGCGAATGCCACATGGTGACGAGTTCAAGGCACGCGGCCTTCGAACCACGGATATCGCGGTGACTGATGTCTCCAGACTGTCCTTTGTATGATGTATAAGCAGTGTGACCCCGGCTTAAGTAAAATAGAGAATGTAAGGGCATCAAGCGAAAAGAAGCCAAAAGAAAAATAATGTTTTGGCATTCATTTTATGCTAGTTTTTACGCTTTCATTATACTACTTCCTTTTCACAAATACGCACGCTCTTGCTGACCTATTTGGCTGTTGCACAGTGGTGTCCACTGCAAGAAGCCTGTTGGTACGCTGCTTGTGCAGCTCTGGTTTTAAATAGTCGGAACATGGAAAGAAAGCAAACACTACTTTCAGCACAGGATGTGTTTATGGGCTCGGTCTTACGCGGAAAGCGTCACGCTCGAATATGACGAGAATGCGTTACACGCAGGCCAAGGCAACTAAAAAAAAATACCGCGCCCATAGCGGGCAATGCATAAGCATCCAAACATATGCCATACTTAACGTAAGTAAACATAATTAGGCATTATTAATTGTAATAAACACGCTTTACGATTCAGCTCAGCTGGAATTGAGCTCCGGACCGTGTGATCCGTAGCCGATGCCTTTGCTCGCTGCCACAAGGAGGAGGTGAAAGAGAGCACAAGCTGGCAGGACGAAGTATGACTCTCGTTCCTAATGGCGTCACATAAAGGGAGGGGGGGGGGGGGGGGGGGGCGGGCGGCGAGCCACCGCTGAACACCTCCTAGATAACAACAAAGTCGTAGTGCTCATAAAGATATCATCATCAGCGAAGACCAACACTGGTCACAGATTGGACACGACGATTGCGTCAACGTTCCGCGCAAACTTGACTCGAAGTCGAGCGCCCCCTGACGCGGCAGTCGTTTCCAATCTGTGTCCAGCGTTGGCCTTCGCTGGTGACGCAAAAACGTCAAGACTACGGCCTTGTATTCTAGGTGGTGTTACACCGCGCCCCGAGTGCTGCTGACCCTGGTGACGCCACTGCTCGTTACCATCGACGCGCGCAAGTGGCTTCCGGAGGAGCGACTCTCTCCTCACGACGTCAAGGGGCTGATCGATTCATAATGCTCCCGACGGGTAGCTCAGAGGGCGTATGGCGTCATGACTTCGGGCACATTAAGCCCCTGAATGTTTTTGTCTTGTCATTGGCGTGAAATGTGCCGAAGAATGAGACCTGTGCCTCGCAAAGCTCTTGGAAGCGAGTGACGGCGCAGCACTGAGATGAGCGGCCCTTGGAACCGAATGGCGGCGCAGTATACTCGCTCGTGGCACGCGTCCTGCGCACTTGCACTACAATATGGTTATTGGTACTTGAAAGAAATGCAAAGCGTGAATTTTATCACGGGGCTTAAGATAAACCTCCTTCCCGCTCGACTATTTTATCAATCACATCCTTGCAATCCACTAATTATTCTCAATGCACTACACTCAAGCTCAGAAGAGGCAGAACCGGTGGAAAGTTCTCATTAAATAAAGCAGGCTCCTCTCCACACTCCTCTCTAGAATAATTTTAAGCTTGCTTCGATCGTCCTGACAAACCCAGTGGTGAGCACATGAGTGGGTCCTGTATGTGCAGCGCACCCGAAACCATCCAAAGCACCCCGTAATTAAGCATAACAAATCATAGTGTAGATAAAATGCACGCACGACACGTTCTGTGATCCCCTGGTTTATCAAAATGATCAAGAAAAGTTTAATTTTTTCTAAAACATTTTTGACAATCACGTTTTTTTATTTTTAATTTGCATTGTGCTGTTTAGGCACCATAGTTTAAGCAATGAACGTCCCCCCCCCCCCCCCCCAACACACACACACACCCAGTAAACCTCTGCATACGCGTACACCCTCTCCCATTGCCTTGCTTCCTGCTGCCGCCATTTTCGGAGGGCACGACACGACCTACATTGTCAGCGTCCATCTTTGCGCGTATTTCGTCCTTTTTGCCGATTCGTTTTTGACCATCGGTAGCATGGGGCTTAAAAAGTACTGAAAGCCGATATAAAACGGCACGTTGCCAATGTGTTCTGACGGGCGGAGGTATGTTGGGCTGTCCTTCATTTCTAGCTCGCAAACAACTCCCCAGACGGCGCTTTTTACTTGAAAAAGGTCCATTACACATTCCCCGTCATCAGTTTTACAGTAAGTCATGTTCCTAATTCATTTTTTAATCAACAGGGCAGCACGCAGTCAAAATCCGTAGTAAGTTAACGGTGCCATTCAGGTAAAAAGTGACCCCAGTAATTGTTTTCTGCTCATTGAGTAGCCTCAAAATAATATCTGAACGCAACTACTTTTTTTTAACAGATGGAAAGATGTAAAACTAATTAGAAGCATTGTAATGCTACCAAATACGCTATCATAATTCTATGAAACGGTGCGAAACGATTCGATGAACCGGCGTTCGACGAAATGGCATTCGATTAAATGTTTGATGAAATCCCCGGTAACCGGCATCGTTCAAATGTACCGGCCCACATGAGAGGCTTTCTCGGCGATTTTGCAGGTCCTCTGATGCCCGTTTCTCAAAAGTCTAGCGGGTGTGGTTTTCTTTTTTTTCTTTCTCCGCTTGATTTTTGGAAGGGAATGGGGTAAAGGCGACACTACATCATCCAAACATGTTAGTGAACGGACATTTCGTTTCATGGACGTTTCGGTGGTGAAATGTATGTTTAGACGTAAAGCCATTTGGTTTCCAGGAATTTCTATGGAAGCTTCGGCACCTGCGTGTCATGACATCTGTTCAGGTATTAGACGTTTCGCAGCTTCCATATGGGTCAGCTGGTGGTTTTGAATCGGCGAATGTCCATCGAGCAGTCGTTTTGGTGTGTACACTACGACTTTGTAGGAATGAGAACGCGATAAAAAATACTTGACATCTATAGCAGCAACAAGATCGATAGCTAAACGAGGAAATTTTTATGTAGTTTTTATACCTTTGGTAGCTTCCGAAGAGACATATTTACGTGAGTTTTAAACCTTAGAAAAATTAGACAAAAACAATAGAGGATTTGTCTGCGATGTTGTCTGAGATGGTAGTCCTTGGCTGTATGAGGCTGTTTTACATCCGCAGAAAAGGTGGGTATAAATGCATGTACAAGCTCTGCTACAACCTTGTATGTATGACAAAAGACAATAAGATCATCTCCTGAGTACGAGAATTAGATTAAATTTGTACTTGATATTGTGAAGTTTTGACATTGTATCTTTTTAAATTATTTGTTATTAACTTGTGTGTAATCTTGTACGGGCCTTGCTGTCTTTTTTTTCTTTTCTTTTTGCCCTTTCTGCTTGGTTCATTCATAGTCTGCAGTATGTAAGAAATAAAAAAAAAAAAAATAAAAAAAATCGGGGGCAATTAAGTTGCGGTTTTTCGTGGGCCAAAGTGTGGCTCTCGTGACCTGGAAAATCCCAAGACAAGATAGTTGGGACCAAGAAATCCTGCTCGTTCCCGAATGACCGACTCTAAAACTGGTTTTTGTTGAGTTAAAGAACGCGCCGAAGTTAGACGTAATGATCATTTTATGCTGTCTTTCCTACCTCCTCGCACAAAACACTTGCGTTTTGAAAGGGTCAACCCAAGTTCGGTTCGACTTGGAGCGATATGAGGAAGCATGTGATGCATCGGTGCTTAGCAAGCTCTTGGTGTATACCCACGGCCGAGCTGGGCGGCATGCTCACATGGGGTCCGCGGGTTCCTGGTTCCGCTGGCGGAGGAAGGCCAGACCGGGCGGAATCCGTTTGCCGAACCCGCGGGCCGTGGACAGTCGTAGCTTCTGGAAGCCCCCACGGTGCTGACGGTCGCTGGCTTCCGGCGTCTCGGAGCCCGCAGCGGCCAGGCACAGGAACAGGGCAGCCGCCACAAGTGCACTCGTCCGTCCCAGGGCCGCCATGTCGCTCGGGCTGCGGGAAAGCCGACCGCGGACTCGTGAACCAGATTCAAGTGGCCGTGCTCGGACAGCAGTTGACACGCAGGTGCGTCTACCTTCCCAGAGTGTGCGTGGCCGATGGTGGTCAGGCACGCAAATGGTGAGATTTTAGATAGCCTTTTTCACTTACAGGACAACCCCGCTCAAAGTTGAACCAAATCAAATGACCGACATCGCTTTTGGGGGACCTAACTGATACGGGCAAAATACATCTGGGCACTTTTCTGGTAATCAGCCTCAGCGCATTGGCCAACGTGCCCCTATTTTCTATTTGGCTTTCCATTAAATTAAAGGGGAGTGGATGCGATTATCTTTCCTTTAGAGCGGATAATTTAAATATCCACGAAGCTACGACATCGAAAATAAGATATATATATATATATATATATATATATATATATATATATATATATATATATATATATATATATATGTATACTTATTTATTCACCATGAGGACCCGTTTTGGGTTATATCTCGACTGAAGTCATCATCGTCATTGTCATTGTTATCCTAATTTTAACTTTTTTTCTGGCGGCCCATTTGGGCATTATTAGGGAGCGGCAACATAAATAAATAGAAACAATGAACTCACAAACAAAGATACACTGTACGCAAGTTACGTGAGTTAAAGAGGAAGGTGCTACCACAAATTAGTTTCTTTTTGTGGAAATAATCTGGTTAGGTTGTCAATGTAATTGTAACTCACATTCCTATCCATAAGTCCGGAGACCGAAATTCACTTCTTAACTATCGTCCCATATCGTTCACTAGTATCCCATCCAAAATTATTGAACACATCATATTTTCAAATGTCATAAAATATATTGAGTGCAATAATCTTCTCAACGTTAATCAACATGGATTTAGGCAAGGCCTATCATGTGAAACGCAACTTCTGGAACTCGCACATGACGTTCACTCTAACCTTGAACATAAAAAGTGAAAGCCGTTTACAACTCCCTGTAACGCCGAATTGGAGCGCAGCTCTTGAGGAGGAGGAGGGAAGGGTACTGAGGGGAGGGTAGACACCTCCTTCTCCTCCTCCCCTCATTCTTTAATATGTTCCGGGGGGGGTCACCTGACCTCAAGGGGATGGAGGGGGTCACGTGACCTCGGGGAGGGGGCCAGGTGACCTGGGGGTCACGTGACCTTGGGAGGTCACTTGGGGGTCACCTTGAGGGTCGCGTGACCTTGAGGTGACCTTGGGAGGGGTCACGTGACCTCGGGGCTTACGTGACCTCGGGGGTCACGTGACCTTGGGAGGGGTCACGTGACCTTGGTGTGACCTTGGAAGGGGTCACGTGACCTTGGGGTGACCTTGGTTACGCCGACGGCGACGGCGACGCCAACGGCGACGGCGATGCCGCTCAAGCCGGAAACGGGCGCCTAAGAGCTGCGCTCTAAAACAAGTCGATGCCATCTTTCCTGACTTTGCAAAAGCCTTCGATAGGGTATCTCATAATCGTCTTTTAACCAAACTTCACCATTTTAAGATTGACCCCCTTATCATCGCCCGAATATCAAAATTTCTCTCTGGTCGCTCCCACGACACCATCGCAAATAGCTCAGAGTCATCTCGATCTAAAGTAACATCAGGCGTCCCTCAAGGTAGCGTACTCGGACCACTTCTTTTAGAGCGCAGCTCTTAGGCGCCCGTTTCCGCCTTGAGCGCCGTCGCCGTCGGCGTAACTAAGGTCACCCCAAGGTCACGTGACCCCCCCCCCCGAAGTCACGTGACACCCCCCCGAGGTCACGTGACCCCCTCCCCCGAGGTCAGGTGACTCCCCCGGAGCATATTAAAGAATGAGGGGAGGAGGAGGAGGAGGGGTCTACCCCCCTCAGTACCCTTCCCTCCTCCTCCTCAAGAGCTGCGCTCCAATTCGGCGTTACAGGGAGTTGTAAACGGCTTTCACTTTTTTTCTAATCACCATTAATGATCTCCCTCTCTGTGTCTCTTCCACCATCCTCCTTTTTGCAGATGACTGCGTGATTTATCGTACAATCACGAATACTGACGATTATTCATCCCTGCAAACCGACCCATCATCCATTGCTCATTGGTGTGACAAGTGGCAGATGTACCTGAACTTAGATAAACAGAAAGTGCTACCCTTTCCTCGTATTTGTCACTATCCTCTATTTACAATATTAACGACACAGTGCTCAGTAGTGCTTCATGCTACAAATATCTTGGTCTTCATTTAACACGCAATTTAACATGGGTCACCCATATTAATCGCATAATCGAATAGCACGCTGGAAAAAACTTAAAACTCACCCCCCCCCCCCCCCCCCCCCCCGCCGCCCTAAAGTGAAACAGATCGCGTACCTAAATTTAGTCCGCCTCAAACCTAGAGTACGCTGCATCCGTACGGTCCCCGTGGCAAAAAACCAGAAGGTGTGCAAAACAAAGGTTTGACATTTATTTTTTCTGATTATTTTTTTTACACTAGTGTTTCTTATTCTAGCGAATCTTTCTGAGCTCACTATAAGGCGGAAGATATCTCGATTGACTCAGTGTTACACCTCAAACCTACGCTTAGAAATATTTTACTCCCACGTCCCATTTTGTTTTTCCCAAGACTAGACAAGAGCTGTAAAATAGAGCCTATATTTGTCTCCACCACCTCCTACGGCAATTCTTTTCCCCCCTTGACAGTACTAGAATGAAATGCTTTATCTGATAACATAGTTACAGCTAACAATGTGGGCGTATTTAAAAAAAAAAAAGCTACTAAGTGAACATTTAGATCCCTGTGCGAACGATGCTGCGTCTTAGCATGTTAATAACGTGCCCTTCATTTTTTTTATTTATTTGTATTTTTGTTATTGCTGCTCACGGGTTTGTATTACTATGCCTTATATTGCTTATGTCGCTTATGCTCCCTTATGTCGCTGCTCACGTGTTTGTATTACTGTTTCTATATTGAAACTTTTAGTTTCCCATCCCTATGTGTAATGACCTGTAATGGGGCCTTCAAGGTATTATGAAATTAATAAATAAATATGCATGGCTTGCAAGTAACTTCGCCCCTCTTTTTGGTGGCCAGAAGCGCCTCGTTAACGCAGCCGAAGCTACCCTCTCCCTTTCCCCCGTTATATATGAGTCTGACCAAGTGACGTAAGTGCAAGATATGCATACTTACTACACAAAAACGCTTTTACGAAGTAATCATGCACCAACTAGCTCATTTGCACATTCCGTACATACTTTGCATGAATGGCTTAAACGAGGTATTCTAGCAAATATGTTCCTAAATTAAGAAAGGGTAAAACACACGCAAGTTGGAAGTAAAATGAAAACAAAACCGACAACCACTCAAAATGTCGTTTTGAGACGTTGTGCGTGGTTGTTCGTTTTTATCTGGTTCCAAGTCTCGGCTTTGTTGTAGAATTCGATAAAATGGACTGCGATAGAAGATGTGCATGAAAAAGAGAGACGCGACCCTCTGCGGCGTGAAGAAAAGTAGTCCAGGTTGGCTAATTGGCGTCGCTAGTGTGTGGAAAGCAGTCACAGTAATGAAACTAAGGCAACTTCTTTTAATAAGGTTGTTGTACGCACGGAGACCAAATAGGGGAAGAGTATTCTAGCTTGTATATCGCCAAAGTAATGTAAGGGAGTCATCTTACAGAGGGCGTGGTTAGGGTGCAAAAATCCGAGAGCACGATATAGCATCGTTGAGCAATAACGGAAGTTAGGTAAGAAGTCCGTGAGGGTTAGAAATGATATTATTTCTCAGGTATTTATATGTTGACCAAGCAGTTATTTGGTGTGATACTGCGAGGCACTACGAAAAAAGATGTAGTAATACGTGAACTGCGACACCACTGAAATACAAATGCGAGATCGTTCTGAAAACTTAGTTGACCGTGATTGAATATGTAGGCAGATGACACAGTCGTCAGAAAAGAAGGAGAACTATAAATAAAAGTTGTTACCACTGTGATTACTATCGCAGATAAGAAATAAGATAGGGCCAAATACGCTTTCCTGAGATTCGCAAGACGGGCAAGCCGACCTTAGAGCGAGTCCTGAGATACATAACACCCTGCATAGCATTGTTTCGACGGCACGTTTTGGAACGACAAGAATTCCAATGGGCCTCCAGAATTGACCAGGCGGCACCACCATTGCTTGCCTTCCTGCACAACGTTTTCGCGCACTTGGGGATGGTAACAATGCAGCCGGCGCCGCCCGTATCACGAGGCTTTACTGCTGCTGGGTAGGCTGGAAAGACTAGAGTTCCTGCGCGTCTGTTTTCCACGTGCCGCCGCGCCGCTATTCGCCGAGATCGATCACGCGAGGAGCAAAATCCAAGTGCCGTGCAGGAAGCCACCGGTACGGCCGCCGACGTTGCACGCGGCCCGGCGTATATCCACCTACTTTTGACTTCTTCTCCTCCTTTCCTGTTTTTGAGAAGGGGAGGAGAAGAAGCGGCGGGGCCGCGGCGGTGCGGGCGGCACAGCGCTATTCGCCGGTTTCAGACACGTAACGAGCAGAATCCCGGACCGTGCAGGAAAGCCGGCACTACGGGAATGAACGCGCAACTCTGGCTCTCGTTGCGCGTAGAGACTCAGGTAAAGACCAGGAGAGCAGCACCGTCGTTCGTTGGATGTCAGAGCCATCGCTCTCCCCCTCTTCGCTCAGCTGCTTAATTGCCGCGACTTAGTGATCGAAGTCAGAAAGCAGATCTCAAAACACGGCTTTGCGTGATGGCAGTCCGGTGTAAGCACGAGTTGACCTCGAAAGGTCCGAACGGGACCATGAAGATACGTTGGCCACAATTTTACTAACTACATATCGTTAGGTCATGAGAGAAGCAACTGACTTTGAAGAATCATAGACACTATTTTCAGCTCTAAAATTTCGAAAATGCCAGCGCTCTATCTTTGTATTCCTCTCGTTTGGGAGGTTTTTTGAGCTAATCATTTCCCTCCCAGGTCCCCATACGATTCCGGGCGCGTCACGACCGACTACGGTTCACCCATTGGACAAGTGCGCCTCGTCGCGTGTTGGTTTGCGTTCAGTCAATGCGTGAGCGAATGTTGGGGTTCGGGTTGGTGACCAATTAGTGCGCTGACAAAAAATATAGCTCAGCTCTAACAATGTCGGGAACACAGTATGCGCTCTGGATATTGACAACCTAAAGGCACGGTGCTGTGTTGAACATCGGCTGCAGAGACCGGCAAAAGAGCAAGCTCTCTCTCGCAACGAGCGGAGGAACTACGCTGCCCAATTTTCTTTTGTGTTTTCCGTAGCAGTTCGCGCATACAAAAAAAAAAAAAAAAAAGAACTTGCGATTGCCTTTTACGAGGTTTCATAACAAAGTTTGCGAACTCTTCGCATGAAAATTGCTGTATTCCTTATTAGGCGCATTGAGAAGAGACCGCTTATCAGCACCTCATCCACGCATTTTTTTTCTTGTCCCAGCTAAATGTGTTCTGGCTAACAACGCTAGTGTGGGCAAACGCACGTGGTGCAACATCCATGAACAGTTGGCAAACATTTCATGTCGCATTCGCCTAAATGTTTCACGTAGCCTTTTGAACACTTCCAAATAGACGGCTCATGTCACTGTTTTACAATTTGATGAGAATTGACAGTGGGGCATTTCACGAACATATTCACTGACTGCACCCAAGCTGCAGCCAAATGCTGACGCAGCGCTCAGCTACGTCATCCGAGATCTGCGTCAGAAACGCAAGCAAATAATGCTGTTGTCCCCGTCGGTTTAGTTCTCAACTTAGCCGCTAGGGGCCGAACGGTTGGATCTTTTCCTCAATAGCCTGCAGGGAGGAATGTCAAGCTCGAGCACATAAAGAATAAGATAAAGAACCTGCGCAATAATCATAAAAAAAGCGCAAAAACATTGGAAGAAGTATGCCTAAGTCAAAGTCGTATACTGATTATTTTAATTTTTTTTTTTTTTTCATTTTCAACGCTCGGATTTTTGTAAAAAGAGTGTTAGGCTATGTGTACATTCGTCCATATTTTTTTTTTATTATTTGCTATAATGGAGAATCCTATTTTTGATTAAGCGAAGTGCGAATGTAGAAACGCGCCCTTTGTTAAAGTTTGTAAATTGCGGTGTTGGAGGTAACGCGTTACTAGTAACGACGTTACTGGTAACGCGTTACATTTTTCGCTAACGCAGTAACGTACTCGTTAGTATTCTGAATAGGGAATTGTAGTAGATCGTTTCTCTCCTCCGCTACGGTATCCCAGAAGAAAACGCCGCAGCTGCGCATGCGCGCCGCCAGCCTTCTCTGCATAGTTCAAGGTCTTGTGGCGGATTACGGAGCGCTATCCGGGTGCTTAGCGGGCGGCGGGAACGGTCTACTACAATTCCCTAATGACTAACGAGTAAAGTATTTCCGTTACTTTTTTACGGTATCGGCTGTCAAAATTCGTTACTCATTACTCGTTACTTTTGACCAAAACTGGTGAAATCCTGCACGAGCTTGTCTCAAAATCCTGCACCAGCTTATCGCTGCACGGAACCAGCATCCGTCACAGTAAAGTTAAAACAACAAAACAAAAAAAAAACTCACTTCTCCAAGGCGAAAAAAACCTTGGGCTACCAGCTAATTCCGTTCATCCTCCTTTTTCTTTTTTTCATAGTTTCACCACCCACAAGGCTTGATCGAACGACTGTGTTACAGCCTCGTCCCCTCCCTCCTCTTCCCCCCCCCCCCCTGCTTTGTGCAGCAGAAGTGGACAGCGGGGGGGGGGGGGGGGGAAGCCGTGGAGAGATATCCGTTTACAACAGTGGACAACTAGTGGCGAAGCAATTTGCTCATTTTTCTAGTTTAAAAAAAAAAAAAAAAAAAAAAAAACCTCTGTGGAATATTTTTATCTTCGCTCTCCCCCTTGTTGCCTGAAAGTTCCTGACCCACTTTTGTACACAGAACAATCTTTTGTTTGATTAGTATTTAATTCCCTAAGTTCATGATAAAAAAAATAAAAAAAAGTTTTAAACCTGGAAAAAAAACTTACAAACACGAAACCTTTTTTT